GAGAAAAAAATGTTGAATTTTAAGAAATTCGGGTTTTTGAATTTTTGATAATTTTCGATAATTTTAGATTTTTTACCAAAAAGTCGAGACTATTAAATAGGTAAAGTATTTTCCAAAAGCACAAAAATAATGAAGCTAAATGCCATAAAAGAGAGAAAAAATGTTGAATTTTAAGAAATTCGGGTTTTTGAATTTTTGCTAATTTTCCATAATTTTAGATTTTTTACCAAAAGTCGAGACTATTAAATAGGTAAAGTATTTTCCAAAAGCACAAAAATATTAAGCTAAATGCCATAAAAAGAGAGAAAAAAATGTTGAATTTTAAGAAATTCGGGTTTTTGAATTTTTGCTAATTTCCATAATATTAGATTTTTTACCAAAAGTCGAGACTATTAAATAGGTAAAGTATTTTCCAAAAGCACAAAAATATTGAAGCTAAATCCCATAAAAGAGAGAAAAAATGTTGAATTTTAAGAAATTCGGGTTTTTGAATTTTTGCTAATTTTCCATAATTTTAGATTTTTTACCAAAAGGTGGAGACTATTAAATAGGTAAAGTATTTTCCAAAAGCACAAAAAAAATAAAGCTAAATGCCATAAAAAAGAATAAAAATGTTGAATTTTAAGAAATTCGGATTTTTGAATTTTTGATAATTTTCGATAATTTTAGATTTTTTTACCAAAGGGTGGAGACTATTAAATAAGTAAAGTATTTTCCAAAGCACAAAAATATTGAAGCTAAATCCATAAAAGAGAGAAAAAAATGTTGAATTTTAAGAAATTCGGGTTTTTGAATTTTTGCTAATTTTCCATAATTTTAGATTTTTTACCAAAGTGTGCGAGACTATTAACTAGGTAAAGTATTTTCCAAAAGCACAAAAATAATTAAAGCTAAATGCCATAAAAAGAGAAAAAAATGTTGAATTTTAAGAAATTCGGATTTTTGAATTTTGATAATTTTCGATAATTTTAGATTTTTACCAAAGGTCGAGACTATTAAATAGGTAAAGTATTTTCCAAAAGCACAAAATAGTGAAGCTTAATGCCATAAAAGAGGAGAAAAAATGTTGAATTTTAAGAAATTCGGATTTTTGAATTTTTGATAATTTTAGATTTTTACAAAAAAGTCGAGACTATTAAATAGGTAAAGTATTTTCCAAAAGCACAAAAATATTGAAGCTAAATGCCATAAAAAAAAAGAAAAATGTTGAATTTTAAGAAATTCGGATTTTTTGAATTTTTGATAATTTTCGATAATTTTAGATTTTTTACAAAAAAGTCGAGACTATTAATAGGTAAAGTATTTCCAAAAGCACAAAAATATTGAAGCTAAATGCCATAAAAAAAGGAAAAATGTTGAATTTTGAGAAATTCGGATTTTTGAATTTTTGATAATTTTTGATAATTTTAGATTTTTTACCAAAAAGTCGAGACCATTAAATAGGTAAAGTATTTTCCAAAAGCACAAAAATATTGAAGCTAAATCCCATAAAAGAGAAAAAAAATGTTGAATTTTAAGAAATTCGGGTTTTTGAATTTTTGCTAATTTTCCAAAATTTTAGATTTTTTACCAAAGGGTGGAGACTATTAAATAGGTAAAGTATTTTCCAAAAGCACAAAATATTAAAGCTAAATGCCATAAAAAAGAAGGAAAAATGTTGAATTTTAAGAAATTCGGGTTTTTGAATTTTTGCTAATTTTCCAAAATATTAGATTTTTTACCAAAAAGTCGAGACTATTAAATAGGTAAAGTATTTTCCAAAAGCACAAAAATATTGAAGCTAAATCCCATAAAAGAGAGAAAAAAATGTTGAATTTTAAGAAATTCGGGTTTTTGAATTTTTGCTAATTTTCCAAAATATTAGATTTTTTACCAAAAGTCGAGACTATTAAATAGGTAAAGTATTTTCCAAAAGCACAAAAAAATTGAAGCTAAATCCTATAAAAGAGAGAAAAAAATGTTGAATTTTAAGAAATTTGGGTTTTTGAATTTTTGCTAATTTTCCATAATTTTAGATTTTTTACCAAAGGGTGGAGACTATTAAATAGGTAAAGTATTTTCCAAAAGCACAAAAATAATAAAGCTAAATGCCATAAAAAAAGAAGAAAAAATGTTGAATTTTAAGAAATTCGGATTTTTGAATTTTTGATAATTTTCGATAATTTTAGATTTTTACCAAAAAGTCGAGACTATTAAATAGGTAAAGTATTTTCCAAAAGCACAAAATAGTGAAGCTTAATGCCATAAAAGAGGAGAAAAAATGTTGAATTTTAAGAAATTCGGATTTTTGAATTTTTGATAATTTTAGATTTTTTACAAAAAAGTCGAGACTATTAAATAGGTAAAGTATTTTCCAAAAGCACAAAAATATTGAAGCTAAATGCCATAAAAAAGAAAGAAAAATGTTGAATTTTAAGAAATTCGGATTTTTGAATTTTTGATAATTTTCGATAATTTTAGATTTTTTACAAAAAAGTCGAGACTATTAAATAGGTAAAGTATTTTCCAAAAGCACAAAAATATTGAAGCTAAATGCCATAAAAAAAGGAAAAATGTTGAATTTTGAGAAATTCGGATTTTTGAATTTTTGATAATTTTTGATAATTTTAGATTTTTTACCAAAAAGTCGAGACCATTAAATAGGTAAAGTATTTTCCAAAAGCACAAAAATATTGAAGCTAAATCTTATAAAAGAGAAAAAAAAATGTTGAATTTTAAGAAATTCGGGTTTTTGAATTTTTGCTAATTTTCCAAAATTTTAGATTTTTTACCAAAGGGTGGAGACTATTAAATAAGTAAAGTATTTTCCAAAAGCACAAAAATATTGAAGCTAAATCCCATAAAAGAGAGAAAAAAATGTTGAATTTTAAGAAATTCGGGTTTTTGAATTTTTGCTAATTTTCCATAATTTTAGATTTTTTACCAAAAAGTCGAGACTATTAAATAGATAAAGTATTTTCCAAAAGCACAAAAATATTGAAGCTAAATGCCATAAAAAAGAAGGAAAAATGTTGAATTTTAAGAAATTCGGGTTTTTGAATTTTTGCTAATTTTCCATAATTTTAGATTTTTTACCAAAGGGTGGAGACTATTAAATAGGTAAAGTATTTTCCAAAAGCACAAAAATATTGAAGCTAAATCCCATAAAAGAGAGAAAAAAATGTTGAATTTTAAGAAATTCGGGTTTTTGAATTTTTGCTAATTTTCCATAATTTTAGATTTTTTACCAAAGGGTTGAGACTATTAAATAGGTAAAGTATTTTCCAAAAGCACAAAAATATTGAAGCTAAATCCCATAAAAGAGAGAAAAAAATGTTGAATTTTAAGAAATTCGGGTTTTTGAATTTTTGCTAATTTTCCAAAATATTAGATTTTTTACCAAAAAGTCGAGACTATTAAATAGGTAAAGTATTTTCCAAAAGCACAAAAATATTGAAGCTAAATCCCATAAAAGAGAGAAAAAAATGTTGAATTTTAAGAAATTCGGGTTTTTGAATTTTTGCTAATTTTCCAAAATATTAGATTTTTTACCAAAAAGTCGAGACTATTAAATAAGTAAAGTATTTTCCAAAAGCACAAAAATATTGAATCTAAATCCCATAAAAGAGAGAAAAAAATGTTGAATTTTAAGAAATTCGGGTTTTTGCATTTTTGCTAATTTTCCATTATTTTAGATTTTTTACCAAAAAGTCGAGACTATTAAATAGGTAAAGTATTTTCCAAAAGCACAAAAATTTTAAAGCTAAATGCGATAAAATAGAAGGAAAAATGTTGAATTTTAAGAAATTCGGATTTTTGAATTTTTGATAATTTTCGATAATTTTAGATTTTTACTAAAAAGTCGAGACTATTAAATAAGAAAAGTATTTTTGAAGAGCACAAAAATAATGAAGCTAAATGGCATAAAAAAGAAGGAAAAATGTTGAATTTTAAGAAATTCGGGTTTTTGAATTTTTGCTAATTTTCCAAAATTTTAGATTTTTTACCAAAAAGTCGAGACTATTAAATAGGTAAAGTTTTTTCCAAAAGCACAAAAATAGTGAAGCTTAATGCCATAAAAGAGGAGAAAAAATGTTGAATTTTAAGAAATTCGGGTTTTTGAATTTTTGATAATTGAAGGGCTACATAAAATAAGGGGAAGAACGCGAGGCTTGGAAGGGATACTACCAGTCGGGTAGCAGTGACAAGCCTTGAGCCGCTCGCTGGTACCTGACTGATTTTATTTCTTTCAACCATGCGTTCGTCCCCTTATTTTATGTAGCCCTTCAATTTTTGATTTTTTGCTAAAGGGTGGAGACTATTGAAATAGTAATATTATACTACCGAAATAGCTAATGGTAACTAATTATTAATTTTTAGGTCAAATTAACTTCCCGACTATTTTCTGATTTTCCAGATTGGTAGAAACATTGTTAAATGTATTGGTAGAAACTAAAACCCGTCGAAGACGGGTACGACAGCTAGTAATTATATATTATAAAAAATATAAAATTACATATATTTAAAGAACTTTTATTTATATGCATACATTCCAATCTTTGATCTCCGTTAATCGGTTGGCAAGAACACACCCCGCTGATCCATCTCCCACAACAATGAAATCCAATTCTTTCGGTATTTTACGTGACGATTTTTTATTATCTTTAGAATACCCGAAAATGAGGGAGAGAATTGCTGCAAACATTACAGTTTGTGTTGGACAATTTGTACATTTTTCACCGAAATCACACAAATCTTGAAAAAGTGGTCCTGGTTTGAAAACCATATTTAAAGTAATTACTTTAAATTATTTTTCTTTATGCGAGTCTGAAACTTAAAACTATACTAATTTTCATTATTATAAATGCAATTTTGTCAATTTTTAAAAACAACGTTAATTTTCTTACAATTTTTAAGCTAGCTTTGTAGAATAGTTTATTCCTAATTATTCCAAAGAAATTAAGTGCTTTTAAATTTGCAAGCTCTATTACTTTGTATGCAATGCTGAATCGATAATAATAAGTTAAACAAGTTTTGGATTTTATCTTTTAGCATATTTTCTTTAAATGTGAATTTTGTATAAATAAGATATGAAACAAACGAGTAAGGTTTTAAATAAATAACTGTAAAGTTTTTATATTAAATCGAGTAAATATAAGTAACAAACTTTAAAAGTATAATTATTAAAATGTAATCAAATAAATCTAGTGATTCAAATTAAATTTATAAAAATCCTTCCTAAGAAGGTTTTTACTTCCAATCATTTTTAATCATATCACTAGCTTTCTCAGCAATCATAATAGTCGGTGCGTTGGTATTGCCCCGAACAATGATCGGCATTATCGAGGCCTCAACAACTCTGAGTCCCTTTATTCCACGAACTCGTAATCCTGGATCAACTACAGCATCCACATCGGACTCTGGACCCATTTTACAAGTACCAACAGGATGGAAATCAGTTTCCGTATATTGCTTCATCATACAATACCAGTAATAGTCACCATTGAATTGAAATCGTTCGCAAAGAGGCCATGGTGTATCTTCTAGAGTCATTCCATTCTCTTGAAAAACTTTGGTTTTGAATAACGATTGGAAAATTCTTATTCCTTCCCTAAGACGTTCTCGGTCTGGACTCTTGGTGAAAAATCCTTGACGAATTACAGGTGGTCCCATAATTGGATCTGATGGATTCAGGGTTATCGTTCCTCTACTCTTAGGATTTAATAGTACGGGAATTACAGTTATTAATTCATAGGAATTTGTAATAGACAATTGTCCATCACTATCAAAGGGCTCATAATTGTATTCAATATCTGGAACTTGTTTTTCAGTTTCAAAAGTCGTTTTTACGAAAGTAGCACTTTCGACAGGACCTATTTTTGCTAGTGGACCTGTTCTATTCTTTAAATATTGTTGTAAGTCTGCAATTCTTTTCTTTAAACTCTTTTTTGTAGAAGTGTTGTTAAGTTTGATGCGGAGACCATTGAACGTTACATGATCCTGAAGATTTCGACCGACTGGTGAATCTTTTATCACACTGATGTTGTGTTTCTTTAATTCGTCAGCTGGTCCAATTCCAGAAAGCATGAGCAGCTTAGGCGAATTAATTGCACCTGCTGATACGATGACTTCCTTGCGTACCATTACGGTTTTCTTTTCTCCATACTTATTAATGTATTCAACACCAATCGTTTTTTTGGTTGCAGGATCTATTTTGACTTTCGTAACGAATGCTTCTGTTTCAATGTACAAATTTCGCCTTTTATGTCTAATTGGTCGAATAAAAGCACTGTTTGTACTTTGACGCCTTCCATTAAGTGATGTTGTCTGGATATTCATTACTCCAATTTGGCTATTGTTGGCATTCACGTCAACGTATTTGTATCCCATTTCTTGCCAGGCTTTTGTTAATAGTTGCGCATTTATGTCAGTGTGAGGAAATTTTTCCACTGTTAGATATCCTCCTTTATTGTGAAACTGAGGATTTGCACTCACTATCTGAAAAATTATAATTATTTTCAAAATATGCTATGTAAAACTATGACACCAAATTTCCCATTGGGGTTCGAAAATGCAAGCGTAAAAGATTATATAAAATAATAAGCATAACTTACATTATTGTCTAGATTATTTTCAGACTTTTTGAAATAAGGCAAAACGTCCTTGTAACTCCAACCGTCATTACCAAGTTTGGCCCAATTATCATAGTCTGATGGGGATCCCCTGACATATAACATACCATTAATTGAACTCGATCCGCCCATTACCTTAAAAACATAATATTTGGTCATCAAAATTATTTTCAATTATAAATCCTAACACAGTTGGAAATAATTAGCGATTTACAAAAAAATCAATGTTTCTTTAAAATAGTCACCTTTCCACGTGGCATCAAACAACCGTTGCTTGCTTGACAAGAATTTGCATCGGCTTCTGTTTTATAATTCCAATTAATGCTACTTCCAAATGATAAGAAAAATGACGACCCTATTTTACTAAGTTCCAACTCTTCTTCACCTGCTTCCAAGAGGAGGACCTAATTAAAATTATATTATAAAGATAAATTTAAGTAAAATATTTTTATTAATTTTAAGTGCGTTATTATAAGAAAATTTTAATTTTATAACATAAAATAGAGTTATATTAAAAGAACTTTTATAATTACATTCCAATCTTCGATTTCCGTTAATCTGTTAGCAAGAACACATCCTGCGGAACCGGCTCCCACAATAATAAAATCCAGTTCGTTTGGAATTTTACGCTTTAATTTATTCTTATCTTTAGAATACCCAAAGATGAGAGAGAGAATTGTTGCAAACATTATAGTTTCTGATGGACAATTTGTACATTTTTCACCCAAATCGCACAAATCTTGAAAAAATGGTCCGAGTGTAAAAACCATTATTCCTGTATACTCGAATCGGAAAATTAAAACTTAATATTACATATATTAAATGTGGTCATTTATTTTTTCAAAATTAAGTTTTTAACATTTATAATATTAAATATAAATTATTTTTTTCGAAAACAATTTCAAATTCCTTTATATATTTTTTTTCGTACAATCTTTAAAGTTACCTTTTAGAATAATTTATTTACGTTTCAGACAAATTAACTGATTTTAATTTCACAAGCTTTTATTTTATATGCAATACCGAATTGATAAGAAGCCGAAGAAATTTGGTTTTATTACTGCAGTTATCTTTTGGGGAACAGTTTTTGTTTAAAATGGGCTTTGTTAAATATGATAAGGATAACAAAAGAGTGATCTTTTAAAAAAAATAATTAGAAAATTTCTTTATTAAAAATAAATTGAAAAATAAATTTAAAAATTGAGGGAAAATATATTTTAAAATTTTTGTCTTATTTATTATTTATTAATATCTTATTTGTAATACACCAACAAAAATTTTAATTATAATAATGTATACATGTGAGTATAATATATTACAAAATATAATTATAAAATATTAGTAAATACGAAGTTGTAAATCAAAAATGTTATGAAAATTTTAAATTTACTATTTTTCTTTTTTAGTTTTTTAAAGCTTATATGTTAATTAATTTAATTACTAATAATTTAATAATGATAGTATTTATGTATGCGTTCTTTAAAATTTTATTTTTTTAAAAAAGAAATTAGTTACGTTTAAATCCTAGAAATCCTTGAAATTTTTTACTTGTACATTTATTTCTATATTAATTTCGAAAATATTCAAATCAATACGAATTTCAGTTTGCACGTCGTAATTCCCTTTGGATCTGCCTGGAAGAATTAAAATAAGTAAAAATTCATTTCAAAAATAAAATAAAACAATAATATGTATAAAAAATAAACTAATATATAAAAATAATAAATAAAAAATAACATATCAATTATTCATCTTAAATAGTATTTTTTACTGGGTTGCACTTTTAATTTTCTTTTTTCGGTTTAACGTTTTCTATTCACATTTGAAAAAATTTTGAATCTGCGCATACATGTATGAACTGATTGTGTCTTTTTCTAATATAAAAGTTACTAGAAAGTAAACCGTAAGAACAGCTGAACGGGTACAGAAATTTATTTTACCGACACAAAGCTTGGCGTCTTTTCATATGGCATGAACTAAAAACATTTTGATAGAAATCATAAATTTTGGTTGTAAAGACAACCTAATTTATAAATTATAATATAAATAATAATAATAATAATAATAATAATAATAATAATAATAAAATATTGTTATTAAAAAAAAAGTTTGTAATATTTTGTAAAAAATTTCCTGTTTAATAAACTTATATGAATTCTATATAATATTAATCAAAACCGTCGAATATTCTTCGTCTTCCTCGTCGTCTTCTTTCAAATCGCCGAATATTCTGAGAAAATTTATAATGATAGGGTCACAGTACATGCTTGCAGGTTGCCATAGTAACGTACAAGAATGAGAGAGATAAAAACATTTGCCTATCTCTTACTCTTCTATGTTACATGGCAACCTGCAAACAGAGCAGCGACTTTTTAATACTATTTTTTTAATAATAGTTTAATATAAATAGTAATTTATAAAAAAGTGCATATAAATTCTTTTGTTTGCTTTCCGAAGGATTTTAAATATTGGCTACATGGGAAAGTGTGATTATTTTATGATTTCAGAAGGTTTCCCATATTTTGCGTGTCACACTATTGATAAAGAATAACTCGAACAAATAACATTAAATATAATTTCGATATTACATAACTTCGGTAAAAATTGTCCAGAACTGAAAATTTGCATTGGAGTAAGAGAGACAGATACATAGTCTGTCTCTCTTACTCCAATATAGATTTTCAAACGAAATACAAAACTAGAATCACTATATGTATCCTAAAAGTACGCAGCGCCATTCACGGCGACAGAAGTTACTACAAATTGAATTCCCGTGCGCGACGAGCTTTACCTCGCACTTCGGATGTTCCACTCCACCTTCCGAGGCTGACCGCAGCTTTCGAGCACTAGTGTCGTGTCACACTCTCTGACCATCGAGTTTCCCCTCTCGTGAAACTAGTAATGCCGAGCGTGCAAATGGCTGAGCGTCGGCCATCATGGCTTTAAGTAGGGACCGTGTCACGCGAATATGTTTTTCAAGTGAAAAATCTCTCCTGGCGCGTTTGTAATCGTGTCGAATGACAATGGCTACGCGAGGATGAGGCCCTGAGCGTCCTTCGTGTGGGGTGATTCGGCCGTAGGGCCCTAGACAGGCCCAACCCTGAACAAGACTCACGCCCCGACACCCGACCCCACTTCCCCCCATCACACACGGGTCCCCTAGTGTTCCCATCACATTATCATCGACAAACACATTATATTCATAGTCTTGCCAACACGGCAGTTGTTTATCAATTTTGCGTCAATTGAAAATACAACTTTGTCAACATGAGTAAAGTTTCGTTCAGGGCGCGCCCCCTGGAAGCGTCCAAGCCCATGCCAATATACATGGCCGAGGAACTTCCTGATCTTCCTGATTATTCCGCCATCAATCGTGTTGTGCCTCAAATGCCTAGCGGAATGGAAAAAGAGGAAGAATGCGTAAGTATTCATTAGTTTTCCACTCAATTTCCCTGTGTTTCATTGAGCATGTTTTCAATGTCGGCCATTTTGTTTGGATCTTTTCGTTTTTTCTGAGAGATGGCGTTGCGCGCGTTTTATAAATTTATTTTCCCCTTTTTTTATGTTTTTAATTAATTTTTGCATGGTTTTTTATGTAATTCTTGTTTATTTTAATATTATGCATTGTTGGGTGTCATTTTTTTGAGTTGACAATGCGTGGGGGGCGAAATATTCACCTGTTGTGTTGGGCCTGTTTATGTTGAAAAACATTAACGCCAAAAATCGTTTTCATGGTGTGGGGGTGCATGGGGGAGGGTGAATATTGTTTTCGAGAGGAACTTTAGATATTCAATTAGATGTTTTTTCGAAAATATTGGCTATTTTGCCATTTGGCGATGTTTTATTTGCAATGTTTTGCAGGCCTGACAATCGGGGTTTAAAGGGCGATATTTGTTGCCATATTCACGGGGATTTTTTTCTGAAAAATTACTCTTTCTTTTTGTAATAAAAAAAACTTATTGTTAATCTTTAACTACCAAAAATAAATTTTTTGTTTTTTTATCTATTTGTTTGTTTATTTATTTACTATTTTCAATTCAAAAACACGTGCTATTTTATTGTTTTTATAACCTTATTTCTCTTCCCCAAGAATTATTTTTTACCTTTTTTTACAATCTTTAGATTTTCATATTTTATCTTAATGCAAATTTTAAATCGTAAATAAAAAATTGTATTTTATTCTAAATCAAAAATCGTCTATTAAAAAATAATAAATTTTGATATAAAATAAATTTTGAATAAATTTATAATAAATCGATATAAATGATTTATTTTATTATTTTCCTTTTTATCTGCAAATATATTTTAATTTTTAAATGAATTAAAAACAAAATTCATTATTCGTTTCAAATTTTGTTTGAATTTTTTTAAAAAAATTTTCAATTTTTGTTTTTAATTTTTTTAATTTAAAAGAAAAATTCTTTTTTTAAATTAAAAAAACTAAAAAGAAAAATTTTTAAAAATTCAAATAAAATTTGAAACTGATAGTGAATTTTGTTTTTAATTAATTTAATGAAACTTTGGAAGATATTGATTTATATTTTTTTGGAAAAGTTTATTTACATTTTTGTATTTTGCAGGAGCATCATCTTCAAAGAGCGATGAGTAAAGGATTAATCATTCCTACCCCTGAGGTAACAAATTTAACTGACGAAGGAATCTACGATAGAATTTATCCCGCTGACTATAAATTACCTCGACAACTTATTCACATGCAACGTAAGATATTTTTTAATTTTTTAATTACAATAAATATAAATAAATAAAACAAAAATACTCTCAGCTTTTTTCACTTTTTACCCACTAATATTTCTAGAGAACTATGAAAAAAAATTTAATCCAAATTCTTTATAATTTAGAAACAAAAAAAACCCTCTTTTCTAATTTGGACAAATTTTCATTCGACCAAGTAGAAATTTGGGTAAATTGTGTACGAAAAAATGTAGATTTTCCCTAAATCTTTTTTATTTATGTAGAAAAAGTGTAGAAATGAATTTTTAAGAAATTTACCAAAGGAAATTGAATTAAAATTTAATTTTAATAACCTTGTGATTTCTTGAAATTATTTTTTTAATACTTTACCCGTAGAATTGGTTTTAAAAATAATTTGGAACAATCGTTCTAAATAAAGATGAATTTTGTTGAAAATATTCGTTTATGTTTCGTATTTATGTTTGTTCGTATTTTAAAGAATTGGGTTTTTCCAGTAGAGACAAAATAGTTTTCATTTAAAATTATAAAATTTGTCAGATATAAAAGATTCTGTAAAAATTTCCTTTCAGCTTTCGCAATGGAGCAGGACATTCCAGATTATGACATGGATTCCGAGGACGAACGATGGGTCGGAATACAGAGTCGAAAAATGGACCTGACTCCGTTGCAGTTCGAGGAAATGATGGACCGGCTCGAAAAAAGTTCTGGTCAAACTGTAGTCACTCTCAACGAGGCGAAAGCGCTTCTAAAAGAAGATGACGATCTCATCATTGCAGTTTTTGACTATTGGCTCAACAAACGTCTCAAAACGGTAAAGATTTAATTTCTTAAATTTGAAATTTAAAATCTAAAATTTGTAATTTAAAAGATTTTAAATAAATGATATTTTTTATAATTAATACATGTATTTTTCTTTTGTAATTTCAGCAACATCCGTTACTTTTAACGGTGAAAACGGAACATCGTATCGGCTCGGCAGTAAACAATCCGTATCTCGCATTCCGACGACGAGCTGAGAAAATGCAAACGCGAAAGATCCGTAAAAATGACGAGACAAGTTATGAAAAAATGCTCAAGTTGCGACGTGATCTCAGCCGAGCTGTGACTCTTCTCGAGTTGGTAAAAAGACGCGAGAAAACGAAACGAGAGCATCTTCATTTGACCATCGAAGTCTATGAAAAGAGGTCCGTTTTCGTGTCAGTTCTATTTTTTTCTTTATTTTTTGTAAAGAAAGGAATAGAAACTGCATTTTTTCTCAAAGGAAAACAAGAAAAAGAAATTTTTGTTTAATAGGTATCAAGCGCAGGACTTTAGTGGACAAATTCTCACGGAAGTATCGGCACTGAAGACTTCAAGACCTGCTTTCGCTCCACTATTCACAAATCAGTTTGGCGTCCACCAAAATTGGGCTAACAAAGTTTGTGGAAAGGTAAATTGATTTTTTTAAAGTACAATTTTCAACATAAAAAATAGAAAAAAAAACTAAAGAGTAGAAGTTCAAGTTGAACTTCAAGGGAAATAGTATTTTGATTTTAACGAAATTTTTTTTCTAAAGGACGAAGTGATTCCGAGGAAAGAAAAACGACAGTACAAGAAGCGGAAACACAAACCGGACACGAGAGGTGGACTGGATGATGTGAGAGGTGGCACGGGAAGCAGCGGTGGTCGAGGAAGTCGAGCGGCTCTTGGAAGCGGGCTGGACCCGCTGATCAGTTCAGATGAAGACAGTCCTCTTCCGTCACACTCGCACACTCAACCTTCACTTCCATTGGATCGCACTGACGACGAGACGACTGACGAAGGTCAATTCGCCTTCAAGCGAACCAGATATAACTCTTACTTACCGGTAATTTTCACCTCTTTTTTTCAAAATACGATAAACAAAATCAGTCAGGAAAAAATTGGGAAATCAGGGAAAAGCAAAATTAAATTTTTGTGGCAACCTTTGAATAAAGATAATTTGAAAGTAATATAGATTTTGTGTAATTTGTTGTATTTCTCGTTTGATAGCCTGTATCAGGTGGATATGGAAATTGGCCTTGGTGCGATAGGGATGAAGGTGGGTTAGCCGATAAAAGATTCAGGTTCGCCCTGACGAGCATTAGAAAACCGACACCAAGGTGCATTGGCCTTGCAAGACGACGAGTTGGTCGAGGGGGCAGGTGTGTATTACTTCGTTTATCTAAAAGTCGATATTCTGTTTGGGATTTTGCGCTAATTTTTAAGTTTCTTGTGCAGAGTAATTTTGGATCGTTGTCCGAGCGACATGGACGACATGTGGTCTTCTTTGGATTTCACGATACATGAACCAAAACGAGAACCAATTGATCCAACGGCGACTGCCACAACTACGACTGCAGTGAAGAAAGAAATGTACGTTCCCATTAGTTTTTAATATTCAACGAAACAAACTTGAATGTTATTAATGAAAGGAAATTTTCGATTTTCAGATTGCACTTTCGGCCGAAGACGCCACCGATGTCGCAGAGTCCTCCTTGTGAATCAGGCGGCAGCAGTTGCAGCAACAGCAGCGATTCCGACTCGGAAATGGAGTCATCCTCGCACCTGAGGCCGGAAGTTATGACACCCTATCCCTTCCCGGCGGAGGTGACATCAATATGCGTTGACGTGGAGTCCGATCGTCCCGGTGACGAGCCGCCCTTCACCTCTGAATTCAATATTTCGGACTACTTTTCAACCGACGCACTGTCGGACTTTGACCTGGCGGTTGGCAGTGTTTTGCCAATCACGAACAATAATATCCCAAGCGAGTCGCGAACAGACGAACTCGAGCCAATCGGATCATCTCGCTTCATCCTGAGCGCGGAAAACTCAGGCTTTCCCCTGCCGCCAAATCGACCCCCCCAGTGCAGTGCTAGTGATAGTGTAAGTACAAATAATTCGACAAATTTCCTCATCTCGTCCACGAGTTCGAGTTCGCCGTTCTCGTCCTTTTCTTCCTCATCGTCCTCCGCGACATCCAACACAGTTACGTCAACTCACGAACAATCCACGTCCCTTATAAATCGAACCAAAAATAGACAATTGATGAATAATGCTTCTTCTGTCGCCAACGCCGCCAACGCAGCTTCGATACTCTCGAAATCTCTAACTAGTCCAACGAACAATAAAAGTAACGTCGTCGTCGGCGGTGCTAAAGTTCTCGGTAATATGGGAAACGGACATCAGAATGGACCGCTGGTTGTTCACAATTCCAATATTAATAATCTTCAGAGCAGCCATCTTCCCAACAATCAATCATCAACCATCATTCTTCAAACGCAGAAGCAAGCGCCGTCCAATTTGCTGCCGGGCATCATCACCCAGAACAACAAACTCGTCAGCCTCAGACAGCAGATTCCAACGTCCGGGGAAATTACGCTTAAAAGTAGCAATAGGTCAGTTGGCGATAATATTGCATCAATTGTTGGCATGGACGCGAAGAAGAATTTTCTTTATCTCACGGCTAATTAACACATTCCAAAAAAAAAGAAAAAATGCACACACTGTGACTATTTTTTTGTCTCACTTTCTTCTAAGGCTTTTGGTCTCTGCCGCTTTTGATACACTTTGCCTGAGATTTTTTCAATTTCGGAACTCGATGTTTATTCTTTCTTTAAATTAGCGTTCAAAACAAATATAGTTGACGATGATTGAAAATATGACCGAATTTATAGACTAATTTAAAGATTTCTATTTAAATTTCTATTCAAAGAAAAATGAAAAACTATTTAAAAAGTGCGAAAATAATTTCGCTCTTTTTAAATAGTTTTTCATTACAATTTTGAATTTGTTAATATTTAAGTTTTTGAATTTCAATGTATATTATCGTTTCATAGTTTAGGCGAAAAAATCCAAATTGTTTCATTTTTAAAAAAATTTTGATGATAAATTTAAAAATGTCTTCGAAATTTTTTTAAAAAGGAAACAATTTGGATTTTTTCGCCTAAACTATGAAACGATAATAAAATTTTGAATTGGCAAAAAAATTTTGAAAGTTTTAGTCTAAATATATAATTTTGTATATAATAATATAGTTTTATGAATAGAAAAATATAAAAAAAAATGAAAAAACTTTCCAAAAAAAAATTAAATTGTTAAAAAAATAACGTTTTCGAAATTGTTAAAATCTCACGCAAATTCGCACTCACGCTAATGCAATTTTTTTTATTAGGGTGTCTATTTAGAAATTTTCAGGAAAATCTAACAAAAATTTCTCTGCAAAAACTTAGATATAGAAAATTTTTTTAATTTCTATAATATCATTTTTGCTCTATGCTTGTAAATATTAACAGTTTAAATAGAGAAAACTGAATCAACAATACGAAATTGTTATTAAAAACGATTTTAATTAATTTTATAAATTATTTATATTGTTAGCGAATAATTTTACAAACACAAAAAATGTAATTGCATTTTTTAAAATTCTTATGTCTATTTTTAAACAAAAAAAAAATTTAAACAAATTGGAAATGTTAGAAAAGGCCGAGAAATTTTTGCTCTTGTAAATAACCTGATTTTGCTGATTATTTCTTTAATTTCACATGAACGAAATTCTTTATTTAATCATTTTTTATGATTAGTCAAATTAAAAATGAAATCATTTTATGAAATCTTAAATTAAGAAAATTTTTGAAAATAAGTTCTATAGTGAAATAGATTTTGATTTCATTATTGTATATCTAATTGAGATTAAAAACTTGAGTTTTTACTGTAATGAATTTATCAAGTAAAATTAAATTACTTAACAAAGTAAAGTATTATCACTGAAAAAAGATTGTAATTTAATGTTATAAGTGTAAAAAGTTTCGTTCATTTTAACTTTATCACTTAAACAAAACATTTTTTTTTTTCTCAAACACTTTCATTCACTTTTCCGTCCCATTACTTTTAAACTTTATAGAAAAAGAATTTTTGATTACTACTAAAACAATGCAATTTTACTATAATAATAAAATATTAAATAGAAAATAGTTTTCACTTTAGAGACAGTAAAACTAAAGATGAAAATTCAATAAAGGAAAATAAAAATAGTAAACAGTTTTTAAAAAGTAAAAACTTTTTCCTAATTTTTCGTGTCCGTGAAAATTGTTTATATATTCATATATATATTCAAAAAAAAAATGTATTAGAAATTTTCATTTAATTACAAAAGTTATTAAATTATATTTATGACTTTTAACTATGAGGAAAATTGAATTTCAAAAGTAATTCGGTTTTTTTAAAATTTCATAAATATCATCGAAATAATTTTTTTTAACTTTAGAAGAATTCTTTTATAACAGTTAAGTCTCTTATTTAAAAAAAAAACATAATCTTAAGTTTTGTAAATAATTTGTATAATTATTTTTAATAGTAACCTTTCTTGGTTAATTTGAAAGTTACTGCAATTAAATTTTTTCGAGAAATATTAATGTATACTACGGATAGAATTATCAATGAAAATGTACATTTTTTAATTATTAAACATTCGAAATTGAAAACCCTGAATTTGTTTATTTAAAAGTTTTTCAAAATTCTTAGACTAATTGTTTCGCTAATTTAATTCGTAGTTATTAACGAGAAAAACAACTTTTGAATCAACAAATTTGCTGATTAATTAAAAAGATAATTGTTTAAATTATATCTTAATAGATAGATTTATATCTATGTTTACAAATTAGAAATTTTTATTTTCATAGCAGATAATTAATTAATCTTCCTGAAGTTTTATACAAAACAGATTTTTCTAAATTCAGAGTTTGGAACTAAAAACTAAAATATTTTTTTAGAAATTTAAGTTTATCATTCATTTTTGAAAACTTGATAGAAATTTTTACATTGTTGGATACATTTTTAAAAAATTAAATTTTACAATTTGTTCGAGCTTTTTAAAAAACTATTTAAAAAGATAGTTGATTGTGTCGGTAGCCCAGAGGTATAAAGAGCTGCAAATTTCAGAGCATTTGCGGTTCAATTCCACTTAAAGGTGATTTTTTTTTAATTTAAAAATTTTTCATTAATTAGTGGTTAACTTCTAGAAGATTATTGATAGTAAAATATAATCTTGTAAATATTATATAAGCCAATAACTAAAACCGCGACCAAAAATCATATAGAATCTAAAATTTTTACTTTTATTTTAATATTGAAATTAATTATTTATCTGAAATAAAAAAAAATTGGGCATACGATCGAATTAAAAGTTAGTTCAAAACCGTATTTTTTTAAACCTGAAATCAATTTGCAATTAAAAAGACACGTGGAATTCATATTTTTATCCTTTTTTAAGGGCATTTAACCCTTGTGACTTAAAAGAGACATTGCGATAAATAAATAAATTATCGTAGTTCATATCAAATAAAATAAATAAAGAAAATTTGCTTTGAATCAACGAAATTTTTAGTTTAACTCTATGATTTTTTTTTGGTTCAAAGAAATTTTATGGTTTATAAATATTTGAAGCGCTTTGAAGAAAGGTACTTTAGAAGCAAATCATTTTAAGGTTATGTTTGTGCTATTTTTACCTTAATTAAAAGTTTCTGCTTCATTCAAGCTAATAATAAAAGCTAATAATCAGTTTTAATTAATTCGCATAAATACTTGGAACAGTGGTTTACATGGACAGTTGTATTTTTATTCCAGAAGTTACAAACATAACCTAAAACTTTTTGCTTCAGTTACATTTTCTCAGAGCGCATGACGAAAAGTAATTTTATTTTTTGCGTTTATTTATTTGCGTAATTTACTTATTTTCATAATTTATTTTTTTATAATTAAAAATTGATTTATGATTTATTTATTTGCTTAATTTGCTTTCATTTGTTGTCTCTAATTTGCATCCCACGAGAAAGTTTCTAAAAAAGATTTCAATAAATTGTTTTCTGTCGTATAAAAATCGCAATGTTTTGAAATTTATACAACTTTTAACAATTTTATTGGTAAAATATAAATAAAATTTTTGTTTTATTGTAAAAAATACAATTTTATTTATTAGAAATTTGGATGTAGGTTTAGGAGTAGATTATGTTTGAGGTTATGTTTTGATAAAATGGCTTCTACAAGGCGGCCATTTTATTTTATTTTTTAGTTTACAACACTTGTAAAATTGCAAAATAATAAAGTAAAAATTGTTTTTGCAGTGAAGGAATGGAAATGGAAGTTGACGGAGTGGAATCATCGGCGTGCGATGGGAAGCCACAACAACAGCAACTAGTGCGAACGAGTAAAACAAATTCACTCGCAATGGAAGTGACATGATGCCTGCTATTGGCACCCCTGTCGTTGCCATTTCGTCACTGGGGGCTTCGCTGACTACCTTGCCGATGTCTACCCAATCTGTCTTTTTTTTCTTTTTTTTTTGGACACTGGCTACAGACTGCGTACACTTTTTGGCGCTTTCCTTATCATCGCTCATCGACGCTTTTGCCACGACTCGATAAAATCATTTTTCATTTGTTTTCCATTTACGTCGATTCACTCAATTTCCAACAATCGCTTTTAATTTCTCTCATCTCTATTTTCATCTATTTTTGAAACTAAAAAATTAATTTCTTCGAAATTCAAAGACGTTTCATCAATTTTTTTTTTATTTTTTGTCCATAATTAGAAATTAAAATTATTTTTTTAATTTCGAGTATCTGGATTCTTTTGCGATTTTGTGGTATTTATCGAAAGGGGGGTTTTTTTTTTCTTTCGACGAATATAATTAATTATTCTGCGCAAATTGTTTGCTAAAAAGTGAATTTTTGGTATTTTTTTCAATATCGATATTTTTTGTCAAAAAAAAAAAAAAAATTTGATCTAGTCGTGGCAGTGAATTTCCAGACGCGTTCGAAAATTCCTGTGAATATTCAGGAATTTTTCTTTCGCCCCTCACATATTGTACTTGATATTCCATAAAAACTAAGTAATTGTTCTTCCAAGCAAGTCACTTTTCTCGAGGTTCGAATCTTTTAATCGCAAAAAAAAGCAAAGAAAAATTGAGTCTAAAAATCGGAAAGTTGGAAAAATTTGTGAGTTTTGTGAAGTGTGAACAAATTTTTTCGACGTGTTGATTGATTTGTCAATAATTACCTCTGATTTATTGTAATTATAATTATTAACTTATTTTTTGAATTTTGAAATTGTCCGATTTTTCGACAATCTACGTAAATAAAAAATGTAATTAGTGTCTGGAAATTGAAAGAACGTCGTCTAGAGTTGATCGCGGGAAAAATTAGCGTCGGGACCTACGAGGTATACACATAACGGGTATATCGTGACACTCTTGTCTTTCATGTTAGTAGCCGCGAATGGTTTATACAAAAAAAAGTACATAACGCTTTACGAAATTAGGGTAATATTTATTGTGAGAAGATATTCCATATTTTCTAATTTCGCTCACTTGGGCAACGAATTACCCTCTATTTTCTTTATGGTCAATTTTCTTTACTGATAAAAAAAAATTATTTTTACGTAAAACTAAGTATCGAAATTAAAATTTTTTTAATTAAGAAAACGGAAAAATTACAATAGTCAAATTGAGCGAATTTAAAAAATAGGGATAAAAATATGGTTTTTTGTCGTTTTACGCGGACTCGGATTTTAAAAAATAAGGAGAGAGAATGAGAGAATGAGAGAAAGAGAAAGAGAGAATCTGTTGGCACGAAACAACAGTGACATTAACGAATCTAAATGTACACAAGTTATTCGTATTAAAGGGTCTTAGCTTACCTGTATCTATAATCCATAGGCGTACACTCGCTCTTCTACGTAACAGTCTGTGCGCTCTTGTTAACAAGAAAAAAAAAACAAACAGTCTACGTTTGCAAAAAAAAGACATCTTATCTTCTCGTATCTCTTCTTTTTTTCTTTCTCATTTCAATTTCCTGAAAAAGTTTATCTAAAATTTAGAATCGAGAAGATTTTTCGAATTCTTATTCAAATTTTATTTATTACGTTGATTTGATTTGAAAATTAATGTTTTGTAAATATTTTTAAATTATTAAAAAAAGATAAAAAAAAGAAAGGTTTCGATAACAATTGTATGTATGAACGAACGAAAAATTTTAAATATCGATTTCTTGATTTTTCTTTTCTATTTTTGGTTGAGAAAATTTTTGAAAATTATGAACGAGAGCAAAGAGCCTTCGTTCCTTTTGTACACTTAACTCGAGTCTTCGTGCTTAAAAACTCGCATCTGAAAATGTAATTTTTCAAAAGAAAAAGTAAAAAAAAAAATAAAGAAAGCACCGCAGATTAAATATAAGGGACTTTAAATAAGGCTGCGGTGCATAAAAATACGTGGGAAACATAAACGATGGGAAATGAGGATGTTTAAATAATAATAATGAAAAAAAATACTGTACATATAAAAATAATTACGCTTACTGTATCTCTTACTTTTAGGTGATCAATTAAATGTAATTAATGTTGTTGTGGTAGGCGCACAGCGATGTGTAAGAAAACTATGAATAATTCGAAACAATTTTAGGAGGAGTAATAAAGAAATTTTATCCTGAAAATGATATCTGCTATTTTCTTTCACGTTTATGATTTTTGAATAACAATTTATCAAAACCATTTTAGTTTCTCTAATGATTATTATTGAAATTTTTATGATTTCAGCCAATATGGAAAGGTATCTACACTTGAAGTTAACTTATAGAAGATCTTTTGAAGAAAATCTTTTGATGAAGATCTTTTAAAGATCTTTTGATGAAGAGCTTTTGAAGAACAGTTTAAGTTACTTTAATTCGGATTGAATCAGTCTAAAGAGCTTTTCTCCGGGACTTCTGGGAGGTTCGAACTCCATTAAGGAAGCGGCCTTAGTCAGAAGAGACTTTTTGTCTTCCCCGGGACAAGAAGCGAGCTCTCGGAGAGCAATAGCTGTGTAAAGCGCAAGACGAGTCCCATGGGGATCAACAATGGAAGTCGTGGAAATTATCCTCCTGCAGATCTGCGGTTTCTCTGGATCATCAGAAGACATCAATTGGATTAAGGAGTGACCCACCGATATGCAGTGTTGATGATCGGGGTGTAAGAGAACCCTGAGTCTGGAATTTTGTTTCCATTAGTTTATACTTTATCAATTCGAAAAGGGCCTAAACTGTTAAAGTCAACTAAAAGTTGGATACAGTGGAGCTTCTTGATGCAAGAACCAGAAGTAGATTGATATTCAATGGTCAGGTTCTTGCAACAAGGAGTTCTCATTCCCAAAAATGAAGAGAGGATATTACCTTGAGAGCAGGTCCATGAGAGTGTCCCGTTTTGCGACTCCCATCGCCGTATCAACTTCTTCGCCTAATCTCTCGACTAATTGGGTGACTTCCAAGGAAGTTAGGGTTCCAGGGCAGGAATTGCAGGACCATTCGGTGTCTTCGTCGAGGGGATCATTCGGAAGTACCAAACCCTCTCCACAGGGACACTTTAAAGTCCCTAGATGACTCCCCAATTCTGAAGGATCTGCGCAACGCTGACAACAGCAGTGGAAGTATTTCGTCGCCAGAAGATGGTCCCTCCGCACCCTCGTCGACCAGAAGACGTGAGTATAAGTCGTACTCAAATGTTCACCCCTAAAATTAAACTCGTAATTAGAAATCGAAGCTCTTGAAATCAGCCGCAAATTCTGGTCCATAAGATTTTCTAAAATATCCATTGCTGTTGGGGTATCTATAGATACTCACTTTTTGATGAAAGTAACAGCCTTGACGAAGATTCGAGGTCTGCCCACTTCGTCAATGGTGAATCTGAACCTAGTGTTGGAGATGCACTGATGTTCCAAAAGACAAGTATTTTCGTAAATTGCCACCGAACCCTCGGGAGGATTTGTCTCCAAAGCGTTTACGTCAATGAGGCCCGAGATTTTCGGCAGGACCTCAGCAGCACTCGGATCGGCCGACAAAAATGGAGCCAAATACTCAGCGAGGCTCTTGGTCTCTTCATAGGCTTCTGTTCCTGGTCCTCGCGACTTTTCATGACTCTGCAGTTTCATCACTGTTTTCCACTTCTTCGGATTTCTCCGACGTAGAATCAGAAGTCGAAGGGCCAAAATAACGCTACATCTGAGAAAGGGGTTTTTTTCAATTAGAAAAATTATTTAATTTCAGATTTATCTCTGATGCAGAAAAAATAAATTTTAGACATAATTTCAAAACCTGGGTAGAATTCTGGCCTTGGCCAGCAATTGGCATTCGAGAGCGTGACGCTCCATGTCCATGAGGCCATCGCAGTCAATTCTGCAAACGGGCCAAGAACATCCGATGCATCTGGCGGTAATTTGACGACTTCCGCAGCCAACACAAATCCTCTCGCCACTGTGAGGCGCTGGTCCAAAAACTAATGGCAGTTCGGAAATTATTAAGTCCTCTGGATTTAGATCGCGAGTGGCCACAAGATATCTCCCTAATTTTTTGTCCTCTTTTATCTCCCAAGCTCGACATGTCGACTTGTGACGTTTCCAATCGTCACGCTGATGATCTTTCGTGCAATAAAATTCGACTTTGCATTCACTACAACGCAAAGAAGCCGATTTCTCACAGACTGCACAAATTCCTTTCGGTTCTTCAGTTTCCATTTTTCTAAATAAATTATTTTATGAATGTGATAAATATTTATATTTAAATGCTGTCCTACAATTTTTCGTCCTTACGATCTTGTTTACTTTGCTCAGCAATTCCATTTTTAATTTCAAAATTTATAAACAATTTATTAGTTTATTAAATCATAAAATATAACACTGCAAAAATGTATTTGATTCAATTTTTAATATTTTTATTTTCGATTTTGAAATGCTGCAGCAGATTTGAAAATCTATCGATTTTTAAGAAAAATAAAAATTCAAAGAAGGTCAAAATATTTTTCTACTGATTTTATTTTGTGACCACTGAATTTCTCTAAAAACTATTACTGTATATAAAAATAATTTTATGGAAGATTTAAATAATTTTCTTGATACTATAAAAAATATAGACAAATTCTTCATTTTAAATTAAATATTTTTATTTTATTCTACCTATTTTTAATTTTTATTATTATTTTTTTTAATTATTTATTATTTTTTCATAAATAATTCTAAATTAAACGAAACTTAAACTTACCAAAAAGATATAGTTTTTAAAGTCACTCACAGTCAAACTTTCTTCAAATATTGTGTTATTTCGATTATTTCAATTCCAAACCATTGTTTTTTTTTAAATTTTCACTAAACACAAATAATTAATTACACTTTGGAACTAATAAATTAAATAAAATTTTTCTATAAACAGTAGAAAATTGGAAAATTTTAATTAAGAAGTTATTCTATATACTTTTGCGTTCACGTTGCGTTAGAAAATAAGTCAACGGCATGAAAACTTTATTTTTAAACTTGAAACTACAGTACTTCCATCTATTTTTAAATTTGTATTTCTAATTCTATTCAATAACGGAAATCCAACCCATATGTAGAAAAGATCCAAAATAATTTCTTTCACTAAAATGTAATTTTAATTTAATTAATTTACATGAATTCATATAAATTAATTTATATAAATAAATAAATTTATTAAAAAAAAATTTATAGTAAAAAATGTTAATAAAATGTTTTTTTATATATTTTTTCCTATCGATTTAAAAATGTTATCATTACTCAATTAATTATTAATATTATCAACAATAAATAATTACAAAATCATGAAAATGTTGTTGTAAATTAACTTTAAAGAAACAAAAAAATACTCAAGTTTTAAATTGTTTCTAACTTCATTGTTTTTCAAAATTAAAAATTTTAAATCAAATTTTTCATAATAAAAAATTAAAAATAAAAAAAAATGTAACATGTTTAAATAAAGTAATTAAATTTTCTTGACATTGAAAATAAAAAAGGACAAAATTTCAAGTTTTCATAAATTTTATTTTTCTACGGTAAGGTTAAATCTTTTATTATTAAAAGTTATACTTTGTTGTAATATTATAAAATTAAATTATTTTCAAAATTTATAATTACAAAAACAAATATTTTTGTAATGTATTTTTTAAACAGTTCTATTGACGTAAAAAAATAAATATTTAATTTTATTATTATTATTTAAAAAATTTTTTTATTATGATTATTAATAATAATAATAATAATAATAATAATAATAATAATAATAATAATAATAATAATAATAATAATAATAATAATAATAATAATAATAATAATTATAATTATTAATAATAATAATTATTATTATTATTTTTATTACGATTATTAAAATTATTATTCATACATTATAAATAGTATAGGTAATTAAAGAATAAACAAAAAGCATACAAAAAAAATTTATTTGATTCAAAGCTTGTTCATTATCAAAAAAATATTTACTTGAATTAAATAAATTTTTTTAATATAAATTGTTAATGAATTTTATATTTTAAACAAATTTTAGAAATGGAATTTTCCAATGTGGCAGACACGTGTTTTACATGGAAAATAAATAATTTTATTAACAATGATTCGCTAAAAAAAGATTGTTTACGCTCCACGAATTTTACAAGTTCAATAGAACCAAATAGACAGTGGAATTTATTTCTTTCTATTAATGAAAAATTGGCCGAGCATTGTGACCGTTGTAAGGCAATAAAACCAAAAAAATATTCTCTCGAGCCTTGTAATGTGAAACTTGAGAAGAAAATTATCAAACTTTTTATGATTTGCAACAAAATTAGTGAAAATCCAGTAGATATGAAAGTTTCTTTATCAATAATGGAGAAAAATGAGAAAATCTATACAAGAAGTTTTATTGTAACAACGTCCGGTGAAGAGACTAATTTTGGATTTGATAATTTTATTGATTTTGATGAATTAATGACAATAATTAATGGCGATCAATTGGAAATATTTGTTGAAATGTTTTTAAAAACTGATGAGATAAAAGTTGAGTTCAAAGAATTTATGAACTCGGAATTTTTGAGTGATGTGCAAATTTTTATTCAGGAGGAAAAATTCTACGCTCATAAGGTAGAAATTTTAATAAATAATATTATTATTATTATTTTAATTATCATAAAATTGTTACTATTGTTATTTTTATTATTATTATTATTATTATTAATATTATTTTAAAAAATTTTAGTAGAAATTTCGATTCGATTTATTGTAGAAGTACCTTGACGCGTCTAATCGATATGTTTACGCTAGTTGCCCAACCCTGGTCGGATTAGTGACCACAAGCGCCTATTGAATACAAAACTAATGGGGTTTCCCCAGTAATTAAATTTTATTGTAAAAAAATGTTAACATTTTATTTTCAGTTTATGTTAGCAGCCAAAAGCCCGTATTTCAACGATTTATTCAAAACCAACAAAGAACTGAAAGAAATTAATAATCTTGATAACATAAAACCAGACACTTTTATTGAAATTCTAAATTACATTTATACCGATAGTGTAAAAAATTGGTCACTATCATGCGATATTCTATTGGGAGCACATTTTCTGAAAATGGAAAATCTCAAATCAAAATGTGAGGAATATTTAAGAAATAATATAACAATGGAAAGTGTGAGTCCAGTTCTGATGTTGGCCGTTGCATGTGAAACGAAATTTCTATTGAAACACTGTCTCCATTTTATTTTGCAAAATGTTAATAGTCTCGCAAAATCGAATAATTTACAATGCTTGAAAAGTGAACCTATTATAATACTGAATATTCTGAAACAATTATTTGAGAACACAGCGAATGGCGATATGTCCATTACTGACAATATAATACTCTATTTTAAAAATAGTGCATCACAAATTGATTGCCAAATGTTAAGGGATTATGAACCATTTTTAAATAGCGAGATTTTAAGTGATATCACAATTCAAGTTGGTGAGAAAATTTATCAATGTCACAAATTAGTTTTAGCTGCTAAAAGTCCAGTATTGAGAAGAATGCTAATGAGCAATATGAAAGAAGCTATTAATAATTTTATCGAAATTAAAGATATGAAAGTTGAAGTATTTCAAGAAGTACTCAGGTAAAATATTCAAAAATTATGATATAAAAATTTTCTAGTATTGATTCTGTATAGGTTTCTAGAAAAATGAGACAAAACTGATAACAGATTTTTTATAATTTCTAGTGAAATATGAATAATAAGTATACACAAGGCTTGGAGTTAGTGTAAAATTTAAAAAATAGTAAGAAACTTAAGAAGTAAAATTATTGGTATTAAAAATTACTAAAATTTTTTCTAAATATTTAAAGAATCCATGATATTTTTTTCAAACTCGTTGCCGATAATGAAAACTTTATTTTCCCGTATTTCATAGAAACCTACAGAATCAATATAAAATTTTTTTTTAAATCTGTCGGCAACGTTTTTGTGCAAAAAAAATACAGTGGATTTGCTGCAAAAGTACTTAAAATTCTAAATTTTTTAATTTTTAATTTAAGATACATGTATACGGGAAAAGTGGAAAATTTACTGGAAGAGAATGCACTCGACATATTGAAAGCTGCCGATCAGTACAATTTAGATCATTTGAAAAAATTATGCCAAGAATATTTGGTTGATTTCTTGAGGCACGAAAATGTTGTAAAAATCGTCAAAGTTGCAAACACATATAATGCGCCTTTTTTAAGGAAGAGTTGCGTTTATTTTATTGTCAAGCAAATGGTTTTTTATTCAAAAAACGAAAATCTCCCGAAAGTTATCGATCTTGATAGTCTTACTGATGATCATTCTGATATTCTTTTTGAAATTCTCGATATTTTGACCAGAAACTGCTTCATCAAGTACAATAAAAATTGAAATTAGAAAAAAAATTTGTTGCTTTTAATTTCGATTGGTTTTTTCAATTTCTAGAAGCAGTCTAGAAGTATTTTTTTTCTAGTGATAAAAAAAATTTCTTGCAACTTTTGATCACTTCTCGACTGTCTTTGGGGGACTTCACAACATTTTGCTTTCCGCTCTTTTATTAATTAAGAAGTAAGTTATTAATTATTTTTTTATTTTCGATAAAAGTTGCAGTTTTTAAAAATGCATTTCAAATAATTAAGAATCTCTACAAATTAAACAATTTTTAATACTTTTTAAAAATATTTTTAGTTTTAATAAAAAAGGCCTTCTTAATTTCCTATTTTTTTAATGTTTTGAATTTTTGTTAAAAAATGACATAATTTTTGTAATATTCATAATTTTAAGTCTGCAATAATTGAATTCTTTCAAGAAATTTTATTAATTTCTAAAAATAATTGAATCTTTTCATAAATTTTTGTTAAAAGTTTAAAAAATAATTGAATTGATTTGAAGAATTTCATTAAAATTTTTAAAAATAATAAAAATTAATTACTAGATAGCTAAAATTTAAAAATTTTTTAAATTTTGAAGCCAAAATTATTCAGAAATTGAAGTCGATAACATTTGCTAGTATTATAATACTGTTTGAAATTTTTTTTAAAGTGTTTTCATTGAACGTTTTTTTTATTTTTTTGTGGTTAATTGCATTTTTAATTATGCGGGTCTGTTTATGTTTTTCTTTTTATTTTCTCGAAGGCAGACGAATAACAGAAAAGTCTTATTATATCATCTATACTTTATAATATTATAATTGTATAGAAATAAAAAATAATAAATTTCAAATACATCTACAGATGGAATTTTCAAAAGTACCCGACACATGTTTCACTTGGACACTAAATGATTTCGAAGAATGTAACATTGATTCTCTACCAGAAAAGAGTTTTTCTTCGGCAAATTTTACAACACTAAGAGATCCAAGTAGAAAATGGCAATTACTTCTCTCCATTGAGAAATTAAACCAAATTTATCGTTCAAGCTCCAAATGTGATAATTCCAATTGCTTTAAGAAAACAATAACTAAAAAGATCGTTAATCTCAAAATTCTATCCAATGAATTTATTTCTAATCCAGAGAATATCAGAGTTGACATTTCAATGAGAAATAACTTTGAAAAATTTACTAGAAGTTTAATTGTTTCTGGAAATAGAGAGCAATACGCTTACGAAAATTTTATTGATTGTGAAACAATGTTAAAAATGGTACAAGAAGGAAAATTGGAAATATTCATAGAAATGTTTTTCCCAGACGAGAAGAATGTTAAATATCTCGATATAATCCGAAGTTCAGAATTTTTGAGCGATGTGAAAATTTTAATAACGGATCGTACATTTTACGCTCATAAGGTACAATCCAAATAAAGTCATTTCAAGAATCTATTAAAATTGCTTTCTAAATTATTTATTTTATCATTTTCAGGCTATTTTAGCTGCTAGGAGTCTATTTTTCTACCAATTATTTCAAAAGGAGACGGAAATAACCGAAATCAAGGATCTTGACATAATGCCAAAAGTTTTTACCGAAATTCTAAGATACATTTACTCCGATTACGTGGAAAAATGGTACCTTTCGAGTGACATTCTAATCGCCGCGAATATTCTAAAAATGGAGAATTTAAAGCTAGAATGCGAAAATTACTTGAGAAATAATTTAACAATGGATTGTATTAATACAATTCTAATCGTATCTGTTGAATGCGATACTAAATTTCTACTGAAACATTGTCTAAACTATGCTCTGAGGAACATGAGTTTGTTGCGAAGTTTAAAAAATTTCCACACACTTAAAACAAAACCACTTGTCGTACTCCGTGTTCTACAAGAAATCCTCTTTCAATTACAAAATGGAAAAATAACAATTGTCGACAATATAAATCTCTCCTACTCGAAGATTGCAACAAACAAAAGTAGTTATTTACTAAAAGAATACGAGTCGTTTTTGAATAATGAAAATCTAAGTGACATTACAATTCGAGTCGACGAAAAGAATTTTCAATGTCATAAAATTATTCTTGCTGCAAAAAGTCAAGTACTACGTGAATTAGTTACGAAAAATATGAGCGAAAATCTTGGAAATGTCATGGAACTTACGGATATTAAAGGGGAAATTTTCGAAGAGGTTCTCAGGTAAGAAAACTCTTTTAGCTTTTATTTCTAGTGAATTTCAAAAGTTCAAAAAGGGCTAAAAAACCGTAGTCATTTTTATAAAAATGACTACGGTTTTTTTTAGCCCTTTTTGAAATTCCGGATTCAATAACGAAATAACTATTCCTTTTTAGATACATGTACACGGGAAAAGTTAATAATCTACAAGAGTACGGTATCGATATTCTAAGAGCCGCAAATCAGTACAAATTGGAGCATTTAAAAAATATGTGTGAAGAATTTCTTGTGGCAAAATTAGCACACGATAATGTGGTGGAAACGTTAAAGATTGCAGACGCCTGTAATGCTCCATTTCTCGTAAAACATTGCAGTCATTATATTCTAAAATACATGATTTCAAATTTCCAACGAAAGGAGTTTAGTAAGAGAATTAATCTCGACATGTTTATTAATTGTAATCACAATATTTTCTACGAATTTCTTAATATACTGAGCAAACAATGCCAGGTTTTGTATAACTAATTTTTTTTACGAAATTTAACCCTCTTTTGGAAATAATGGAGGGTTACTTTGACATATTTTATTTATAAAAAATAATTTTTTTTAAAACTTCTATAAAGAATTTGCGGAAGTTCGCATCTTGCGGTGAGGACAAAAAAATTTATAGGTGTACGGATTTTTAAAAACAATTCCAGCGATGAAGTACAAAAAATAAGTTATTGTATTTTCTCTACAAAACGAATACATTTTAAAAACAATATTATAAACAAATTAACTTATTTTAAAAACTGAAAATTATGGAACAAGCGTAAAAAAATAAAGTATCAATAGTAATGAACTATTTTTATTCTTCCTCCTCGCATTTAATTCCCGTAGTTATTAGCAACTCCAAAACAAGCTGAGGATGCGTTTTGGATAATTGTTTAAAAACATCCATTCCAAGGGTGCCAGATATCAATTTTCGAATCAAGAACAAAAAACACCGTTCTTTCAGTTTATCGGCTTTGCGATTTTCCCCGATTTTCAGCATCGAAACAACATTTTCGCAGTTCACTTTTAAAATTAGTGCCTGTTCACAAACTGTCTTTAATGACGAAATTTGGTATTTATCAGCAGCTAGCAGGAGTTCGTACGTCATATCTTCGAGATTTTCCACAAATCCAGTATAAATGAAACGTAGAAGTTGATAAAAAACCAAAGGATCAATGTCTTTGATTTCAATTTTTGCATGTCCTTCAAGATCGACGAGCATTGTTCTAAAAACTGCACTTTTCGCCGATAAAATAAGTTTATGGGCGTTATATATTTTACCATTATTGTGAATTTCCACGTCACTCCAAATTTCCTGATTGAGAAAAGTTTCGTAACCGTCATTCTTTTGCTCTGCTTGATTATTATTCTCACAAGAGTCAACGACTTTTTTTGACGTCCATGAATCGACGAAGTAATCTTCGGCTATTTTCATCAGTAACGGTATACAATCACCAAGGGTTTTAAATTCTTCAGAAGTAACAACTTCCTTGAAATTACATTTAATAAAAGTGTAGCAATTGTCCCTTAGACTGAAAGAATTGAGTTTATCCGCGAGTTTAAGGATTTTTACCACATTCTCGCTGGTTAGATTCTTGTGCAGATAAATCTCGCAAATTGTTTTTAGCGAGTTCACATCATATTTGTCGGCTGCGATTAAAAGCGAGCAGGCGTGTTCGTTTAGTTTTCGCACCTTCCCACTGTACATGAACCACAAAAGTTCGTAGAAAACGTTCGATTCGATATCAACGATATTAACCACATTGTTAATATTTTCCTTCAGCTGATGGGCGAACATTTGCCTGAAAACCGGACTCTTCGAAGACATTATAACTTTATGAGCGGGAAATACTTGACCACCAATGTGGAATTCAACATCGCTCAGCGATGTTTTACTCATGAAACATTCGAAACCAGTCGATAGTGGCTTTGAGGCCTGCTTAATGCTGCAAATAATTGTTAGATCCTTATCTACAATGTAATCTTTGATTCGTTTCAAAGTGATGAAGTCTCGGAATCCGGATTGGGAGAATTCCTCACCTTGGACACAGAATACGGTGCTTTTTTTGTAGTGCTTATCGGAGCTGGAATTTTGTAAAATGTATTTGACCTTGAGCGGTGGGAGATTTTGGCTAATTCTTGGAAACGAGAGATGAATAGAGACGTCGCCTTTGCAGTGTTCCTGGTGACATTCCTCGCAAACTAGATTATGATAAGTTGTACAAGTGCCGCAGAAAATTCTTCTCGACCAATTCAGTACGATACTCCAGTCGTCGCAAACATTGCCCTCGGATGGAAACTCGGGTGAATGCAATTCATTTTTTGTCGTTAGGATTTGATTGAAATTTTTTATATTCCAAGTGAAGATTGTTTTCTGAAATTCCGGTGCTACTGCCATTTTCTGCTATTCATTGAAATCTGAAACATATTAGAACTCTAAAGAAAAAAATCAAAAAATGCCAATTGAGCCGCTGGATCGTAAAAGGACACGAAAGTTTTTCTTAACCGAAATCCAAAGTTCTCCTGAACACTAAAAATTTAACTTTTTACTTTAAATGTTTTAAATGCACAATGAAATTTCCCATGCATTCGAAATATATTTAATTTGAAAAGTTGAATTTTTAGTGTCCAGGAGAACTTTGATTTCAGCCAAAAAAAAAATTTTCGTAGCTTCAACGATCCAGCGGTTCAATTAAAAATTAACGAAAATTTTTAAAATTTTTAAATCTGATTTTTAATCTTTAAATCTTAAAATACCAAATTTTAAAACTGCTTTCAATTTATAATGCTATATGTTGGATTAGAATTTATGAAATTCCGTAAAATATTGTTTACTTAGAAGCTATTTAATGAACAAAAAAGAAACAATATTGGTTATGTTTACAATTTTTTGCCGTTTGTTGTCTACTTAAATGTATTAATATGTATAAAAAATCGAAACTTAAAAACTTGAACTAAATTTATCAGAAATATAAGTAATTACTGTGTAGTTTAAAATATAGATCTATAAACACTTACCTTAAAAATAAATAAACAATTCTTAAAACTAATCAAAATTTTTTAAAAATTCTTTTCTTTTTCTAAAACAAGTAATGATAAATAAACTTTGTTTAGATTTTTATCTTTTTAAAACATTTTAAAACCAGCAACTATCAAAAAACATTTTTTTTAATGACAAAAACTTTAAAGCATGAAGTATGTAAATACCTATACTCAATAACTATAAAATTAAATAGCTTCAAAGAATTTTAAGGTACATTTACAATACTATTTCTGTGAAATAAGAAAAGTTGGAAAATAAAATATTGTTTATCTCTTATTGTCAGAACACAAAAAAAAAATCCAAAACGTTATTTATATCAGTGCCAAAGTATTTAAATAATAATTAATAAGAAAGTGGATTATAATATTTACAATTGCTTCGTTAGATTCACAAACATCTTCGAAATCAAACTATTTTGCAATGAAGATCGTTTTAAAGTGAGTAATATATTTTAATCTGAATTTAAAATTTAATTTCGATAAATAAATCTTAAAATCTATTTACATTTGTATTAGTCTTTCTTGTAAGAAATTTTAGAAAATTTAATTCATAAAATTTTTAGGTTAACTGTCAACTGAAAATTGACAGTTATGCGTGTTATTTCATTTTTATTTGATAAACAATCGTTTACTGACTGCCTTTAATAATATTATTATTAATAAAAAATATATTTAATTGTGTTTTCAAACAGACTCAGAGATGGGAAGCTTTGGCCTTATTGTGTTCACGGCTTTACTTTTTACAATTTTGACTGTGCGCGTTACCTTACCGATTTCCACGAAGTCGTTTTGCCAGAACGCAAAATCCAACAGGTAAGTGTTAAATATAATCTAATGAGTTTTTAAAACAGAACTTTTTACCAATGAAATAAGTCATGAATAAAAATTTAATACTGCAATTTAGTCTATAATAATATCCAATTTGATAAATTATAAACATTTTGATATAAAGTTGAGAATGGGAGTCAATGTAAGTGTTAAATCGGTACAAGCGATAGGAATGGACGAGAATGGTGTACCAAAGTTATGGTTGGTGGAGTTGGCTAGTGAGGAAGAGAAAATGGATGTGATGAGGCTAAAAGGGAGATTGAAAGGAAGTGTGATAAGAATAGATGAGGATAGAACGTGGATGAGAGAGAGAGAGAGAGAAGAATATTAAGAAAATAATCAAATAATTAGAAGAAACCCTCTTTATTTAAATATCACATTGCGCTAAACATTAAGCGCCTCAATATTTATTTCTTATAGAAAATAAGGCATATTTTATTTCCCGAAGTAACAATCTTAAATTCTAAAATTGAATAGTCATAACTTACAGTTTGTTCGTAATTCGTTCAATGTTTCTGTAACATTTGTTCAATACTAGAGAGCTTTTTTTAAAATGAAAATAATATTTTAAATGAAAAGAAAGAAAAAAGATTCCTTATATTATAATTATAGATTCAAGGTTTAATTTACGCGACAACTGCGTAAGTTGGAGCAGTCAAGACTCCACAATTATTGTTCTTTTGAGCCATTAAAATGTAACCGTCGTTACCCCAATAATTGGACCAGGAATTTTTCACAAGCCAATAATCCTGACCGTTCATTGTTCCATAACCAACTGCCAAAACTGCGTGGTCCAATTCATTTTCCGTATTTCCTGCAAGAACAATAAATTTATTTTCTGAATCTTTAATAAGAATTAATTAAATTAATAAAAATTAAATTATAAATAAAAGAAAAGTAAAAATATAAGAAATTTCTTTAAATTAGTATATTTTGTTAAATATTCTTACCACACTGTGGATCGTAATAGACGCCGTTTGAATAGAAGGAGAAAGTTTTGTGTGAAGCATCAATAGCAACCGAAACTGGTCCATTTTTGAAAAGTGCAACTTTCATTGCATCAACACTTCCTGGACTAACGTTAACAAATCCGCTCATTCTCACAGATGCGGAAACGTTATTCGCGTGACAATATCCATCCTAAAGGTAGAAAACGATATCAAATAATTTTATACAAAAAACAATTTTTTGTGCATAAAAATTATTTACTTGGCCTAAGTATCCGCCGTAATCCTCTTCAGTAGGCAATCCATGTTTTACAATCCATTTGTAAGACCGGAAATCTTCGCCACCGTCACAACCATTATTTCCGAAACCCCAGGAGCAATCGATCAGTGCCTACAAGAATAGAATACTCTTATTTATTTTGTTCAAAAACTCTCTGACTACTCATGTAAACGTTATGGTCTAAAATCATCTATTGTTCAAATAAAAAGAATAAAAAAACCTGTCCAATTAAAAAGAAAGTGACAAAAACAAACCTGTTGAGAGAGGCGAAGGAGTTTATGATATTTCATAAAGTAAGCTCCTTCAACAGCTCCAGTTGTTCCAAAACTCCAACAAGAACCACAGACAGATTGATCTGAATATTAGAAGAAAACAATTCGATTAAAGAAGGTGAACTTGAAAAGTAGAATTTTTTTAAACAAAATACCTTTCACGGGAGTCACAGCGCCTGCTAGTCGCCAATCAAGATTTGCTGGAACACTTTTGATTTCTTTTTCGACATCGTAGAGAAATAGTGAACCACCATTGTCACCATATCCCGAGTATTGCTTTCCTCTCAATGCTTTCATTTCAAGATCGGATTTATCAGCCAAATGGTTAACATCCAATTGAAAGCCCAAATTTGCACGATTAACCGAGTGAATGAATCTCAAATTTTGTCGGAAATTTTCCTTGGCTCTATGATGTTCGGTAACATTTTTGTATTTTCGATTATGTGTTTTTTTATATTGACCAAAAGCAGTTTCCATATGATTATCATAATCGTGAATGAATTCCCTCATTGGATTGAAAGTGTAAATATGTTTGTCTCCGGGTCCAGGGAAACCCACGCATGTTGTATCTTAAAGTAGAAAAAGTAAATTAGAACCAATCGTATATATTGAAAATTTGAATATTTATTACATTGAATAAAGTACTTACTTTCTGTTACTTTGAAGACATCAGCATTTGGTTTTTCGTATGAGTACCATTCGTATTCCAAATAATAATGATCGTAATGAGAACCCAAGAGGGAATTGAAGCCTTTCATTTCATACCTCACTGGAATTGCTTCCTTGCCAATTGAAGACTTTTTAGCATTCTAAATTAAATTTTGTGAGAAAAAGTGTAATTAGCTATTTTTATTTTAATATACCTGTAGGGCTATGAATCATGAACGATACAAATGTTTATATTTATTTTGGCATCTTAATTTGGAGAATTGACAATTTTCATCACTCATCTATAATTAGTTTTATCAATAAAATTACTATAATTAAAAGAAGTAATACAAACTAAGTAAGGAAATAAATTTTATAAATTACCTTGTAACGAATCCATAAAGTGTATTTATTAGTTTTATCTCCTATTTTGGTGACCAAACGCCATTTTTCACAATTGAAGCCATTCACAATTTCTTGACCAATACACTAAAAGAATAAATATTTTATTAGAAATTGGAATAAAAATTTCCAAATTAAAGTTGAAAATTCTTCGTTTTAGTCAATCTTGTAGTTTTAAATATTTAAATACATTAAAGATTCTATTAATATTTGAAATATTTGATCAAAAAATTAAAATTCTTGAACATTTTTAAAACTTAAGTTCATTATTTATAATTAGGAAAAATTAACGTGACTAAAAGTTTTAATAATGTTCAAGAATTTCAATTTTTGGATATTAAATATTGAAAATGAAGGTATTTTTACCTCCATTCCAGTAGTGTCGGGAATAATTGTTTGAGGCTGAATTTTCATATCTCTTGTGCCATTAACTTGAAGACACATTTCATCATTGGTACTCGTTTCCGTTGTTACTGGAGCGACTTTTATACTCGATCCATAACTTCCTTCAGAGCTCAATTGAAATGTCTTGACCATACCTTTAAAAAATGATTCATAAATACTTGATTTTTTGAAAATTTAAAAAAATTCTGTTAAAGATTTTAACAGTTTCTTTTCGAAAATTCGATTATTCAAAAAGGTGACAATTTTTACCTCCATAATAATCGATTCTGCTGGATCCGGTGTTTCCATCGAACCAAGCGTAAAATGGTTCTTGGATTTCAGCATAAGGAATGTAGAGAGTTCCTTTTGCTGCGTAGGCATTGCTAAATGTTGGAGCTCTTACATTTGCAGCGTAGGAAACGCCTAAAAAAGAATTAGTGAATTATTTTTAAAAATTTTAATTTAAGAAAACTATTAAAAAAATAATTTGGATGAAAAGTTAATAAAGAAGCTTACCACAAAAGAGAAAAGCGAGTTGAATAAGCAGTGCGAACATCTCGACTGCAGGACTGAAATATGAAGGAATGCAGAGTTGTGTTTAGTCAGACTTGCAATAGTATACATAAGTATATCATCAATTTTATTTATAAACAACACTCGATAAGACGATCGACCTATGAATATTAGGCTTATCTCTTTGTTCTCACATCACAAAGAGCTCCAATTCAATTTACATATTTAAATTCTCTAAAATACATTAACATATTTTATTTCGAACATAAAATTTAAAGAAATTAAAAACTAACAAATTTAAAACATTAAATGAAGATTTAAAAATTTTTAAATTACTACTTGTTTATTTATTTAGATTCATAACGGAATTTCTCATTTTTTTTATTAAATAAAACATATTTTTTCAGAAATATTTAAACTATGAGATTATTACTTATGAACTCTTTAAATTTTATGTAAAAATTTTGTATATCCCATTTTTAATAAGTTGTGCCATGTAAAAAGTACTGAATAGTTTTTTTAAATAATTAAGGATCTTATAATTTAAAAGTTTTTGAAAATATTGTTTGCGCATTAAAAAATAATCATTTTTAGCAATTTTATATATGATACTTCAGGACTCGGTCGGCATGATCATCTTAATGTTTTATCATGCTGCCCAAGTCCTGAAGTCTTAATTTTAATTTTAAAACGAAAAAATATGCGTCTTCTTTTTACAATTCTAAGAGGGGGCAGAAAGAAAATTTTTAAAAATTTATGTATTTTTAGTTCCACCTAATAGATACCTAAGTATTTAAATTTATTTTAGACATTCATAATTTTCACCTTAGAATGAAAGGTTAATAATTGAAATTGTATTGTTTTCAGCGTTTTCAGCAAAAGAAAATCATTTTTAAAAATCCGTATTTTCTTCACCTTTTTTTGTAAATAACGTGTTTTCTACTTGTTATCAAAAATATTAGAAAGTTTTCATTTAAAATAGAAAAATAAAAAGATAAACATGAACAAACAAAGGACTTACCTCAGACAATGTATACTGCAGTACACTGCTTCACAATATGAATTATTATGATCAGCTGAGATGCGTAAGCATTTCGGCAACAAAGTACTGCCAACATAGGAAAAAAAATGACTATTCAGATAATTAAAATCCAGAATGTAAATAATATATAATAAATAAGATTAATGTATAATTATTATTTATTCTAAACGATATGCTTTATGATTGAAGAAAATTACAAAACGATAAATTAATATTTAAATTTAACGATAAATATTCCAAACCAATTTTTGATTTCGTAGCCAACTTCACGAACGTCGGTTCTGCAGGTAGCCACGAGGTTGAAAAGGATTGTGACTTTAAAAAAATGACAGAATTAGTGAAAAGTGACAATAAATGTGAAAACTTAGATAATAAGAGACCTCAATTCGGAAATAGAATTCTTTCTAATGAAGATAATGTTTTTGAACACAATGCCTGGTAAGTATATTTTTCTCTCTCTAACTTCTAACCTTTAAAAATATTTTATAAATGTTTGTGTTAAAAATTTTAAAAATTGTTAAAATAACTTCTTGATATTTTGCAGCAAAGTTTCTCAACTGTTCCTACTTGTAAAATATAAAAATTTCAGTACACCATTGATAACTGTTTGAATTATATTTCTAGTAGGTTCAATAATCGATTTGACAACAATATATGGTTGTCAATATACAGGGGCTCAAACTTCATTTGCTATAATTACATAAAATTGTCTTCTTTTTATATCAAAAACTTTTTATTTAATGAAAAGTAATATTTTAAAGTTTTTTATATGAATTGGACTAAAGATCCATGCGCTTACGTTTTAAATAAACATTTACCTTCATTTTATATTTTTTAAGGAAACCGGTGGGAATATTAATACATGTATCAATTGAAGTTGGTTGGGGTTCCACATGCCCTTAAAAAAAAATAAAAAGATATAAAACAAATTATCTTTTACTAGAAAAGATTTCCAAAAAAGAATTAAATATTTGAAGTTATTGAATTAGTTAGAAAGAAAATAAATAAATAATGAAATTAATAATAATTCAATATGAACTTTATAATTTCAAGGGACAATGTGACTTGGAATGAAGAACAGGAAGAGGCTGCTCGACAAAAAGTTGCTGAAAATTCTTCAGTAACTGCTTCTTCCGATTTGACATTAAAATATGAAAATGAAGCCGACAAATATTGGGACAAATTTTACGAGATACACCAAAATAGGTAATTTATTTTCTTGTTAAATTATTTTAAAAAATTATTAAAAAACTTATTTAAAAAATTAATATTAAAAAAACTGTTGTAGATTTTTCAAAGACAGACATTGGCTCTTTACTGAATTTGCTGAACTTGCACCTGGAACGGAGAAAAATGAAGACAGGATTCAAAGAATTTTACCTGATAACACAATCAGTCAGAATGAATTAACAGGCGAGGGAAAAAGAATTTTTGAAATCGGCTGCGGTGTTGGAAATACTATTTTTCCTCTACTTTTGTACAATAAGGATCCTAATTTATTTATCTATGGTTGTGATTTTTCCAGTAATGCTATTGAAATTCTACAGCAAAATTCCGAATTTGATTCTTCGAGGTAAATAAAGTTTCAATTAAATGAAATATTTCTTCTGCAAACATTAAAAATTAATAATCAAGTATATTTTTAAGGATATAATTTCGAGAGGATTGAAATATTTTTTAGTTTTTTTTTTAATTGTAGAAAAATTATAAAAATTAACAAAATTATAAAAATATTTAATATTTTACAAATTATAATTAAATAATAGCACATCAATGACGGTTGTTTTATTTTCAGGTGTAAAGCTTTTGTTCTTGATGCAACTCAAGAAAATTGGTCACCACCATTCGAAGAAGAGAGTTTGGATATTGTTATTTTAATATTTGTACTCTCTGCGATACATCCAGATAAGTAAGTTTATTTTCCTACTAATTAGCAAAAATCGTTAGATTATTTCTATGCGAAATTAATAACAATAGTTAATTAAATTAATTAATTTAATTGCGAATTGATTTATAATTTTCTTACTTTATTTATTAAAAATAAAAATTTTTAAAGTTCGTATCTACGAATTTTTTAAGAACATTTTATTAATTCTCACGTTTTTAAAAAGAAATTTTTATTACCCTAGAATGCATCATGTGATAAAACAAATCCATCGTTATTTGAAACCTGGAGGATTGGTTTTGTTTCGAGATTATGGAAGATACGATATGGCACAATTGAGATTTAAAAAAGGTCGTTGCCTTTCGGACAATTTTTACGCCAGAGGTGATGGTACGCGGGTTTATTTTTTCACCCAAGGTAAATTGTTTCGAAATTATTTTTCAAAACTACTTAAGTTTCTTTCTTAGAAGTACGTCACATTTATATTTTATTATAATATTTATTATTTTATTTCACAGAGGAAATAAGGGAATTATTTACAACTTGTGGATTTGAGGAGAAACAGAATCTGATCGATAGGAGATTACAGGTGAATCGTGGGAAGCAACTAACAATGTACAGAATATGGATTCAATGTAAATTTCAAAAGAAATTGAATAAATAATTTTAATTTATTTTAATTACTACTTTTAATTATTATTATTATTTATAATTACTAGTACATTAATTATAATTTATGGTCGAATTCAATAATTATCTACTTTAGTTTTACTTATTTCTATTTTCTGCATTTCTTATTTTATTATTTCTTTATTTTATTTCTATTTTAAAGTTGTTAAATTTATTTAGAATAAATTAGAAATTATTTCCAAATTTCTTTAGAATAGAAAAAGAATTTTTTAAGAATAGGAAAAGAATATATTTCGAATTGACTAAATATCGCGAAAATTAATATTTGAATTGCCCGCGCAAATTCCAATAGTTCGAAAAAAAATTGTAGATGTCTACCAAAGAAATTCGAGCATGCGTAGGTTTATTTCTCGCAGGTGACATGGATCACCGGGGGTATAAAGCACCGAGCATTGAATGAAAACCTCGTGCCTTAAACTAATGAGTAAGGAAAATATAAAGCTTTGGTGACGCTTAGCTATGCTATGAATTAAAGCGAACCTATTTTTGAAGAGGAACAGGTCGTCCCTTAGTTGCTTGAACTACTTTTTCAAGTGATCAGGTGAAGCGATCTTCCCTCGCTAATTATGCTTAAAAAAAGAAATGCAAAAATTTATCGATTTTTATGGATCGTGAATATTCCTCAAATTGCACTTTAACATCTGCAAAAATAAAAATTAAGCTTACTTTTTAATTTTAATGATAAATATTATTATAAATTTTAAAGTAGGAAGTAAAACAAATTGAAAATTAGCAAAACATTATTTTTAATATTTTAAAAAATTTAAGTTTTCCAAAATTAAATAAGAACGAAAACTAATTAAACAAAATTGTTTGGCATCAAAAACTATAATTTAACTTGTAGAATTAGTTTAATACTCTAAAATATAAAAATAGTTACTTATAATTATTGTAGGTAAACTAATTTTTATTAATGAAAAATACGGTCAATATTATTTATTTTATAACAAATAAGGAACTGAATATAGCATAAAAATGTTTACTAATTTGAATTAGTGTCTGACTTTTTGCTTTTGAATTAGTAAACTTTACTAATAAATTAGTAGAAATTACTATTTATTAGTAAAACTATTTACTATTTACTAATTTAAAAGCAAAAAGTCAGTTTTATTTTAAAAGTTACAATTTTTTTTTAAATGTCATTATTTTAACTTGTATAATTTTTGAGAGTATAGTATATTTTTCTATTTTTAATCTCTCTAAATCTAAATTAGTGAAAAACCGTCCTTTAATTTAAATTAGTCAAAAATTTTACTAATTATTAATTTCCCACTGAATCTTAAATTCAAAAACTGTCTGTTTATTAAAATTATTCTTTAATTTTGTTAAAAAATACATTAATTTTACTGAAAATTATATTATTAAATTATTGAAATAATAATTTTCAACTTAAATACTTGCATTAAATATCAAGTGTAAATTTTTATAATTGTAAAAAATATTCAAAAGAAGAAGATTTATGCACATGAGTCAAATTGATGGAAATTATATATGCAAATTTCGAATTAACAATTCATATTATACTTTGATTTTTAATAAAAAAAATTTTAGTAACTAAAATTAAAACTTTAATTAACTAAAATTTTTAGTAACTAAAATTAAATCTTTAATTATATAACTAAAATTTAATTAGATACATTTATATAGTTGAAAATAAGCCGCCATATTAGCTCCGCCAGTTTGGAATTTAAGAATTTGTCACTAAAATTAATTAATATAAATGACAATCCGTAAAAAATTATTGAAGTTATTAAAAAATTATTCATTACCGCCAAGTCTAATAATTTAAAAAAAAATTTTTTTTTCTAGAGAAAATTCAACAATCGACACCTATTTTACCTTTAAATCAATTTAATATAATTTAAATGTTCTAATAACAGGTCACGTGCTCGACGTATATAAAATAATAATTAAATATAAACTTAATAATAATTTTTAATTAGTGGCCTTAATTTTAGCATTCATCATACTTAAACTTTTCAAAAAAAATTAACTATCATAATAGATTTAAATTTTCCATTATATGTATAACACTTGTATTATAAGATAAAAAATATAAGAAAAGCGATCATTTAAATTATTTCTTTATTATCATTTTTAATGGAATGGAAATTTTGAATTTTTCGTAATTATTCAGAATTTCAAATAAAAAAAGGACATTTAATCAAATCAAATAATTGACCTGCAATTTAAAGTTTCGATTTCTGGAATCATCAAAATTTAAACAAATTCACAACGAGGATGTTTTTTTTCAGATTGAAATCTTAAATTTCGATGACGTTGTCATTGACATATCATTAGGTACTTTATGACGAAATCTTAAATAGAAAAGCAGACACAAATCTACATGTCAATTAAATCATGAATCTATAGTTTTCTTTGAATAATATATTTGAAAAGAATAATTTTAACATCTGTTTAAATTTGTCTATACAAAAACTAATATAAAACAATCTATTTACACTCTCAATGTTTCAATATATATACCGATAGGATTAATTGAAATTAATGTTTAAGAAATTAAAAGCTTTTGAAAATTCAAAGTTGTTCCTGAACTTTGCAAAACTAAGGTAAGTCTTTTTTTCCAGTTAGTGATTTATTAACTATTTTCTAATTCCTAACTTTGGAAATTTTAACCAATTTTTGAAAAATAAGAGCTAAATTATATTATCTTGTTCTTTCAGATAAAACAAATATCATAGTTATTTTCAAAAATTCAAGAGAGAAAATGAACGAAACCACTAGCTTTTCCATACACTCTGCACAAACATTTCAATTTCTGCCCTTAGTTAATTATATAAGTATACTAACCACATTGTTTTACGATCAAAATTTATTAGAATCAAATGAACGATGCCAACCGTTTGGCATCATTAACGGATACTTTGAACTCCTGAATAGTTCAAGAGATCAAATGGAGACAAAAAGACTTCTTGTGCAAAAACTCCTTGAGGGATCCGATCTGTACGGTGGAAATCAGAACGAAACACTTGACATGGAATACGTGAATGCAACTTTTCAATTTATTATCAGCAACATTGTGTTTTCTGATTATGGAAACATTTATGGATACTTGACAAAAATCGTCAATTCATCAAATAATTTGATATACACTTTTCTGAAGGAAGAAATTTTTAATGATCTAAAGGAACTCAAGTATATAAATCCAGATGGAAGTGTTACCAAACTTAGTTTGCTCTCATCAGTCGGAATTAGGGATAATTTTATTTTACCCTTATTTCCGGAAGTAGACATGAATATAACGGACATTGATTATATTTATGCTCAAGCTGGTTTAATTTTATCCCAATCGGAACAATTAATAAACACCACGAATTTGACATTTCATGATTATGTTCTCATAGCTCAATCACTCGAGTTAACAGTTTCTGAGGTTTCCGAAAACCTAACCACTCGATCTGCTTTGACAGTTTTTACTCTTCCGGCTCTTTTGTTCGATGCCAGCAAAAGAGAGAAATTTACGAAAGAAATTCTGGTAGAGAGGATGAAGAACGAAACATTTTTGACAGAGGTTATGGAGAATTTATTCTGGTACCTCAATGAAACATTTTTGGCAATTAAGCAGAAAGAGTATGAAAGTAGCTCTTTCTATAAATTTAACACCAGTATGTCAAAGTACAAAAATCGTACCATTCTCGCAAAAGGTGTTTTACTGGATAAATGCCCCCCACTAAATGACAGTGAGTACGAATCCGCGATTAGTAGTTACAAACTCTTCGCTTCGAGTAGTAAGTGTCCGAATAACGAGACTATATCGTTACCCAACATTGATGAACTCTTCAAAACCCAAATAGATGAAATTCAGGATAAATATCGGATTTTCATGTACGAGTTGCTCGAACAAGTGTTTTATGAATCCAAACTAGTGGGGGTGATAAATTCGACAAAATGTACCGTTTATGAAAGTCAGGTTGTTCCAATTCCGATTAATTGCTTCCCGGGTTATTGTGCCCCTTATCAACAGCGTCTAAAATCAAATGTCTATCTATTTGGACTAAGAGAATCTGGTCAGAAATTCCATTATGCTTTAGTCATGAATGAAAAAAGTATAGAAATCTTGTACTATAATAGAAGTAAACCAGAGGAGTTTTTAAACAAAGTAGGATTGCGAAAAGGTGCGGAAATTGAAATATCCCCAGTGGCTACAATTTTGAAACGAGGCACAGAAACATTCGAAGTGTTTCTCGATCGTCTGTCTAGAATGAAGGCCAGAGAATTAAAAACAAGATTAACTTCGGAAGGTTACGATATGACGAAAACAGAAAAGTTGGTTGAATTTTTGTTAGCATTGGTACCATTCTACAATTGTATTAGATTCTCCAAAGAGGGGAACAATGTAGGTGCTACGTTTTCTTGCATTGGGGATGTTCTCAATTGGATTCCGTTCGGAGGTCAATTAATAAAACTTGGCGGTAGATTTGGCGAGATGGCTCTAAGTCAAGTAATCAAAGCAGCTGGAGTCTCGATAAGGACCTTAGCAGCCAGACAATCTTTATATCTTTCTCTGAAGGTAGGAGCTTCATCAGGTTTGGCCACAATGGCCAGAAGTGTGATTACAACCAAAGAAATGTTCAAAGCTCTTTCAATCAGCTTCCTTCGAGCAGTGGATCCCGGCTTTGAACTCCTGGGTCTCCTGGGACGATTGCACTGGAAGGTAGCACAATTGCTAGGGAAATTATTTCAGAAAACTTGGACTACAGCAGCAAGGAAGTTTGCCCTCACAAGTCTCGATTCTCCGAAGTTTAGGATCATTTGCGAAAAGTTGATGCGAAGAACCGAACAATCGGAAATGGTGCCTGTTACTATAGGACAAATGGAAGGTTACGAGGTGTTTAGGTACACGTATGGAGAGGGATCGGTTGGACCAAAATTCGTCCGGCTACCAAATGGCAAAGCGGAACTAAGACGAGTGATCGGCTTCGAGGTCGAAAAGCCAGTAGTCGTGACTAGAACCAAGTCCGGTAAGGTTTACTACAGAAAGATTGATCTGAAAACAGGGGAAACGTACGGTCTGGAACTAAAACTAAATCGAAAGAATGTCCTCCAACCAGTGAAGGCTCCATTTCGAGAGCATATTGCAACGATTGTCAGAGAAGGTTTAAGCGGCAGGGGAAGAGTGATACTAGAGAGGAGAATCGCCATTGTGGAGGCTGTTAACATGATGTCTAGAGCGGATCCTACAGCGAGTCGTCAAAGTCTATTTTCAACTATGAGTCATTACGTCCTAGCAGTTGAACACCCAATCCAAAAAAGTTTAAACGACATAATGCTGGATCCGAATTTAGCAATGGAGATAGAAGACGTAAATCCGTATACGATACAAAATCATTTAGGAAACGAACCATTGACTATTGATCCAAACTTGAATAATTATCTAATCACCCCAACCTATCAAGACTTTGCACTCGACTGGATCAGAACCAGAAAAATCCACGATGTATACAAGAAATACCATATTCAACATTCGCTCAAATTGTCAAGATGGAGAAATATGCCGGTACTCGACGTTATAACAACGTCAAGCCTAGGGACCGCTAACTCGAGACTAATTTCTGCATTCGGAGAGAATTACCAACAAATGGTGACATCGGACCTATCAACAATTCTCCATAACTACAATCAATATAACGTTCGCGACCTAGTTAACTTCGTAGATTACTTTTCACTCATAGTTTACGAGCAAAAGGGTTTTACCCCCGAACTTTCGAACACCATTAACAATTTTATGAATGACGCCCTATACAAAGTAGCCGTGAGACAAACTGACGAAGAACTTCTCGATTTCCCGAGGAAATTATATTCTATGGAATTGTCATATATTGACGAAATTAATGATAATATTTTAGCATGGAGAAACAATCCTCTGGTAACTGATTCATTTCTAAGAGCATCTAGTGATGAAGACTTTCTTGATAATTTGGGTTCTACGCTGTCTCCAGGTTCTAGTCAAGTTCTTGTAAAATATGAAATTGATGTCGACTCGCCATATTTGTCCGTATTTTTAAATCGTTTCATTCCAGCTGTCGACAAAAGTATTATTATTATTCCCAACTTATTTTTTAAGGTCGATGAAGTTATTAAAGTAAGGGATATTATACTTATAAAAATACACAATTATCCGATTACGAAGGAAGAATTGTTGGTGAAAATAATGAAAAGTGTTAAAGTAAGGAAATATTAAATAAATATGAAAGTATTGCAATTGTTAATTTTTATGAACCTTTTCTCGAATGTTGTATGGAACAAAACTTGCGGTTAAAATTATCAAAGTTAAATTGGGTACATAATTGGAATTAATTTTATTACCATTATTTTATACATTAGTTCACATAATAGAGAGTCAGCACTTATAAAAATATTATTTAATACCTTTTCAAGCATGAAGAGATTTGTTTTCTATGAAGAGAATTTTTTCAGACCTAGTGAGTTGATTTCGTCCATACATCGAGCAATCATTAGTTCCCTTTCAGTAGGTAAGTTAATTAATTCAAAAAACATTAGATTATAACCGGCAAATATTTTCGTCTCGATATTTTTAATTTTAAATTCAATATCAGGAAGAATGACAGTAAGTGGATTGTGCATTGACATTATGCCATATAAGTCAACTGTTAAACAAGACGTATCTATATTTGTTTTATAGAGAAAAATTTGTTGCCTATTATTTTCAGTTAATTTTTGAGAAATATCAAAAAAACTTTCAAATAAGTGTGATTCATCACCTACAGTTAGGACGAAACTTTTAGTAGTTATGATTCCTCCAACCATTCGTGAAAGATCCGTGTCCATCGGTAAGCGGTCTTTTATCTCGAAATGGTACAGAACTTTATTTAAAAATTTATCTGTGGATTCCCTCACTGCCAATCTGTATAATGATTCCTGCAAGTGGTTTCTCTCGATTGAATCTGTAGGAAATGTGTATTTCCTGCGTCTCCAAGCAAAAATTGCATAGAAGTCTTGAAAATCGTAGGTTTTGGTTGGCATTTCCAGAAAGTAATTTTTTACAGCATCCTCAATAAGTTCCTTCAATTCGTTTACATACTTGGGTCCGTAGAGATCTATAATCGTATTTCTGAATATATTTGTTGTTTTCATCCTTGAAGCAGGTAGTCTTTTATTGCTAAACAGAAGGTATTCCATTGTTTTTATATCCTCTACGTAATATGCGTTATAAATCTGACTAATTCGTCCATTCCGAACCCAATCTAACGCAAGCATGGTATAGGTTGGAGTTGATAAATACTTTGTTAAAGCTGTTTCATCGGCCGGAGTCGATGTGTATTTTTCCAAAACATCATGAAATTCGTCTTTTTTTAATTTATTAAAGATCGGATATTCAATATTCATAAGATCATCCATTGTCGTTGGTCTATCGGTTGACAAAATATAATGCTTCAATTTATGCACAACACCACGACTCGTAGTACCCATATTAGCTTTTACTACCAATTCGCTGGCTTCTTGAATACTTACCAATCTTTGAGCATTAAGAGCTCCCAAACCACCTAAACCCTGCGTTTTAATTTTGTATACGTGCTGTCGGAATGGTTGCTTTGCATTTTCTAGTTTATCATACTTGTTTATCTTTAGTTCCAGACCAAATTGTTTTTCGGTTTTTAAATCAATTCTCCTGTAGAATATCCTTCCGCGCTTTGACACTCTTGATATGACGACGGGGATTTGATTCTCAAAACCAATCATCTGTCTTAGCTCTGCGTAACCTTTAGACAATTGGATGTACTTTGGGCCATACGGTTCCTTACCACCAGGGTAGATGAATCTAAATACTTCCCGTCCTTCCATTCCTGGTACGGTAACAATTTTTATATCTGTAGATTTAGCACCCTGTCCTGTTAGGTGCAGGAAAATATTTCCTAATTTTAAAGACTTGAAGTTCAAAGTTGGAAAACTTTTCGAAAGTCTCTTAAAGGCATGGCTCATGACTCTACCTATCAAAGCACTACCGCTACGGGTCAATTTACCAACCAGTTCAAATCCAGGATCCAGGGTTCGAATTACCCCAAGGGACACTGTTCTAAACATTTGTTTGGTGAAAACGACTTTTGAAAACGTGGCACTGAGACCAGTGGCGATTTTACGTAAACCAGTAGTCATTGTCCAGAGAAATGCTTGTCGGAAAGCGTAAGTTCTTAGCGAGAGTTCGGCAGTAACAAGAAAGCGATTAATTGTCACACTACTGATCTTGAAGCCAACGTTAAAAACTCCGACTAATGGTATTAAAGCTACAACATCCCCAATGCAACTCAAAGCTGCTAAACCTCGTTCACCAGCTCTTGCATAATGTATACAATGAAAGAAAGGAATAAACGCTTTTAAAATTTCGAAAAACTTTTCCATACTAGTTGTATCGTATCCATAACTAAACAGCTGCTTTTTAAATTCCTCTGCTCTTGATTCAGCAAACTTTTCTACAAAATAATCGAAATTTTCCTCGGGGTTTTTAGAGCGTTTTGCCAAGAAAGAAATTTCAAGGTTAGTATCTTCAGGGAATCCAACTCGTCTATTAAATTCACTTTTACCATCCTTCTCAAGTAGCAAAGTGATGTTGTTTTCATTTTGTTCCAAAGCGAAAAATTCTAATTGATCGTCGTGCTGAATTCCAAAAATATGTACATTTGGTTTGTGAGATGGTGGAATTTGAATGCAATCTAGACAATAAATTTCCATTTTTGGATGACCTCGATGAACAAGAGCTTTTGATGAATTTATCAGGTCTCGTATCTGAGGAAATTGATCGAATGTTGATCGAAGTAGGTCCAGTTCCATTAGACGATATTTTTCCTTGATGGAATGGAATTGTGCTTCGTAAACTAGTTCCAGATTTGGGAGTAATTTTGCAAGTCTATGGCAACGAGAACTTGATGAATAGGTTTTGTAGTCTTCGATTAGGGATTCTAGGTAAGTGTCATTGAGGTAGCTGCACTCCTTGTGTAATACGTCCCTAGCAACGTCTGTTCGATTTTTGAATTTGGACATTTCGAGATGAAACTGGTAGAGGGAATTAGTAGCAAGTGCTTCTTGTCGAATAGTCTCGAATGTTGTATTCAAGAAAGAGAACAAAGTGAAAAACGCATCGGACCACAAGTCTTCGTCTTTTATCAATTGTTTCATAGGCTGTTGGCTTATTTTCGCCGTTTCTTTGTGAGCATAGTAGAGTAATGCTGGAAGAGCGAAAATTTCTAAAACGGATTTCGGAAGTTCGTCCCCAATTGCCGAAGCTTCCATAGCCATCGCCAAAGTTACGTACTTCTGAAAGGAAACCTCAGACATATTCATCTGAGCCAATTGGGATAATTTGTGTCCGGCTAGAGCGTAAAGATACTTGACACTAACAACCTCCATGTCATGAGTCGCATTAGGCAGCAGTGGCCAAAGTAGGTCTTCAGCAATTTTGACAGTAGCCAGTTGAGTCAAATTCGAAACGTCTCCATCATCGTTTATGTTTCGTAAATAAGAGAGCCGTTCGAATGCAGTTTGTCTAAAAACAGACAACTTCAAACTTTTCGAAGTACTTACAATTTCTGCCAAAAACCCATAAATGTTGCCATTCTGCGAGAAAACAGCGTTACTTACTATGTAGTCAAAGGTTCGATTGACGTATTCCATGTCAAGTGTCTCATTGTCCTGTCCTCCGTAGAGATCACTTCCTTCTAGCAACTTTCGAACAATTTGTTCCTTCAGCTCCGTTTCGTTGTTCGATTTATTTAGATAATCGTAAAAGGTGTTTACGATCGTAAACTGTTGGTTCTTATTTTCCTCTTTTATCAACTCTTCGGCGTAAAACAAGTCACTTAACTTATTCATATAAGTAACTAACGTGAGGAATTGCACAGTTTGTACAGGATCAAAAATTGCTGCATTCATCACGTTTCGAATATTAGTTTATAAATTATGATAAAAATCGTATAATCCATTTATATCCGAGGAAATGATTTTTAAAAACAGCTTTCTGGAAATTATATAAATTTACATAGTTCAGTAGAAGTTATTATTTTTAATAAAAGATTTTATTAAGATTTTTTTTAGTAGATTGGTCCACTCGACTAAGATTTCTTTAAAATAACAAATGAACTTTTAAATGTATGTTTCTATTCTTTACAATGAAGTGCATTAAATTAAAATGTTACTAATGATACCTTTGTTCTTCGTCTAAGTTCCTCTAAGTCACTATGTTGGTTTCTTTTAAAATCCAATATAAAACATTCAAAACTTTTTTATAATTGACGTTTGCTTTATAGAAATTCTCAACTAAAAGTAGTACTTAAACATATTAGAAAAGAATTGGAAGTTATTCTGTATATTTTATATTCATGTCATCACCTTTACACAGATGTTTAAAACAATAATGAATATTAGTCTTAAGATAGCAACTACATACCACATATTTAACTGTTTACTTATTTGTGATCTTTAAAACCTTGAAACTGTACAAAAAATTTGTCAAACAACTGTATTAGAATTGAATTAATGTGAAAGGAGCACACGTGGTATGAAATCCAAAAAAAATTACATTATGTTAAATAATTACTGCAAAAGCATTTTAAAAAAATTGTGAAGCACTAAAATAAGATGTGATGTTTTTGTTTTAATACCAAATTCAAATAAAAATGTCGAAAGCGTTGCAACTTATTTGAATACCACTTTTTAAAAATATTTTATTCACTTTATAAAAATTAACAATGTTCGGATTTTGGAAAACGTAATGATGATGATTTTTAGTTTAATAATAAAGTTTATTTTTAAATAAAGTTTACATTCACAGGGTATTAGTAATAATATTTAATTGTTAATAGAGTAAGAAATAAATACACTGTCGAATTTGAAACCCAATTGTTTTATGTTCGATTGACTCATCCACTTTTCTCATACTATAACACAAGACATACTGGAATATTAATTGAGTATTGTCAATTATATGTACAACAATTTTATGTATAACCTATTAATTACAACATCATAAAATTTGCTATTCAAAACTGTATTTTGTATCTAATTTCAAGATTTCATTCATCAATCGAGAAATGACTATTTCTCTCGCAATAGGTACATTAACAACTTCAAAATACAAAACATTAAAACCTTCAATTATTTTCTCTTCCACATGTTTAACTTGAAATCTCGTTTCAGGAAGAATGACAGTAATCGGATTTCCCACTGGCAATACCTCTTTCAAATCAACAGTTAAATACGATGAATCTATGAATGATTTGTAGACAAAAATTTGTTTCAAATCACTCGCTGGTAATTTTTTGATTACATCAGAAAAGATTTTAAACATTTGTACTTCCTCAGTTGAAGATGCGATGTAACTATTCGAAGTTATAAATTTTTCCACTATTTGCGAAGAATGACTCTCTATTGGTACACGATCTCTCATTTCTATATGGTATAAAACTTTTGGTAAAGATTCTTGAGTCGATTGTCTTACAGCTAATCTCAATAGAGATTTATGTAGAAGATCTGTAACAATTGAATCGTCCGTTAATCTTACATATTCTCTGAGTTTCCAATTCCTAAGTGCGAAGAAGTCTTCAAGATTCACATGCTTCCACAGGGAGCGAGAAAAATATTCATTTACGATATCATTGAGATCAAGGTTCAAATTATCGATGTAGTGTTGTCCGTAGAGACCAACGATTTTAGCGGAAGGGTCTTTTACTCTCTTTCCATTAATAGCGGTTACTTCTTTTCCAAACATTAGATTTTCCAGTTCGTCTACGTCCTCAACGTAATATTGTTTGTATATTGGGTTAATAGTTCCTGTTTTAACCCAATCGAGGGCGAATGCTGCATAGGTTGGTACTGGCAAATAATTGTTTAGGTCTACATCATCTATTGGATTTGATCTGTACATTCCTAACAGATTATGAAACTCGTTATTCTGATCAAAATTCTGATTGAAATTTATAATTTCAACATCCATGAGATCGTCCAGAGTAGTTGGAGTATCGGTCGATAATACGTAGTGCTTCATTTTTTTCCGAATCAAACGAGTTCCGATTCCTATTCTTGCATCCACGACAACTTGTACAGCTTCGTCAATACAGCGAATTTTTTTAATGTAAAGTGCTCCCTTACCACCCAAACCCTCAGTTTTAATTTTGTATATGTGTTGTCGAAAAGGTTGTCGTATATTTTCGAGTTGAGTATTTTTGTTTATCTTCAGTTCCAGACCGAATGGTTTTTCGGTTTTTAAATCAATTCTCCTGTAGAATATCCTTCCGCGCTTTGACACTCTTGATATGACGACGGGGATTTGGTTCTCAAAACCAATCATCTGTCTTAGCTCTGCATGTCCGTTGGATAATTGGATGTACTTTGGTCCGAATGGTTCCTTTCCCCCAGGGTAGATGGATCTGAATACTTCACGTCCTATTTCCTTACTTTCTATTCCTGGTACGGTGACAACTTTTACATCCGCAGATTTAGCACCTTGGCCCGTTAGGTGCAGCCAAAGGTTTTCAAATTTCGCATACTTGAAGTTCAAAGTTGGAAAGGTTTTCGAAAGTCGCTTAAACGCACTGCTGATGACTTTTCCTATCAAAACACTGCCACGAGTGGTCAATTTACCAACCAGTTCAAAACCAGGATCGAGGGTACGAATGACCCCAACGGACACAGCTTTAAACATCTGTTTGGTAAAAATTACTTTTGAGAAAATCCCACTAAGTTCGAGTGCAGTGTTCCGTAGACCAACGGTCATTGTCGTCAGAATCGCTTGTCGCAAAGTGTAACTTCGTAGCGATAGTTCGGCAGTCAACAAAAATCGATTAATTGTCATGGTACTCATCTTGAAGCCAATGTTAAAAACCCCGACGAAAGGTATCAAGCCGACAACATCTCCGATGCAGGTCAAAGTCGCCATTCCTTGCTCCCCAGCTCTTGCATACTGTATACAATGATAGAAAGGTATAAACGCTTTTAAAATTTCGAAAAACTTCTCCATACTAGTTGTATCGTATCCATAACCGAAAAGCTGTTTTCTAAATTCCTCTGCTTTCATTTCCGCTATTTTCTCCACGAAGAAATCAAAACTCTCCTCAGGTTGTTTTATACGCGTTCTAACGAGTGGAACTTCAACTTCGACATTTTTTTCCAATCCAATTCTCGTATTGAATTCGATCTTTTCCCCTCTGTGGAGAATCAGAGTAACGTTATTCTCATTCTGCTCCAAGGCGAAAAATACAGTTTGATTTTCGCCTTTGACTCCGAACAAAATTATATTTGGATTAAATGTTGGCATTGTTGGTGGACATAGATAACAGTACATATCATTTGGTTTAGGTGAAGCTTTATAAACAATTGTGCCTGTAGAATTTATCAAAGTTTTTAGAAGGGGAAGATCGTCAAAAGCTGATCGAATGAAGTCTAGTTCCATTAGACGATATTTTTCCTTGATGGAAGAGAATTGGGATTCGTAGATTTGTTCCAGATTTGGAAGCAATTTGGCAAGTTTATGGCATCGAGTACTTGATGAATAGGTTTTGTAGTCTTCGATTAGGGATTCAAGGTAAGTGTCATTGAGGTAGCTGCATTCTTTGTGTAACGTTTCCCTGGCAACTACGGTTCGATTTTTGAATTTCGACATTTTGAGATGAAATTGGTAGAGGGAATTAGAAGCAAGTGCTTCTTGTCGAATAGTCTCGAATGTTGTATTCAAGAAAGAGAACAAAGTGAAGAAAGCATTGGACCAAAAGTCTTCGTCTTTGATCAATTGTTTCATAGGCTGCTGGCTTATTTTCGACGTTTCTTTGTGAGCATAGTAGAGTAGTGCTGGAAGAGCGAAAATTTGTAAAACGGATTTCGGAAGTTCGTCCCCAATTGCCGAAGCTTCCATAGCCATCGCCAGAGTTACGTACTTCTGAAAGGAAACCTCAGACATATTCATCTGAGCCAATTGGGATAATTTGTGTCCGGCTAGAGCGTAAAGATACTTGACACTAACAACCTCCATGTCATGAGTCGCATTAGGCAGCAGTGGCCAAAGAAAGTTTTCAGCAATCTTGCCAATCGTCAATTGTGTCAGATTCGAAACGTTTCCATCATCGTTTATATTTCTTAAGCAAGAGAGCCGTTCGAATGCAGTTTGTCTAAAAACAGACAACTTCAAACTTTTCGAAGTACTTACAATTTCTGCCAAAAACCCATAAATGTTGCCATTCTGCGAGAAAACTGTGTTACTTACTATGTAGTCAAAGGTTCGATTGACGTATTCCATGTCAAGTGTCTCATTGTCCTGTCCTCCGTAGAGATCACTTCCTTCTAGCAACTTTCGAACAATTTGTTCCTTCAGCTCCGTTTCGTTGTTCGATTTATTTAGATAATCGTAAAAAGTGTTTATGATCGTAAACTGTTGGTTCTTATCTTCCTCTTTTATCAACTCTTCGGCGTAAAACAAGTCACTTAATTTATTCATATAAGTAACTAATGTGAGGAACTGCACAGTCTGAACTGGATCAATGAAGAGAGTAGTTGTGTTCATTTTGCTTTAAGAATTCGAGTGTTCGCTGTAATAATTCGTAGTATTCGTTATCAAAAAATCGTTGTCGATTTTTAATAGCTACCTAGAAAATAGGAAAAATTTATCATAATATATTTTTGAGAAAAGAGGGGTGAAATAATTTTTTTTGGAAATCTTGTTTAGTAATTGAAAAGTACAGAAAAAATGCTCTTAATTTTTCTAGAAGTTATATCAATTTGAATAAACAATGTTCCTTAAAATATAAGTTTTTTTTAGATTATAGTTAACGTGGTATTGCTCTAATCTTAAATAAAAATATTTTTTCGTAATTTTGACTGATTTAAAAATGAAAAAAGTGTTCTGCATCATAAAATACAGTATTTAGAAATAATTTTACTTTGAACGGAAGAGTGTTTCTAATTTTTTATTATTCTAATTAATTATTTTATTATTGATAAAAAATTTACCTCTTAATTTATTTTTTGTCCATTCAAATTAAAATGCGACTGATACTTTCGTAGATTTGTAAAAACATTGAAACTTTTAAACTTTTATTTTTCTACACTGACTGAAGTATATGAAAAATTGAAAACAATTGTGATTTCTTCTCTTATATATATTCAATGATCCGACATAAACTTTGCACAGGTGCGTGTGAAACAATGAGCAATAACCATTAATAAGATAGTTTCTGCTAAATATTAAAATGTTTACTTTTTAAAATTTAAAAACCTTGATTTTTTTATTATTGTATTTTTAATATACGAGATAACATAGATATTTTATTAATGAGAAAAATTACCATTTAGGCGAAATTATAGGAAAATATTGGTATATAAATTATTAATGAGTTTAACGATTTTTTTAAATACTACATTTACATATTTAAAATTTTTACTTACTTTAAATTCTAAATAAAAATGTGAAAATAATTTTAATTTTATATTTTAGGCAATGTCCGGATTTGGGCATTGTCGACATTGACCGTTCGGGCAAAAGTCAAAAATTAAAAATTAAATATAATTAAAATTATGTTTATTGCTTAATTTTAAGACCCATTTTTCGCTTATTGAGACTCATTTTTTTACCCCCTTATTGAACATTTTTCGGATAAATTAATCAAAATTTATTTACATTTTAAATAATTTCTATTTTGAAAAGTGGGTTTTCGGGTTTTTTTGTTTTTAATTATAATAATGTATGTCAATAATGCATTTTATATAGAATTCATAAAACCAAAATTTTCTATATAAAGCAAAGTGTTTATGAAATTAATACAAAAATTTCAGCATTAACTTTGTAGCGGTTTTTTTTCTATTATATTTTCAAATTTTTTGTGATTTTTTAAAATTTATTCCATATACCCGAATGTAATTAAATACATGATTTATTATTCTAATTTGATTTTCTAAAAGTTAAGTGCTCCAAATGTTTGCCTACAAAAGAATATATTTCAGATTTTACAAATCATTAAATCTTACGAAATAACAGAGAGAAACTGAAATAAAATTGGTAATTGAACCACACATACCGTGATTGACAGTATTATTAATTACTATTGCATAACACTTGTAGAAATAGGTCAAAAAAAAATTATAATGAATAATTTAATTTGTTAAATTGCTTATATGATTATTTTAAATTTATACCATAAGTCATTAATAAATTCATAACACTGTTAACAATAAATGCAATTTTTTTTGTCCTATAAGTTCAAGATTTCTCGTAAATAAAATAAGTAAGAGATAGGAAAATTTTTTGAATTTGAAGTAAATAAATTGTTATGATAATAAAATTAAAAATTTTAAAGATATAAAAGTTCTTTGATTTTTGTAATGTCAATAACTCCTGTTATATTTGATGAAAAAAGATTAGCAAACAAATCAATCCACGCTTTTAAAATATTTTATTTTATTTGCTTTCTAAATAGATAATAGAAGAAATGTGGACTAATTTTCGTCGAGTAGCAAATTAAGCACTAATGTTATAATGTTGTTGATCGTGGCGCCCCCAACTAGGTTCAGCGTTGTTGTTCAAAAAAATTGAGTATCGTACGATGATTATTTTGAGCTTAGGTTTTTTTTATGTGTAACTGCTTATTATTTACTTTAAAAGAATTTTTAAATTATTTATTTAATGCTTAATTGTTAAACTGTTTATTTGATTAAAAATTTTTCAATTATATATTAAAAATATTTTTTTCTATTTTTGTTATTCATTATATTATATTTATTTAAAAAATAATTCTTTTTACTACTTTTTGTTATTTATTGATATTATTTATTTAAAAACAATTTATTTTTTTACTTTTTGTTATATACTAAAATTATTTATTTGAAAAATAATTCTTTTTACTACTTTTCGTTATTTGTTACTATTATTTATTTAAAAATAGTCTATTTTTCTACTTTTTTTTTATTTACTAAAATTATTTTTTTTACTACTGTTGGTTATTTATTAATATTATTTATTTAGATGTTGTTAATACATTTTGTAATTTACTAAAATTGTTTATTAAAAAATATTTTTTTCTACTTTTTGTTACTTATTAATATTATTTATCTAAAAAATAATTATTTTTATTACTTTTCGTTATTTATTACTATTATTTATTTAAAAATAGTTTATTTTTCTACTTTTTGTTATTTACTAAAATTATTTATTAAAAAAATATTTTTTTTTCTACTCTTTGATTATTTATTAAAATTTTTTATTCAAAAAAGGAATGAATATATTTTGAAAATTACATAAAGATTTAAGTTTATAATTAAGATATTCTTATAATTAGGATATTCAGAAGGATTGTATATTTTTAAATATAACTTTTAATGTAATTCAGTCATTTATAAATGCAGTTCTTTATTAATTTTTTCATCTGTAATTCTGTATTAAATATATTGTTTTTAATTATTATTAACTGTCTTTTTAAAAATTTTTTCTAAAAAATAATGTTAGGAAATTATTTTTATTAACAAATTCTCTTAAAATAATACAAAAAAAGAAAAAGCAATATTTAAGAAAACAATTTCGTTTTTTTATTATATTCTGCAAAGGAAAAAAATTAAAATTAAATATTGGATGTATTAAAAGTCAATTTTGTCAGACACGTCACGAAAACAATAATATCTATTTGAATTGTTTGTATCATAATTTGTGACCCATGAAAGTGTAAGTATCAATTTCCTCAGGTATACGAAGTCTGCCTATTCTTCACCGAGTTATTGTTGCCGTTCGTTTAGAAATCTCACTGCTTGACTGCTAAGCACCCTATTAAGCCAATCGACTTGGTGGTATGTCGAACTCCCCCCCACTTTTTCAAAAGAAAAATACCACTAAATCATTGTCCATCGCAATCCCTTAATTACCTCTTAAGTTTTCACTTTAGTTTCCTGCCTGACTCTCTTTCGATCGCATCGAAAATTCGTGAACAAACTTGTCCATGTTTTTTTTCTACTTTTAATTTGGCACAAGTGACGAAAAAAAAATTGAAATCGTGATAGTGAATATTTTGTGAAAAATGATGCCGGTGAATAGTTACGAATATCCGGAAAGTCGACCTTCTTGGGACAAAAATTTTCCATTCGTGACGATAATAGAACATCCTTCACATTCATTACGTTTTCGTTATGAGTGCGAACGACGGTGCGCTGGAAGAATTTTGGGTGAAAACAGTGTTGCGGAGAGAAGAACTTTTCCTACGATTCAAATCCATGGATATAAGGGGCCAGTGGTTATTGTTGTGTCATGTGTTACTAGGGACAATCCACCGCGACCTCATCCGCATAGTATTATGGGGAAGAATTCATCCGCGAATGGAATATATTCGTTGAAGATGAACATTGTCGATGGGATCGTGACTTTCACGCATTTAGGAATTCAGTGCATGAAGAAGAAACAAGTCGCGGCTGCTCTCGAAATTCGCAAACGGGAAAATGTCGATCCGTACGGAACTGGATTTGAGCACATGGAATATCCCGATTCTATTGATCTCAATTCGGTTAGGCTCTGCTTTCAGGTTTTCATCCAAGGTCCCCAGAAGAAGTTCAATGTGCCTTTGAAGCCCATAGTCAGTAATCCGATTTACGACAAAAAGGCGAATGAGGACCTGGTAATCTGCAAACTAAGCGTGTGTAGTGCTCCAGTTTCGGGCGGCACCGAAGTGATCCTCCTGTGCGGAAAAATAAGTCGCGACGACATTCGAATCCGCTTCTTCGAGGTGCGGAACGATTGGCTATTCTGGGAGGGTTTCGCCGACTTCCAACCGGTTAATGTTCATAAACAAGTGGCGATTGTCTTTCGTACCCCGGCCTACTGCAACCAGGACATTACCGAACCGGTTGGGGTGCAAATTCAACTGCAAAAGAAATCCGACGGTTCGACTAGCAAACCCCTGCCGTTCATCATGCTTCCGATGGAAATGGGAGACACGAATATGCTGAAGCGAAAACGGGCCCGATTCGACTTCACCCCTAAGTCCTTCATGCTGAAGCAAATGGAAATCCAGGCGGAGAAGCGCAGCGCGATAGTGAACCAGTCCCTACTGCTCAACTTCCCAAATTCTAAGGATCAAATTCCGCAAGGACCAATGTTCCACAACCAAGCCGCGAGTCTTCCTGAAAACAACTTCCCCCCTCGGGACCTCAACATCCACTGTGACCAAACCATTCACGAAACTTACGGAACCCCTGTTCCACCTCCCGTTCCAACACCGGTTCCAACACCCGTTCTAGCACCCGTCCCCCAACCGCGAAATTCCCTCATCGAAACCACAAACAACAATGCCAAAGAACCTAAAGCAAAAGCCTCCCGCAAAAAAACAACCCCCAGGGCAAGAGTGCAAAAACCGCCCGAGGCTCCTCAACCAGAACCACGTCGTCGTTTCGAAACCCCGCCACCGAATGTCACGATGAATTCATACGCGTATCGTGACACACCACTGCCTAGACCCTGGCAAGAGATGGAAAGGTATCCGACGTATTCGCATCAGCAACAACAACAACAACAACAAGCTGTTGACATGAACTCCTATATGAACAACCTTCCTTCCTGTGACTACGATCCTCGGGGTGCAGCTCTTAATTTCGATCCTCAACAAACTCTCGACAATTCGGACACTATTTCGGACAATCTCTCCAAGGGACTCTCAATATCGGACGAAATTCAGGATACCTTTCAGAATATTCATGAATTGAATAGAAATGTGGAGGAGAGTCAGCAACGCATCAATGGAAAGTACATGGCGAACTATGCTCCCAATCAGGCCAGTGCGAATGGTTCCAATTGGAACGGTGTTATGGGACAGGTCTACGAGAATCAACCGAATGAGAATAATTTCTTTACGTAATTCCAATCAACTACAGTGCTAAAAAAGGTAAATTTAGTTTTATTTATCTGTACTGTTTATTGCATTCTAAAAAATTCGATTCTTTCTACTGTGACCATTTGGGTACATTAGAAGGAATTGAACTGTACCGATATGTGACCGCGTCTGGGAAAATGGACCTTATGACCAAAAAAAATTTTTCTTTGGTTATTTTAGTATAAAATGCAACTTATTTCGTTTTTTACAGTGCGAAAAATAACTATAAACAAATCTTTCAAAAATTCTTTTGTGAATCATTTTTCTAATTAGATTTTCGAAATATACAATTAAAAAGATTTTAAATTTTGTAAAATTTAATTAAAAATAATAAATTTTTTTCAAGTATTTTGTTAAAATTTTTGAAAATCAACTTTAGAAGAATTTTAATTGCAAATTTCGAAAGTAATATTGAATTATCAAAAATTTTAATGGAAAATCTTTAAAATTTAAATTTAAAAATGAAAATGAATGGAAAATACGTACAAAAATAATAAAATTTTAGAATTATTTTTAACAATTTAAAACAATTTTGAAAATAAAATTTTTAATTAAAATTCATTAAAAAATTAATTAGTTTGTCTTAAATTAAGAATCAATTATCTTCGAACAAAGTAAATAAAAATTTGTAAAAGTTTCCTGTTTTAGATATTTATTAAAATTTTTGAGAAATTATGGTCCTATTTGTAATTAAAATTCTTTAATTTTATTATTTTCAAAAGATTTTAACAAATTTAAATTGTTTGGAAATTTTTTAATTGTGTATAATTAAAAAATTTTTAAAGCATTGTTTTTTAAAAAATATTGTTTTTAAGTTGAAATTGATTAAAAATACATACCATTGTTATTCAATTTTTTACAGGGAAATTCACTTCTTTATTTTTCTGACCAATTTCAAATCATAATTTTTGAAAATTATGATTTGTTAATAATGCAAATAAAAATATGAAATATATAAAAATTATGATTTTTTGCATTATAAACCCAAAAACAATGCTTGTTTTTAAAAAAAAGCTTCAAAATTACAGATGGATTTTAAAATATGTCAATTTTTAAGAAAAATAAAAATACAAACAGGATTAAAATTTAAAGAAAATGTAAATGCATTCAACATAGCTCTTCGTAAAAATCAATGCACATCCCTTTAAGGTCATGTTATTCAGTGGCCACGTACCCCATATACTTTCCTAAGGGACACATGACTTCTGAATAACAAGCCCTTAATAACTTTTAAATTACTACGATTTTTAAAGCGAAACCTTAATTTTCTTTCCCATTTTCGTTATACTAATTGAATTTCATCAGAAAATATTTATTTTGCATTTATTTTAAATTATTGAATGTTTTGAAGGGCCGCACATTTAAATGTATTTACATTTTTTTAAGTGTACTTTCTAAATTTAAATTACTGAAAAATCATCCTTTAATTAAAATATAAAATCAGTAAAAATTTCCACTAATTCTTAAAGTTTTTTAGAAAATAAAATTTAAAAAACATCATTTACTTTAAACGATATTTTTAAAAATGTGTTTTTTTATTAATTAAAATAATAATACAATAATGAAGAAAGTTAGACATATCGAAATAAATATATAAACTTGAGAGCTGTTTTTTTGTATTATTAAATTTGATCCATAATATTATCAAAGACAGTAAGAATTCATATATTTGTATTCTTTTGTTTCAGCAGTGTTTCGAGAGCTTCCAACCATGGAACCAGTGCGTTTGTTAAGAAAACTTTCTATAAATAAATAAACATATGTAAATATGTATATAACTCTAAAGTTTCAAATTCTTTTTTTAAATAACATTCATTTACAATTGAATTATTATTTTTATTTTATTATTATTATTAATTTTTTAATTTTTATTTTTATTAATATTATTATTATTATTATTATTAATTATTACAACCTATTACTGTAAACAATTATTGTTACTGTAAATTATAAAGATAATTGTCAGTATTATTTACTTTATTATTGTGAACATTAGTAATTAATTGATATACAGACAAATTATTAGTCTACAAATTATGCCTTCGTATTAATTAATATAAAAGATAATTTCAAGAAAATATGAAATTATAATAATATATATATAATAAAGTAATAGAATTTATTTTTTGGTAAAACATTGTAAGATGAAAAATTAAAAATAATTAATTTTTCATATTAACTGCAATTTGTTTTAAAATATTTACAGTATTATATATACCTAATATTTTTTGTTTATAAATTTTTTGTCTGTCGAAAGAGGACGCAGCTGTGCTGTAGAATTATAAATTAACAAGTTTTTAATTATTATTTTTTTTGTTTTAATACTTTGACTTTTGGATAATTGCGATATTTGTATTTTTTTCAAAATTCAAAACTTGAAATATAAGGAAATTTTTCGATAAATATATTGAAAGTAAAGCTTTAAAAGCTCAATTTAATGACAAATGTAAATAATTAATATAATTTTGTAAAGGGGAATTTTTCTCCATTTTATAAACCTTGGAATCCTTGGAAATAAAATTGATCTTTCACGAATTTTTAAATGATTTTTATTTTAGAATAAAAAATCGTATTATATAAAACTTTTTGGACTTAAGTATCAAAATGTTTAAAAACAAATTTATGTTTTTGTTTTATTTATTTTTTTTCCTAAAAATTTTATTTTTAATTTTAATTTTGAATTATAATTTTGAATTTTATTCCGAAAAATTTGCTATTCAAATGTACGAATTTTTAATATGTTTTATTTGTAAATCTTAAAATAATGGAAAGTTTTATATATAAATAAATTTGACAATTTTTATCTCATTATTGCGTTAAATGTTGATATACCTATTTAATGTTTCACTTTCGACAACATTCTCGTGTCTGTCTGTTTTTGTGCTAAAAATAATATCTATATCAGTAAGTATAACTGATAATAAATTATCAAATGTTTTATGTAAATTAATACTTGATAATAAAATTGGGGTACAAAAGAAATTTGCCAGTTTTTGTTTTTTAGAAGAAATGTGGGCGCAGTTAGAGAAACTACAGTTCCTTGTTTTATTTTTATTCATCATTTTTAAAAATGTTGAGGTAAATTTTTATATTATTGCATTTATATAAGTAGAAATTAATGAAGTATAATTTTTTTAATTCACTAATATTATAAAAAATAAATTAAACCCTAAAACTCTTATAACAATTAAATTTAGTTTAAAGTTAAAGTTATATAAACATTTTGTATTTTTAGAGTTGTACATTCGATTTGGAGAAATTGGCTGTTGAAAATTTTCGGAATTACCTTCGAATTCCTTCAGTTCAACCGAATGTTAATTACAGTATTTATCATTAATTATTTCTGCATTTTCTCAAAAAGAATTATAAATTTTCTTTTAGAAATCGTGATTTTTTTTAGCAAAATGCGTCAACTTTTTAAAAAGACAAGCAGAATCTTTGGATCTGCCGATAAAAATAGTTGAAACTGATCCTGGAAAACCTCATGTTATAATCACATGGAAAGGAACAGAACCTGAATTACCTTCAATTTTACTGAGCGGTCATATGGACGTCGTTCCAGTAAATCGTGTAAGTTTTAGAATATTTTATTCTGAAAAAAAGTTTATAAATTTTTTGTTGATTAATATTTTTTTTCTAGTTAATTTTTTTAAAATTTTCAATAATAAAAAAATATTGAATTTAATTATTTGAATAAGCACAATTTTCATTAAATTTTTAGAAGAAAATCAATTATTTAAAAAAATTTTTTATAAAATTCTGACCAGGAAATTAGGAATTTTTAAAAATTAAAATTTTTAAAAATTGAAAAAATATTAAAAATCTTTGTTTACTAAAGTAAAATTCGTGGCAAAAATTCAATTATTTTCATAACTAATAAAATCATTTAAAAAAATGTATTTGTTGTTATAATTGAACCGTCATAATTTAATTGTTTCATTATTATTATTATTATTATTATTATTATTATTATTATTATTATTATTATTATTATTATTATTATATTATTATTATTATTATTATTATTATTATTATTATTATTATTATTATTATTATTATATTATTATTATTATTATTATTATTATTATTATTATTATTATTATTATTATTATTATTATTATTATTATTATTATTATTATTATTATTATTATTATTATTATTATTATTATTATTATTATTATTATTATTATTATTATTATTAGTTAACCGTACAAGGCCTCTTAAATAATGCAAAAATGTATTTTATTTTTATAACTAAAAACACTCATCACTCGATTTCAATTATTTTTAATACAATTTTAAAATGAATTCCTCTCAAACTACAATGATTTATCAATATTTTATTAAAATTCTTCTAAAGAATTCAATTATTTAAAATAATTTGTTATATAATTTATTTATATTAGAATTTAATAATAATTTTTTAAAAAATTTTTAATTACATTTCTTGAAAGAAATGTATTATTTTCAAAAATTTTAATTAAATTCTTCGTTTAAAAAATTTGTCGAAAATCGATTATTTTCAGTATTTACTGTCTCAATAAATCAATTATTTTTAAAAAATTTGTCGAAATTAAATTATTTTCAGTATTTACTGTTTCAATAAAATTTCCCGAAAAATTGAATTATTAAAAGAATATTTTAATAATAAAAACTGCTAAACCGGTTTCCGCTAAATCGGCGTTGGAGTGTATTTGACACACAAATACAAATAAATCTATAAAAATACAATTTTAATATAAATATAAATTAATTATTAATATAAATTTAAATTTGTATAGGAAAAATGGATTTACCCCCCATTTTCGGCCCACATGGATGAAAATGGCAACATTTACGCCCGAGGTGCTCAAGATATGAAGAGTGTCAGTATCCAGCACATCGAAGCTGTGCGACGATTAAAATTAAATGGAATTCGATTGAGGAGAACAGTTCACATTCTTTTCGAGCCTGACGAAGAAATTGGAGGCGTTGGTATGCAGGCATTTGTAAAGACTGGCGAGTTTAAAAATTTAAACGTCGGCTTTGCATTAGACGAGGGTGGAATTAATGATGGCAGGGAAATTATTGTCAATTATGCAGAAAAATCTCGATATCGAATGTGGGTGCATTGTCCAGGTGAAGCTGGCCACGGTTCCTCGCTTTTAAATAACACCTCAGCTGAAAAATTACGAGTCATCATTGATCGATTCATGGATTACAGGGCATCCGAAAAGGACAAATTGAAGGATCCAAAAGTCAAAAACGGAAATATTACGTCCATTAATTTAACAATGTTAAAAGTAATTGTTTATTTTTAGTTTTAAATCTATATTAAATTTTTTTAATTTTTATTATTTCATTAAAAAAAATTTGTTTAAATTAAAAAAAAAAATTACACTCGAACACCGGTTTAGTGGACCATTTTTGGAGAGTGGTCCGCTAAACCAAAAAGTCCCCTAAACCGGCGTTGGAGTGTAAAAAAATTTTAAAAAAGTTTATAAAAATTGAAATTTTTAATTTAAAAATCAAACAAACTTAAAATAGGAATTAAAAAAAAAATTTGAATTCCAAGGGTGGACTGCAAGTTAACGTAGTTCCCGACGTATTGTCTGCTGCTTTCGACATAAGAATTCCGCCTGATATGGAAGTGTTCAAAAAATTTGACAAAATGATACACACTTGGTTTGATGAAATTGGGTGTAAGGTGGAATATATTCAAAAAAATAACAGTATTCCTGTGAAGGGGACAAAAGTTGATGAGAGTAATATTTATTGGGTTGCTTTCAAGAAGGCCTGCGATGATTTTAAAGTCGATTTGGATGTTTCAATCGCTGCCTGGGGTACAGATGCAAATTACCTACGAACTGTAAGTGTTTGCAAGTATTAATTTACAAAAATTAAATAAAGATTCTAAACTTTTAATTTTGTTTTTACTTCATTATTAGCGGCCAAAAGTTAAAATATTGAATAATTAAATAATTAAATAATTTAAAAATTTAAAAATTAATAAAAATAAATAAAATAATATTTTAGTTATATGTTAAAATTACGAATTATTACATAGCTTGGAATTCCTGCTTTGGGATTTTCACCAATCAACAACACACGTCCGTTGCTGCACGCTGATAACGAATATTTAAATAAGGACATCTTTCTCAAGGGGATTAAAATATTTATGAAAATTGTAACTGCTGTCGCAAACGCCTAGAAATTATACTATTTTTATTATTTATAAAATAATAGCTTTAACATAATTATAATATAAATAACACCGGTCTCGATTTTTGCTTCTTCCTCTCTTTTAAAAATCGGTCCTCTTCTGACCTGAAAAACTGAAATTTAAAAAATAAAAATTTTTATTTGTTAGTTTATTATATTTAATTAGGTAAATACTGAGACTTTTAAAACTTGCAAGACAAGCTTGCGGCAAGATTGATACAAGATTACGTCCTATCTGCGAAGAGTTAATTTTTTAGAAATTCTTTCCAATTTCAAGTTATTAAAAATAACATGGAACATTTTCTTTATTAATTGTAAGAATAAATATTTATTGTTTCATAAATTAACTTATAAAATGAAAAATTTTAGAAAGAAAATAAGTTTAATTGTTTTCCTTTCAAAGTCTTATTCTTAGCAGGTAGGCGTGGTTTCAATGAATAGATGACGAAATAATCAACACTTTTCATTTGACATCGACGAACGTTAATTGTTTTCCCACAAAATTCATACAAATTATATGCCCATTGATTTATTCGTTTTGTTAGCAGAACTTTATTATACACTTGACTTATGCGTATTTCTGCGCAATCCTCTTCTTCTATTTTCAGTATGTACTTTATTATTTATAAATTTTGTTTTGCAAATTTTTTTTCAATTTTTTTTTCAACTAACATTTTTGGTAATTATCAAGAAGTGAAAATTTCATTGTTTTTTAAAATTCTAATTCTTCTTTTTAGCACAGTGGTGATAAACGAAATTAATAGGAAAATTTAACCACAAAACAGGTAAAATATAAAATTTATATTTTTTTATCTAATTATTTTAAATATAAAGTTTCACATCTAAGTTTTACATTTTTACATTTTTTACATCAATTATTAATTTTGTACTAATTTTGAATATCGTTAGTAAAATCAGTTTATATATTTTTGGTTTATTTTTAAAAATAATATTATAGTAAAATATTTTTTATATTTTTACAGAAGTTAAAATTTTAGAAATTTTTTAAAGTTCTACTAGTTTGAAAATTTTATATAGATAATAGCCAATTTTTAAAAATATTTTATACTTCTTAGTTTCTGATAAAATACTAAAAATATTTAAAATAAAATGTAAAGAAGAAAATATATTCATATGTTAAATATTTGTTTTTTTCTGACATGTAGAAATTAAGTATTTACTATATGGAAAATTACTTTAAATTGAAGAATAAAATATAAAATATTCATTTTATATTTTATTCTTAATAAATAAAATATAAAATATTAATTTTATATTTTATTCTTAATAAATAAAATATAAAATATTCATTTTATATTTTATTCTTAATAAATAAAATATAAAATATTCATTTTATATTTTATTCTTAGTAAATAAAATATAAAATATTCATATTATATTTTATTCTTTTAATAAAGAGTTAAAAAAATAAAAGTAAAATAAATATTTTTCGTGACTTACAATTTTTATCACTTTATTATAATAAAACTATTCTTTTGATAATTTTATTTATCACTCACGTATGAATTTTATTTATTATAATTATTCCCATAAAATAGATTTATTATTTTTTTATAACTAAGCGAAACATATTTCTTTCATATAAGTACGTGGGAAACATTAATTCAATTGTTTATAAAATTTTATATAAAAATTTTTAAATAAAAATAAATAAGTAAAAATTATATAAAATTTCTAATTATAATATAATATAAATCTTAAAAAATAAAATAAATACTTGCTTATAAAAATTAAATTATCTTTAAAAAACAGAACTTTAATATTTTAAAAACCTAAATAATTTCTTAGAATTATAATACCTATAAGGTTTTCCATAAATTCAATTTTAAAACTTTTTAATTTATTTATTCAAAATACACGGGCTTATTAAGCTTAATTAGCATAAGCTTATTAATTAATAAGCTTATAATAATTTTAATATGCTTAATTAACAAGCTTATTAAGCTTATTAATATTTTAAAATTAAGTAATAAATAAAAATTTTTATTTTATCTCTTTCAAAATTAGATTTGCAATTTAGATTTTTTAATGTTGCTTCTAGTCCAAATAAACAAGAATACAATCGATTGTGACTCTGAAAAATTCAATTATTTATCAATTTATTATTGCATTAAAATTCTTTAAAACTTCGATTTTTAAAATTTTGTTATGAATTAAAATTTTTTAAAAAGCGTCACGCCTGCGCATAAACGACTTTTTCTACTGAAATTGCAACAATGCGCATGCGTTGAGAAACAAAGACAAAAGAGGGGACGTTATATGAACTAGCTGCCTCTGTCTGTCAACCTGATGTTTTAAAACTAAAAAATTTTAATTTCTTAAAGAAAGATAGAATTCAATTGTTTCTGAAAATTGCAACAATTTTTAAACCATTTTAATTTTAAATTATTTTAATTAATTTTAATTTTTAATTATTTTAATTTTAACTAATCCGTATTTTTCAGGATTTCAGTAAAATTATAATAATTTCCATCTTCTCATCATGTTCTTTCCAAATAAATGTGGAGTGTGCGATGAAATAAAAGATCTAAAAAAATGTACCCGATGCAATTTAATATCATACTGTGGAGGAGAACATCAGAGACAGCATCTAAAGGATCATAAGAAAATTTGTAAAATACTCGACGAAATGTTAAAGGAATACAAATTATCGCACATATTTGAAAAATCACATGGCGCCGATCATGATAAATGGCTACTAGATCGAGAATTGATTATACGAAAAATGACACAAAAATTAGGAAGAAATCTTGATGATGAGGAAAAATCAATGTTCCGAATGCCACGGAATTGTCTCGTTTGTCATGAAACAAGAAACAGTGAATTAACAAATTGCACTCAATGTCCTTTTGCAAGTTTCTGCAAAGATCATCGAGAGGATAATCAGCATGATAAGTATTGTTCACTATTGAAGAGTTTTTATAGGGTGGAAATTTACAATTCCGTATCAGGTCCAGAACGGTATAACGAAGCACTTATTTCCATTTTACACACGGAATTTAAGCAGAATTTAAAAGCACCAGTGGATATGAATGAGTTCTTCGATTTTTATGTCGATGAATCGGTGAATATTGATGGGACGTTGAAAATGATTGCTTCGGATTATTTCAGTGTTCCTTTGACTCTATTCAATGCTCTGAAGAAGTTGAATTATTGTCATACTCATAGTTTGACGCTTCATATCGGAGGGACTGATTTTCCTTTCGAGCATGTTCAAGTTTGGGAGACTATTTTGCATCTGTTGCCTAATTTGAAGAAGCTTTTGGTCGTCTATGTGGGACAGAAATTTAATTTTCACAGGATAATATTTCCATTGTGTGGGGTTTGCTCCATGAGTGAAAGAACCATTGCAGTTGATGTTTTTAGCATGAATTACAAGTAAGTTACTTTACTAAATTAATACTTATAGTCACATTTGTCTGGAAATTAATGAATCTATTTTTCGCAGGCAGTACGTGAATTCGGAGTATTACGAGAAGCCGGATCTGGTTGCATTTTTGAATCTAGTTTCCCCCTCTGACCATAGCCCAAATCGAGGACAATACGAAGAAGATTTCGTATTAATATGCGGTAGAATACGTTGTTGCTTGGTGGTGACAACAACATCAGAGAAGAAAATGTACTCAGCGGCTAGGGACTTTCAATCGGCTTTGTGCTTCCGGGAAATCTTGGAAGACGACAACAATAAGTTTGCGTCATTGAAGCCTCAGATACAGTGGGAGGATGGTACTGCTTTTAGGGCGAATCAAAATATGCTTATTTTCAGTCTACCAACAAGAAAATTCTTCTACGGCACCAACTGTCACGTTTGTCATTCGAACGAAACTTTTGTCACCTGTGAATTTTGCAGAATGATCTTCTATTGCGATGAGGAACATCAGCAGGATGATTACTTCAGTCATAAGGATCTTTGCAAAGTGCTGATTGCGATGATGGACAAAACGGAAACGATGTGTTTTTACAGTCACCTGAAGGGTGTCGATTCGGAAACGTGGGTGCGAGCCAAAATTGAAATTCTGGTGAGGGTGGAATTGAAACTTGCAAGGAGGCTCATGGACTTTGAGGAGGAACTTCTTCTCTTTCCGAAAGCGTGTTTCGTTTGTCATGAGAGCGATTTGGATGTGCTGAACGACTGCGAATGTGGGGTGAGTTTTTCGAATCATTTCTGTTTTCACTTACTAACTAATTCTTTATCGACTTTAAAGGAGTGAAGAAAGAGCCGAGTTCTTTCTTCAGTTCACTAACTGATTCTTCATCGACTTTAAAGGAATGAAGAAAGAGCATGGATTCCTTTAAAGTCGATAAAGAATCAGTTAGTGACTTAACGTCTCAAGTCCTCTATTAGACCCTTAAAATTAGAAAAATTAGAAGTATGACATTTTTTTTATTTTTTTTTTTTCATAAACAGATAAGTCTATGTCAGGAGCACAGAGACGATGCTACACATGAAAATTTGTGTAAAGAATTCGACCTCGCCTACAGAATGACAACAGCAAAACAGTTTCCCATCATTTCAACGATAGTGAAAGATGTAATAATTCAGGAAAACGAAAATCTTCCTCCCTCTCTTGAAGATTTTATAAACAAATTCTTACAGCTAAGCAATAAGATTTCCGACTATCGAGTTCCCGATTACGACAGATTGATGATCGGGGAATATTTAACAAGACCCCTAACTTTACTCTACGCTATGAAACGACTACATTTGCATATTAAACCCACAATGGTGATTCATGTCCTCGGAGCGTCGACTTTCGAAATTTGGTCGCAGAAATACTGGAAAATTCTATTATTCTGGCTGCAGAACTTAAAGAACTTGATTGTCGTATTCATTGGACCTGAAATTGAAGAATTCGCGAATGACAGTGTAGAACTTATCTTTTCCGAAACTTCTTTGGGAGATGATCAGAGACTTTGCGTCATCTCCCCTCCGATTCACTATGAAGATTATTATAAACACAAGTCTTTTTTAAAACCCGACATTGTCATTGGATTTAATCTCGAAATTCATGAAATTGAACTGGGAATTTCGAGTTCCAGTTGGAAGCATATGCTCCTGACGGTGGAGAAATTGAACGTGCCTTTTATATTGACGGCGGGGTCTGAAGAAAGAGCTCGAAGCGATCATCGAATTATGAGTATCCTCATGGATTTGAAATTGACTTACTTTTCTCTGGAATCAAATCCATTTGCTGGTCGTGTTCCTGAACGAGATTTTCAAACGGAGAGACTTCGGTATTCGAATAAATTTGTGACAATTTATAGTCGGTTGCGCGAAAATATTAGAGGACATAGAGATTAAGTTTGTTTTCAATTTGTACATAATTTTTTTTTAAAAAACGCTTTTCTTAGCAGTATTGTATATAAATTATTACTATTGCGACTTAACAAGAGTCGTATTTTACTTGACTGGAGGGAAAAAGAAAATATTTTTTAGAAATTAAAAAATAGTTAGTGCAATTTTATAATAAACGTTTCTGCAAACTGCGGATAAGTGATATTTATATATATTTTTAAAGTATTTGAAATGTATTTAAAATGTATTTGAAATGTATTAGAAATGTATTAGAAATGTATTTGAAATGTATGGTTCAAATGTGCATAAAAAAGGTAATTTTATGGAAATAATCCAAGAATTGAAAATCTACGAAAAATAGTATATATATAGATACTATTTTGCGTTAATACAGTAAAGAATTAATGACAATAAATTAATTTATGCTATCTATTTTTATTTACATTTAATAACAACTTTCATTCCGCACAAATGAAAAAATCTTTTAACTGATTTCACATCGTAGATCAGAACAGAAATTCAACCAACAATATCTTCTCTAGGTACGTCTAATTCATTCACTAATTTCGCAATAACAGTTTCTTTTGCAATCGGTTCATTTTTCATTATGATGTGAATAACATCAAAGCCCATGATTACTGTCTTTTTTGCACTTTGTATAACATAAGGCATATCAGGAAGAATCACAGCTGCATCCTTTATTCGAATTATGTTTTCCAAATCCACTGCTAAATACGAAGAATCAATGTTTACTTCATACATAAACATATGAACAGGTTGTCCAGGCTGAAAGGCAAGCAATAGTTTATACATTTCGATTTCACTCACTGATAAATGCAACGTTGAGGAGAGTATACTTTCACCCACTAATTTTGACGGATCTCTTTCAAACTCTAATGGATTTCTGAATTCTATCTGAAACAATTTTTTCTTAGATGTAGTGAGATCATTAGTGCATTGTCTAATTGCCAATCTGTACAAAGAATTTTTTACTTGCAATGCAAGTAAAGGATCCTTTATAGTTGCGAAAGCGTTATGTTTCCAAAGAAGAAGAGCATAATAATCCTGGAATGTTATGTGTTTGGATATATTTGTCGAAGAGTAGGTATTAATTGCAGTCTGTAAGTCCACCTGCATTTGATGATTTTTCATATTGTAAAGTCTGAATAAGATTCTCTTCCTTGCAACTATAATGTGGATATCAGGATTATGGACAATGCTTCTGCTATATAGTAGCTTTTCTAATTCAGCTGGACAGTTGACGTAAAATTCATTATATACATGACTAATCTGATTGGTTCTAATCCAATCGAGAGCAAAGTCATAATACGTGGGCACTGGTAAATATTTATTCAAATTCGGATCTATCATAGGTAATTCGTCAATTCCTGCTACGTGCTCTGTTATGAAATTATGAATCTCGAGATCATTCAATTTTCCGAAGTCTATTTCCACATCTACGAGATCATCAATATTACTGGGGATATTACTTTCTAGTACATAATGCCGCATTGTTTTTTCAGCGTTGTATCTGTTAACACCAATTTTCGCATCTACAACCAATTTTACTGCGTCTGTGATACTTTTCTCTCTTCTAACCATTATTGCTCGTCTACCTCCCAAACCCTCTGTTTTAATTTTGTAGATGTGTTGTCGAAACGGTTGCTTTGCATTTTCAAGTTTACCATGCTTGTTTAGTTTCAGTTCAAGACCAAACAGTTCTTCTGTTTCTAAATTAATTCTCTTGAAAAATACCCTTCCGCGTTTTGATACTTTTGTTATGACGACAGGAATCTCCTTCTCAAAACCAATCAAGTGTCTTAGCTCTGCGTAACCTTTAGACAACTGGATGTACTTTGGTCCGAAGGGTTCCTTTCCTCCAGGGTAGATAAATCTAAATACTTCTCGTCCTTCCATTTCCTTTCTTTCTATTCCTGGTACGGAAACAATTTTTATATCCGCAGATTTAGCACCCTGTCCCGTTAGGTGCAGCAAAATATTTTCAAACTTTGCATACTTGAAATTTAAAGATGGAAATTTTTTCGAAACTTGTTTAAAAGCTTTGTTCATGACTTTAGCTATCAAAGCACTGCCACTACGAGTCAATTTACCAAGGAGTTCAAAGCCAGGGTCCAATGTACGAATTACTCCAACAGACAGTGTTCTAAACATTTCTTTGGTAAAAACAATTTTTGAAAACATTTCACTGAGACCAATGGCGACTTTTCGTAAACCGATGGTCATTGTCGTCAGAATCGCTTGTCGCAAAGTGTAACTTCGTAGCGATAGTTCGGCAGTCAACAAAAATCGATTAATTGTCATGGTACTCATCTTGAAGCCAATGTTAAAAACCCCGACGAAAGGTATCAAGCCGACAACATCTCCGATGCAGGTCAAAGTCGCCATTCCTTGCTCCCCAGCTCTTGCATACTGTATACAATGATAGAAAGGTATAAACGCTTTTAAAATTTCGAAAAACTTCTCCATACTAGTTGTATCGTATCCATAACCGAAAAGCTGTTTTCTAAATTCCTCTGCTTTCATTTCCGCTATTTTCTCCACGAAGAAATCAAAACTCTCCTCAGGTTGTTTTATACGCGTTCTAACGAGTGGAACTTCAACTTTGACATTTTTTTCCAATCCAATTCTCGTATTGAATTCGATCATTTCCCCTCTGTGGAGAATCAGAGTAACGTTATTCTCATTCTGCTCCAAGGCGAAAAATACAGTTTGATTTTCGCCTTTGACTCCGAACAAAATTATATTTGGATTAAATGTTGGCATTGTTGGTGGACATAGATAACAGTACATATCATTTGGTTTAGGTGAAGCTTTATAAACAATTGTGCCTGTAGAATTTATCAAAGTTTTTAGAAGGGGAAGATCGTCAAAAGCTGATCGAATGAAGTCTAGTTCCATTAGACGATATTTTTCCTTGATGGAATGGAATTGTGCTTCGTAGACTAGTTCCAGATTTGGGAGTAATTTTGCATGTCTATGACAACGAGTACTTGATGAATAGGTTTTGTAGTCTTCGATTAGGGATTCTAGGTAAGTGTCATTGAGGTAGCTGCATTCTTTGTGTAACGTTTCCCTGGCAACTACGGTTCGATTTTTGAATTTCGACATTTCGAGATGAAATTGGTAGAGGGAATTAGTAGCAAGTGCTTCTTGTCGAATAGTCTCGAATGTTGTATTCAAGAAAGAGAACAAAGTGAAGAAAGCATTGGACCAAAAGTCTTCATTGTTTATGAAAAATTTCACTTTTCGTTGATTGAATTTTTCCCTTTCTTTGTAAGCATAATAAATAATTGCCGGAAGAGAAAATATTTGCAAAACTGATTCTGGAAGTTCCTTGCTAATTGCAGTTGCTTCTATAGTAATTCCAAGAGTCACGTATCTTTGAAAATCCATGTCTGTTAGGTTCATTTGCGCCGTCTCAGCTAATTTGAGTCCAGCTATTGCGTAAAGATATTCGACACTAATTATCGATATATCTTCTTTTGCTTCAGGAAATAAAGACCAAATGAGAGTGTCCACAATTCTGGTTATTGATAGTTCGGTGAGACTTGAAACTTCATCATCATCGTCATCCAAGTGTCGTAGGTAGGAAAGATCTCTAATCAAAGTCTTTTTGAAAGCAGATAACTTCAAGTTGGTTGATGTGCTTACAACTGACCCTAAATATCCGTAAAGATTGTTCCACTGCGAAAATACAACACCACTGACTATGTGGTCAAGAGTTTTATCCACATAGTCCATATCAAGAATTTCGTCTTTATTTCCTCCATACAGATCAGTGCCGTTTAATAATTTTTGTACTAATTGTTGCTTTGCTTCCGTTTCATTTTTCGTTTTATCCAGATGCTCGTAGAGAGTATTTATGATTAAGAACGGCTTTCTCTTGTTTGCTTTTGTTAATAGTTGTTCCGAATAGAATACATCGCCTAATACATTTAGACAATGAATTAATGGGAGAAAATTCACAGATTTAATGGGTGTGAAAAGAGTACTTGAGTTGTCCATTTTTGTAACACAAGTAAGTGATACTGTCTGTTCCAATTTTTACTCAATCTGAAAGTTTAAGTATGTATCAGATTTTTTGTTTGTTTAAATTATATTCCCGAAACATTTTAAAGTAGGTTTAGTTTTAAACATAAAAATCGGATTAATCTCTCAAAAAAGTCTAAAGAGGCATTAGAAAAAGAAAATGAAATCATTACAATTTATATATGAAATAGTAGAAAGTAGGAATACTCGTCATTATTTTATATTTCATTCACACCTTTTATCAGTGGTATCTGTCTTAGTATTGCTTAACGTTTTTAAGTAATTTTCAATTCATACAAAAGTCTTGATATTAATAAATTCAATAATAAATTTACCTGAAATACTGAGGCTGGCTCAACGGCGAGCTACAAGAATGTAGTTTCAATAATACAGATTAAAATGTGTCTCCGTTAGATTAAACTATAATTGTACGTCATCTTTAGTGTATATAAGTTCAAGAACTGTTGTTCCTTTAAATTGAATTCTTTGGAGACTCAATATATATATATATATATATATATATATATATATTGCTATATTAAATATTTCTGGAATCAGCCTTTCGAACATTGGATATTGACATTAAAGAAGTGACAATATTGAGTATGCAAATTAAATTACACAAAGTTTTATTGTAACCTTCCTTTCCAACATATGGATACGTGTCGCTTTAATTGTTCTTTTCAACTAAACATCAAAAAAATAATCAGAATTTCTAGTGTTTTTGGCCAGCATTTCTTACTTACTTAATTTCAACTTTTAGGAAATTTTTGATCCTATGTAGGACAGTGTTTTTAATAAAAGTATTAAAGAGGGAAATAATGAAAAGTAAATTGTTTATAAGTGATCTTTTCTTTTTAATGATATAAACATTATAATTTTAAGAATTTTTACAGTAAACTTGCCGTTTTAATTTCTTTTATATTTATATGCCAATTTGTATATTCTGTCTTTTATGAAAATTGACTGTTTTATAATTTTATAATATAAATGACAATTTTTTGAAATAACACGGTTGTATTTACTCATTCACACCACTGTACTGGTAAATTAATTTATACAATCTATATTATTATTTAAAAACAGTAATAGAACTTTAGAGTATTAGTCCACAGTGTCATCCCTCACAAATTTAAAATTTAACTTTTTGCATCGTATATCAACACATGAAATTCAACCAACAAAATTAGCTCTAGGTGTGTCTATTTCATTCATTAGTTTCGCAATAACCGTTTCTTTTGCAATCGGTTCATTTTGCATTATGACGTAAATAATATCAAAGCCCATGATTACTGTTCTTTTCGCACTTTGTATTACGTAAGGCATATCAGGAAGCAGCACAGCAGCATCTTTGATTGAAATGATGTCTTCCAAATCTACTGCTAAATACGAAGAATCAATCTTAACTTCATACAGAAATATTTGAACAGGTTCTCTAGGCTGATAGGCAAGTAATTCTTTATACATTTCTATTTCACTCATTGATAATTGTATTTTGAAGAAGATTAGAATTTTATCCACCAATTGTGAAGGATCCCTTTCAAATTCTAACGGACGTCTTATTTCCAACTGAAACAATTTTTTCTTTCTTAAATCATTGTTGCTTTGTCTAATTGCCAATCTGTACAAAGAATTTTTTATTTGCGTTGCAAGAAAAGGATTCATAATGTTTGTAAAACCGTTATGTTGCCAAATAAGAAGGGCATAATAATCCTCGAATGTACTGTGTTCGAATATATTTGTTGATGAGTAGATATTAAGTGCAGTCTGTAAATCCACCTGATGCACTTGATCATTTTTTAAATTGTAAAGTCCAGAGATTTTATTTCTTGCTTCTAATGTGTGGAAATTAGGATTAACCACTATTCTACTGTTATATAGTATCTTTTCTAAACCATCTGGATTCTTGACGTAAAATTCACTGTACACCTGACTAATCTGTTTGGTTCTAATCCAATCAAGAGCAAAGTCATAATACGTGGGCACTGGCAAATATTTATTCAAATTCGGATCTATCATAGGTAATTCGTCAATTCCACTTACGTGCTCTGTTACGAAATTCTGAATCTCGAGATCATTCAATTTTCCGAAGTCTATTTCCACATCTACGAGATCATCAATATTACTGGGGATATTACTTTCTAGTACATAATGCCGCATTGTTTTTTCAGCGTTGTATCTGTTAACACCAATTTTCGCATCTACAACCAATTTTACTGCGTCTGTGATACTTTTTTCTCTTCTAACCATTATTGCTCCTCTACCTCCCAAACCCTCTGTTTTAATTTTGTATATATGTTGTCGAAACGGTTGCTTTGCATTTTCAAGTTTACCATGCTTGTTTAGTTTCAGTTCAAGTCCAAACAGTTCTTCTGTTTCTAAATTAATTCTCTTGAAGAATATCCTTCCGCGTTTGGATACTTTTGTTATGACGACAGGAATCTCTTTCTCAAAACCATTCAAGTGTCTTAATTCTGCGTATCCTTTGGACAATTGGATGTACTTTGGTCCGAAGGGTTCCTTTCCTCCAGGGTAGATAAATCTAAATACTTCACGTCCTTCTATTTCCTTCCTTTCTATTCCTGGTACGGAAACAATTTTTATATCCGCAGATTTAGCACTCTGTCCCGTTAGGTGCAGCAAAATATTTTCAAACTTTGCATACTTGAAATTTAAAGATGGAAATTTTTTCGAAACTTGTTTAAAAGCTTTGTTCATGACTTTTCCTATCAAAACACTGCCACGAGTGGTCAATTTACCAACCAGTTCAAAACCAGGATCGAGGGTACGAATGACCCCAACGGACACAGCTTTAAACATTTGTTTGGTAAAAATTACTTTTGAGAAAATCCCACTAAGTTCGAGTGCGGTATTCCGTAGACCAACGGTCATTGTCGTCAGAATCGCTTGTCGCAAAGTGTAACTTCGTAGCGATAGTTCGGCAGTCAACAAAAATCGATTAATTGTCATGGTACTCATCTTGAAGCCAATGTTAAAAACCCCTACGAAAGGTATCAAGCCGACAACATCTCCGATGCAGGTCAAAGCCGCCATTCCTTGCTCCCCAGCTCTTGCATACTGTATACAATGATAGAAAGGTATAAACGCTTTTAAAATTTCGAAAAACTTCTCCATACTAGTTGTATCGTATCCATAACCGAAAAGCTGTTTTCTAAATTCCTCTGCTTTCATTTCCGCTATTTTCTCCACGAAGAAATCAAAACTCTCCTCAGGTTGTTTTATACGCGTTCTAACGAGTGGAACTTCAACTTCGACATTTTCTCCCAATCCAATTCTTGTATTGAATTCGATCTTTTCCCCTCTGTGGAGAATCAGAGTAACGTTATTCTCATTGTGCTCCAAGGCGAAAAATACAGTTTGATTTTCGCCTTTGACTCCGAACAAAATTATATTTGGATTAAATGTTGGCATTGTTGGTGGACATAGATAACAGTACATATCATTTGGTTTAGGTGAAGCTTTATAAACAATTGTGCCTGTAGAATTTATCAAAGTTTTTAGAAGGGGAAGATCGTCAAAAGCTGATCGAATGAAGTCTAGTTCCATTAGACGATATTTTTCCTTGATGGAATGGAATTGTGCTTCGTAGACTAGTTCCAGATTTGGGAGTAATTTTGCATGTCTATGACAACGAGTACTTGATGAATAGGTTTTGTAGTCTTCGATTAGGGATTCTAGGTAAGTGTCATTGAGGTAGCTGCATTCTTTGTGTAACGTTTCCCTGGCAACTACGGTTCGATTTTTGAATTTCGACATTTCGAGATGAAATTGGTAGAGGGAATTAGAAGCAAGTGCTTCTTGTCGAATAGTCTCGAAGGTTGAATATAAGTAAGTGAACAAAGTGAAAAACGCATCGGACCAAAAGTCTTCATTGTTTATGAAAATTTTCACTTTTCGTTGATTGAATTTTTCCCTTTCTTTGTAAGCGTAGTAAATAATTGCCGGTAGAGCAAAAATTTGCAAAACTGATTCAGGAAGTTCCTTGCTAATTGCAGTTACTTCTGTAGTCATTCCAAGTGTCACGTATCTGTGAAAATTCATATCAGTTAGGTTCATCTGCGCCGTCTGAGCTAATTTGAGTCCAGCTAGTGCGTAAAGATATTCGACACTAATTATTGTTATATCATGTTTTCGTTCCGGAAATAAGGGCCAAATGAGTGCCTCCACAATTCTGGTTATTGATAATTCGGTGAGACTGGAAACTTCATCATCGTCATCCAAGTGTCGTAGGTAGGAAAGATCTCTAATCAAAGTCTTTTTGAAATCAGATAACTTCAAGTTGGTTGATGTGCTTACAACTGACCCTAAATATCCGTAAAGATTGTTCCACTGCAAAAATACAACACCACTGACTATGTGGTCAAGAGTTTTATCCACATAGTCCATATCAAGAATTTCGTCTTTATTCCCTCCATACAGATCAGTGCCGTTTAATAATTTTTGTACTAATTGTTGCTTTGCTTCCGTTTCATTTTTCGTTTTATCCAGATGCTCGTAGAGAGTATTTATGATTAAGAACGGTTTTCTCTTGTTTGCTTTTGTTAATAGTTGTTCCGAATAGAATACATCGCCTAATACATTTAGACAATAAATTAATGGAAGAAAATTCACAGATTGAATGGGTGTGAAAAGAGTACTTGAGTTGTCCATTTTTGTAACACAAGTAAGTGATACTGTCTGTTCCAATTCTTACTCAATCTGAAAGTTTAAGCACATATTTTTTATTTTTCTTTAAATTATATATACGAAAAATTATGAAGTGGCTTATTTTAGATATAAAAATTGGAATGTTCTTTTAAAATACATGTTATCAAATGTATGTAATCTTCCAGTTTGTTACGTTTGTGAGTAATTTTTAATTTGGTCGTGCAAAAGTCTTATTATTAGTAAAGTCATTAACAAATTTACCTTAAATACTGTTGGCTCGACGCGGTGGACTATAAGAATGTGGTTTGCAAGTACAGATGAGAATGTGTTACCGTTAGTTTAAACTATCATTGTTGTACGTTATCTTTAGTGTGCATAGTGTTCAATAATTGTTGTTCCTTTAAAGTAAATTTTTTGTAGACTCTAATGGAAATTTTATTAATTTCTTTATTAAATAATCTATATTTCGAAATCTTAAATATTTAGAAGTAATCAATACAATAGTATTAAATATTTCTGGAATCAGTCATTCGAACATTTGATATTGACATTAAGAAGGTGACATCATTGAGTATGCAAATTAAATTACAAAATGTTCTATTGAAGTAACCTTCCTTTTCAACATGGACACGTGTCGCTTAAATTGTTTCTTTCAGATGTTTTTTTCTAAAGATAGTAGATAAAATTTTATATATTGAGCAAAATAGAAGAAAGATTTAGAAAAAGAAATCATTGATGCAAAACAAAAATTATAGCATTGGATCAAATCTAGAAAACAATTGTTTTCTAGATTTAATGCAATGTAATTATTTTTGTACCTTAAGGTACCAAAAATGAACGGATTTTTAAAGTTCCTTCTTATGCATTCCCATCCAGGAATATCCTTGAACGTGTTTAAAATTCCACGACTTGAACATAATTTCAGAGTTGTGGTTTTGATCATTAATGAATACAAATGAATCTGTTCCTTCGATTGCGAGTTTATTAGCCAAAGAGTTCGCGACAATTTTTGCATATCCTCTTCGTCTGCAAGACTCGACTGTTTGAACGAAACTGATGGCTCCAAATTCTGACTGTGAAGCCCAAGATAGAAGTTGATTTGTACTTTTGGAAAATAATCCCAATCCTTTATTGAACTGAATCATTTTCAATACATGTTGATATGTTAGTTTCTCATCGAATGTGGATCGAAGGGGCCATACAGAATGTATAAGAGGCACATGAGTTTCGTCAAGTTCTTTAAGGTAACAGTCTTCTGGTATTCTGAAAAAATATTGTTTGGTTCAATTTTGTTAATTGAATGCTTTTAATTCTTTTTGGACCTGAGATCCTTTGTTCTCTGGACCTTTTCATTTTCGGGCCAAAAATGTGGATCAAAAGAAAAAATTGACCTACATTTTTGATATAACTTTGATCCACTTTGTAGTATCAATTTGATTATATATCCTTACGATTTAAGAGTCTATACAATTTGAAGCCTTAAAAATTATATATACGTTCTTACCTTTCTTCAAAAACTATGCACTCTTCTTTGGGTTTAAATAAACATTTACCCGACTCATTCCATTTTATTTCCACCCCTTTATTCGCCTTTAAATACTCAACAATATAATAAGTGATCGGAATGAGTCGCGATTGCACTGCTGCAAAGCAAACGTCTTTATTCCAATTTATAAATTTAGTTTCTGTTACGGCTCTGAATAGAAGATCTTCAAACTCTTCGGGTGCAAAAATTACCAGACAGTAATAGGTAACCTGAAAAATATTTTTAAAATAATTAATGGAAATTTTTACTGATTTGAATTGTTGGACCTTTCATTATAATTCAAATAGAGAGTATTCGTTTGCTATAGTGATAAATATGTCGTAAAGAATTATATTGTTCTAAATTTATATAAAATATTTTACTGTTGATAATGCAATGAAAATTCCAGATTTGTAATCACTATTCGGACAATAAATCGTGATGGGTATACTCGCATCTTTTAGCTTCCACTTTCTGACTGTTTGAATAAAATAGTAGTACTGGAATAAATAATAGTATACATCTATCACCCAAAAATTTAGAATTTTAATATTAAAATCTTTATAATGTTATATAAAAGTACATACTTGTACATTAGAAGGCCAATTTTTCTTCAACGACTCTGCGAGTAAATGCCAATTTTCCAGAATTAAAGGTTGCAAAATATCGTCGGATGACATTTTCAGTAATATTTTAAATTTTAATGAACAAACTGGGTTATTTTAATGTGGAATATTGGGCATGTTTGTTTATTAGCATGATAAGAAGTAAACTTTGTTAGCATAATGACTTAATTTAAACAAATTACGCATTTGTCAGCACATTATTCGCAATGTTAAAGATGAGATAAGAAGTTTTTTTGATACAAATCTTGATAAAACGTCTTCTTCATTGTTTGTGTTCATTATACTTTTAATTATATAAGACACACAATTTTTAATTTTTGAACCGAAAGAAAATAAGTTGTGAATACCTGAATCACTGTACAAAAATAAATTGACAACACAGTTTTCTTAAAAGTATCAAATTGATACTAAAGTTGATCAAATTGATACCAAAAATGTGGATCAAATAAAAAATTGATCCAAGTTTTCTTGAAAGTATCAAATTAATGCCAAAAACCAAAAAAACCAAAATCAAAAAATTATTTGAAAATTGTTTACAAAAACTTAAAATTGAAGTTTTTATTGGGGGGACAAGAAAAAAAGTTTAAATTGAAATATTTATATTATTATCATTATTTTTTATTATTATTATTATTATTATTGTAATTAATATATATCTTTATATAAAATTATATAAGTATCATCAAATTCAAATTTTAGCTCCATTCTAGAGACATTATGTTTCTAAGGTTTGTCAAGCTATAGGGATTTTTAGTCACCAGATTAATACTCAAATGATTGGCAACCCTGAGCCCTAGCAGATAGAGATAGCAGACAGCATTAGACGCAGTCAATAAGTCAATATCATGTGTCAAATGCTGTTTTTTAAGTTTGTTTTGAAATTAGCTGAATTTTAAAATTGTAAATTGAACAATTTTCATTTTTTTTCATTCTAACAAAAGGCAAGTACATTTTATTTTTACTTCAAATACTATCTTAGCATTGTTTTTTTTCAAAAAATCCTATGCCAAATCAATATTCCTAACCTAGTTTTATATTTTCGGCAAAAATTTAATATTTTCTGTCATTTTTCTCTTTATTTTTGTTTTTGTTTTTATTAATGTTTCCTATTTTTTTTATAACAATAATATTCTTCTTTTTCTTATAGTCAATGAAAATTTTGTGAAAACATTCTTTATGAAACTATAATTTTTCTAAATAAGTTAAGGAGTGTTATTAATTTATTTTTGTTTACACTGAAACAAATGTAAATTTTTGTTTATTTCCATTATTTCAAAGTAGAAAATCAGGGGATTTTAGGAATTTATTTATTTAGATTTTTAGTAATTAATAAAAGAGAAGAAAGTATTTATTTTAATAAATTCAATTTTAATCAATTTAAATTTTTCTATTTTAAAAAAGTTTTACTTTTGAGCTTTTACCTAAAAAAAGTTTTTTAATCATAAAATTTTTAACTTTCGATCATTTTTTTAAGTACAAAATTCAAAGAGTTTGCAAAGATTTTTTTTGAAAAATGCTTATATTGCACTTTATATATATATTTTTTATTTCGAATATGAAAGAATGGAGTAGAATTAAATTTTATTTGTTTATTTTATTTGTACATAATCAATTTTTTTTATGTTTATCTTAAGGGCAAAGGAACTAATACAATGTTAATAAAATACTAATTAAGTATAAAATTTACAGAAAGAGAACAATTGCAAAATGTTAAAATTATTTATGTTTACAAACTCACTTGTAAAAAAATTATTTAATATTTATTTAAAATTCGCATTTATTTTAATTTGTTAAGTTAGGTATGTAGAAATTTTCAAAATAAAAAATACTATTTTCACGAATCGGCTTTTGTAATATTTATTGTTTATTTAGAAATACAAAATAAAATGAAAGTTTTTCTAAGTTTTAATATTTTAATATTTTTCTTTTAGGTTTTTCTATCTAAAAAGATGGTTTGAAAAATGTCCATTCATAGAAAAGATCAATAACTCGTATATCGAGAACTTTTCCGTTGCAGACAAACACGTAAGTATTTTATATATTTACTTAGAAAAGTGTTAATTTTATTTCATCTTTTTATTTTCATTCAATTATTAAATTTTTAACATTTTATTTATAAATGAGTTGATAGGAATTCTAAAAGCAATTGAACCTTACACGAGAAAACACTCCACATAACACTTAAGCAAGTGGTATTTTACCAAAAGATTAAGAATTATTAATAAAAATAAATAAATGAACGAATTAATAAAAAATAAATGAAGAAAATTACTAATTAATTTCTGTAATAAATGTATTTAATTTAAACGTTTTTTAAAATTTGTTATTTGTTATATTAAAAATGTTCAGAGAATATTTAAAATAGATAATATTATTAATTTTTAATAGAATCTAATCTTTTTAATGAAAATTTATATCATTGTTTATTTATATTTTATAATTTTCTTCATTTACTTTTCTATATTGTATTTTATTAATAATTATTGCCTAATCATTATAAAATATAAAATAATATTGCAAACGATAACTGAGAAGAGTTAAATCCTTCCATAATTTAGTTGATATTATTAAATAAATGATCATGGGAAAGTAGAAAATTGAATAAAAAAATCCAATGTGTATCGTCAGTAAAGCGACGTTTCGTTGGCTAAGATTTGCCAACCTCATCAGGCTAAATTTATTAAAACAGAAAAAAAAACACTTCAATATTTATAAAGGTCTAAAACACTATTTTCCGCAAAAGTAATAACAATTGATAATGTCCAAATTCATATCAACGGAAGGCGTCAAAGTACTGATCGCCATTTTCAAAGAGATTTCTTAAGATACATCTAATTGCTGATTGATAAATTACACTGTTTATTTTTACAAAATAATTAATTTTGACTTTCACAACTAATCGTTAGTCATTTTTATGGTAAATATATGATAATTAGTTCATTAGCTTTGCTTATAAAAATCTAGTGTAATAACTGACTGTTAATTTTCTCACAAGAGATTGAATATCATGAAAGTACAGTTAAGTTAATTTTTTAGCTTACTTATTAACATAAGTAAGCTAAAATATCTATAAAAAGTTGCATGATTAAATTAAAGAAATTCTTTCGACAAATTGACTTTGAGGTTTGAGAAAAACATATCAATGTCTGTTTAAGCGTGACATTAAAAATGTCCGAGGACACCAGAGAGCAGGCATCGCTCGTGTCTCAAATGCCCCCGAATGCCACTCCCGATTCAAACACCTCACGAGTCGGCGAACAGCAAGCGAGTCGACAAAGTAACCAGCGTCGAATTCAACAACGCAAACAACAGGTATTTTCCTGGCCGAAAATGAAGAAACTGATCAAGCTGGCCAATTACTGCGCCTGCCAAGAGGAAGGCTGCAAATGCATCGGCTGGCGCGTCAATCAACAGATCGTCAAGTCTCCAAAACCGGATGCATCGTTAGTGACCGTCACCAACTATAACGATCCATGTCGCACCTGCAATCACGTTCTTGAGAAGCACGTATCGCACTTAATGCGTGAGAACGATGAGGACATTAACAAACTCCTAGGAATGGTTGTCGACGTGGACAATATTTTCCTAAGTATGCACAGTGAGAAGGACCCGGACACGAAGAAAATCTACTATTACCTCTGCAAACTTCTGCGAAAGGCGATTCTCTCCAGAAGTAAGCCGACCATTGAGGGTCCGCTGGGACAACCGCCATTTGAGAAAACTTGCATCGAGAAAGGAGTGTCGAACTTTGTTATCTACAAATTCGGACACTTGTCCCTGCAGGAGTGGCAAGTGATGCACGACCTGGCGAAGATGTTCCTACACTGCTTGAACCACTGGAATTTCGAGACCCCGACGATTTTGCGAAATACAATCTCCGCGGACGATGCTGCGGCCTACAAGATCAACTACACCCGCTGGTTAGTCTTCTGCCAAGTCCCAGCTTTTTGCGACTCACTGCCCCATTACGACACAACCCGAGTCTTCGGCCGAACTCTCCTCCGCGCCGTTTTCAAGTCCGTCTGCCGACAACTGATGGAGAAGTGCCACAGCGAACGCGATCGCATGTCCCCTGAGAAACGCGTTTTCGTCTTCACCCATTTCCCCAGATTCCTGTCGCAACTCGAGGAGGAGCTCTACTCGGAAACCTCGCCGATCTGGAGTCCGGAGTTCAAGCAAGCACCGCCTCCTCACCTACAGACCGCCGAAGAAGCCGAGCGTTCGCGCAACGAATTCGACAGATTGTACAACACCACCGAGAGTGGCTCCCTAAAGAGACCACTGGACAAAAAGGAGATGCGAGTCGACGCCAAAAAGAAGCGAAACGAAGAGCCATTCGAGGACCTGACAAGCGACGTCATAGCGGAAATCGTCGCCAGGATCGACGATCCAAACTACATGTGCGGTCCTGATGCGTTCTTCTCCACAAACGTCCCACGCGACGAAACCCCGAAAATGGAGGAAAGCATCAAACTAATAGAGTTCCATGTGATCGGGAACAGTTTGACGCAGCCCGTCTCCAAGCAAACCATGCTCTGGCTAATCGGTCTCCACAACGTCTTCTGTCAACAACTGACAAAAATGCCGAAGGACTACATCTCCCAGTTTGTCTTCGACCCGAAGCACAAGACTCTGGCTCTCATCAAGAATGGAAGACCAATCGGTGGTATTTGCTTCAGAATGTTTCCCACCCAGGGCTTTACGGAAATAGTTTTTTGTGCCGTGACCAGTCATTTGCAGGTCAAGGGCTATGGAACTCACTTGATGAACATGTTGAAGGACTATCATATCAAGAATAATATTCTCCATTTCTTGACGTTTGCGGATAAGTACGCTATTGGTTATTTCAAGAAGCAGGGGTTCAGTCTCAAACTCCCGAGACTTGTCTATCAGGGCTATATCAAGGACTATGAGGAGGCGACCCTCATGCACTGCGAGCTGAATCCTAAGATTGTTTACACTGAATTTTTGGCGGTGATCCGAAAGCAGAAGGAAATCATCAAGAAGCTCATTCAGCAGAAACATCAGGAGATTCAGAAGGTTCATCCTGGCTTGACTTGCTTCAAGGAGGGCGTTCGGGGAATTCCAGTTGAAGCAATTCCTGGTACGTATCTAATTACTTGCCTCAGATGACCAACGTCTTCCAAGGGTTTTTGTATGAAACAACATTAGCTTTGGCTAATGTTGTTTCATACAAAAACCCTTGGAAGACGTTGGTCATTAAGGTTAAAAACGGATGTCTTCCAAGGGTTTCTGTATGAAGTAACATTTGCCAAAGCTAATTTTGTTTCATACAAAAACCCTTGGAAGACGTTGGCCATCTAATGCTAGTAGGAAAAAGAAATCTAAGTTTCCGATTTTTAAAATTTAATTGGAGATTCGCAATTAGTCATCAAAAAAATATTTATCAGTAAAAACTCTAGAGAAATCTACTTAATGTAGTTTGAAAAATAAGTCCTTTAATTTCTTATCATCCCAGACAGCACGTAATCTTACAGCAAGTCTAGTAAGTATTTTAAAAATTCAAAATGGCGGATCCAATATGGCGGACGAAAATATTAAAAACCTAACGAATTTGCTTGAAACTTGTTACTCGGGGGTTTTTGGGGTCGCTGATTACGAATTTGAAGTCAGATTTAAAAAATTCAAAATGGCGGATCCAATATGTCGGACGAATATATTAAAAACCTAACGAATTTGCTTGGAACTTATTACTCGGGGGTTTTTAGGGTCACTGCAAGATTACGTTTAATAAAAGTGAACTTATTAGTTAAATAATTTTTGAAATAAAAAAAAACTTTGCAGGAATCTGCGAGACTGGTTGGAAGGGTTACGGGCAAACGAGAACGAGAAAAGTCGCCAAAACAGTTCAGGGTCAAGAGCCAGTCGAGGCATGTTTGGACGTGAAAAATTCTCTATACACGAGTCTCAAGGAAGTGTTAAACAGCGTAAAAAAACAAAATACCGCGTGGCCATTTTTAAAACCAGTAGACAAGGAATACGTTCCCGATTATTATGATCACATTAAATATCCAATGGATCTGAAAACAATGTCCGATCGTTTAAAGGACGGTTATTACGTAAGTCGCAGACTCTTTATCGCTGATATGACGAGAATCTTTACAAATTGTCGATTTTACAATAGCAAAGAGACTGATTATTTTAAATGTGCAAATTCTCTGGAGAAGTATTTCCAGACAAAAATGAAGGAACTTGGAATATGGGACAAATAAGTGTTATAATTTTATTATCGAAACATTTTCTTCCTTTAAACATTTTTAAGGAAGAAAGAGAAATCTTTTTTTTCAATCCTTAGAATAATGAGATTAATTTTTGATTTTGTATTTTTCTTTTTGAAATTTTGTAAATTGGATCAGCGACTTTATTTGAATATTGTGCAATTGATTCAATCATGAACTTGCAGCATGTATGCAAAAGTGATTTAAGTTTTTTCATTTTCTAAATTTAGATTTTTGTCTTAATTGTAACGTTTTTTCTGTAATTTATCAAGTGTAATAAAGATTATATTTTTAAAATGGTAATTCTCGTTTTTATTATTAAAAAAATTTTCTGTATTATTTACAGTTTTTTTTTTTTAGTTATAAGTGCTTAAAAGATTTGTCATAATTCTATTGGACGAAGTGAACTTAATATATTTTATAACAAAAATTGAAGAAGTATATTTTTAAAAAATTCAATATTTAAACATAGAAAATTTTTTATATCCCAGAAAATAAATATGTAACATTCCTGTTGACTTTTTTAGAAATGTAATAAAAATTATAAATTCGAACATATGAATAAAAATGTTTATTTATTAATTTTTCTATTATTAACATTACTATTTTTATAATAAATAGTAATTATTTTAATACAGTAAATGCGTGGAATAAATAGAGAAATAAGAAAAGACATTCAAAAATATTGTCGTTTATTCAAAATTAAATAAAATTTATAATTTATAAAATAAATTTATTTCTCCCGAATCTCTGATTTCTTTTACACAAAATAAATTATTTATGCGATACAATTTTTGAAAAATCCCTGAAATTCGTTGGCAATTTGAAACATTTCACTCGATACTTTTGCACTGCATTTTAATGATTCACTTAAGATTTTCGATTTTATGGTTTCGCCTGCAATACTGTCTATCTGCACTGCCTCCAGTAAATTATTCAAATCTTTTTGTGCATCACTTATTTTTTGAGAAATGCATTCATCTAATTTTGTAATTTTACTAGAACAACTGGTACTAATTTCCTTCATATCCTCTTGCATCTTCAAAGTTTTCTGTGGAAAATTTAATATTTAATTAAATTTAATAAAATTATTAATTTATTTTATATTAATTAATTATTATTTAATAGAAATTTAATAAATTATTAATTAAATTAAATATTAATAATAATTTGATAAATTATTATTTAATAAAATATTTAATAAAATTTAATATTTAATTTTTAGATTTTTTGTTTGGAGTTTAAAAAACCATTGCTTATGCGCATAATTCATTAAAAACTTACCTCATGTGCTGTTTGTAATTTTTCCCGAATTTCATTTCCAATTTTTCTTGGTTCTTGTACACATGAGTCGAGATCAAAAGACATTTTTACAATTTTTTCACCGAATTCGTCTTTCTTCGAATTAATGCAAGCAGTTTGATCAATTTTTGCTTTCTCAGTAACAAACTAATAAAAAAGGGAAAGAAATGATTATTTTTGTTTCTAATAAAAAAGGAAAAAAAATTATTATTGTTTCTTTACTTAAAAGTAAAATATTTAAATTGAATTTAAAATTACGTTCGCTTGGTCGAGAGTTGCTTGTAGAGCTTTCGAATTCATGTCCATTGACAAGTCCTTTAAATTGCTCAACATTTGAATAACAGAATCCGCAAATTCTTGTTCATTATTGACAACTTTCTTGACTGCCTCGTTCACTGTCTTACCGAAGTCAGTTATTAAATCGCTTTTCACCTGATAATGAAAAATAGTTTTTAATTTTTCTAAATTTAATTATAGCACTTAAGGAAAAATTATGTTTGAATCAAATTACTCTAATTTTTTATAACAGTTTCAGGTTTCTTCAAATAATTTGGATTTCATAATAAATCGAAACAAAATAATATCTTAATATACTTCTAATAATGTTTGTTTAACTTTAATAATAAATATTTATTTGTTTTAAATAAACATTTGATTCAGTTTAATAAATTTTGAATCAACTATAATATTTGCGATTGTTATAAATAATTATAGAACACAACTTCAAAAATAAGATTTTCATACTTACATTTAGGTAAGATTAAATAAAATAAAATTAATTTGTTGAAATAACTAAATAATGTATTGATAAAATTAAAAAAAAAAATTTAAATAAAAATTTACAAGCTCACCTGAAAGAGGCAGAGGGTGAAGAAAATACAAAAGTCTGCAAGTCTCATATTGTTAATTTTTTTTTTTAATTCGAGGTTTAAAGGAGACTAAAAATTAATGGACAAGCTAACGAGTTTTATTTAAAAGCCTTTGTCGTCATAAATTTTCCATGAAAACAATAATTGATTAGTGAATAAAAAAACCCGATTATAAGAACCTTGAAAAATGAATGTGTAAAGAATAAAAAATACATTTATTTAACTCGAAGGACATTAAGCTAAGTAAGATTTATTTCTCTAAAAATTTGTTCATTTAATTGCGAAATGATAATTATTTTATTTTCTAACAAGTCGAAAAAAATTACTTCTGTAATATATATTGACATTTTGTTTATATTTTTCAATAATAATAATAAAATAATAATAATAATAACGGTAATAATAAAAATATGAATAATAAAAATAATAATGATATAATAATAATTTAAATTTGTCCATTTTAGGCCAAACAAAGAAATAAACATCTTTTATTATTAATATAATTTATGTCTTACAAAAATATTTAATTAATAATAATAATAATAACAATAATATTAATATTAATAATAATTTAATTTTTATTTAAATAAAAAATAATGTACGTTTAATAACTTCAAAAATAAAAAAAATTCCTATTAATTATCAAAATAATTCAACAGATGGTTAAAATAGAATTTCAATATTAATGAGAATTGATATAATTTAAATCATATTTTTCATACGCAATTTTTAAATTTCTCCTTAAATTGATTTGATAAGTCATAAATATTGTCCAATAGTTTTGCATTACAAATTAATGATTGAAGGTAAACTTTTGGTTGAAAGGTGTCAGCTTCAGCATTGTAGAGCGTCACGTCTTTCAATAGATTTTCAAAAGAAATTTTAAGATTTTGCACTCTATCAGAAATACATTGACTTTCTGACTTTTCAAATTCACTATTAGAACAATTCTTTTTCACCTCACTTAATTCTTGTTGAATTTCAAAAGCTTCCTGTCAAAAAAAAAAATACTTTCTTAATTTTTTTCAGAAGTATAACAAACTATAAAATCGATTTCTTAATTTTTTTGAAAAATTAATTTTTACCTTTTTAGCGTTATGGAATTTTTGTCTAATAGGTTCTCCCATTTCTCTATAATCAAACAAACATCTATAAATTTCTGAATTGAACTCTTGTAATTTTTCGGTCCACTGTGATTTGTTTAATTCAACACATTCTTTCTGTTCAGTACCTTTTATATTTCTACTCAATACCTAAATAATAATGAATTTTGAAATTAGATTTTTAGTTTTAGTAAAAAAAAATTGTAAATTAAAATAGAAATAAAAATACAATTAAGTAATTTTTAAATGTTATTATTATAATTATTATTATTATTAATATTATTTATTTACGTTTTTTAGAGTGCAAGTGGAATTCCATCCACGAAACATAATTTCAGATGTTATTTCTCTTAATTTGCTTAAGGACAATACAATAGAACCAAAAAATTCGTCGTCATATTTTGTAAATTTTTTACTAGCTTCATTAACACTTGCTTCAAAGTTTGCAATGGAATCGCCTTGAACCTGTTTATTAATTATAATAAACAATCTTTGATAAAAGAATTAATAAAAAAATAAATTGTAAAATAAAAATCAGAACAGTTTCACAAAGAAGAATTTTTAAATAAAATAAAAAAAATAAATGTTTTTTTAAATCATTAAGTTAATTTCACATAAAAATTTAAAATCCTTGAAATACTTTTTTCTGCAATGGACTTTTTTTGCTAAAAAATAATTTTTAATAGTTAAAAACTATTCAAAAACTTACTTGAAAAAAACAGAGAGTAATCAAAAAATGAATTATAAAGAGACCCATTCTCTATGTCACTTGATATTATCTTGAACTAAAAGACAATGATTAAAATTTCGGCTTTTATTCTCAGTTATAATTTTCTAATAAACAACTAGATATAATTTATCTCCGAAGAAGACAATGAGAAATAAAGGTCCTATAAAACAAAATAATCTTTACAGCTAATTATCGTCATTAAAAGGTAGGCACTATTCTTTATTGCAATTTTTCTGCAAAAACGATAAATTAATATTTAAAAAATTATAAGGTTTACTTGTTACATTTTTTATCACTAAGAGTGACAAAAAGTAAATAATTTTTAAAAAATTGCAATTTTTAACTAAAATTTATTTTAAAAATAAACCAAAAAAAATGTAATATAATAAAATAAAAATGGAATTCTAAATTTAAAGAATTTTAATTTTAAACAAAATTTTAATCTGAAAGTTTTAATTTTAAACCAAAATTTTAATTTAAAAGTTTTAATTTTAAACAAAATTTTAATTTTTTAATTTAAACTAAACTTTCAAGTTTAAATTTGAAAATAATATTCTAGATTTTTGTATAAAAAAAATTTGCGGTATAAAAATAAGTGAGAGTGACTTTGAGTGTAATAAATAATTTATTCTTTATTTAATATATTTTACAGAAAAGATTTAGTGTTCTTAATTTTCAAGGACGAGACACTTTCGCAACGTTTCTTGAAAATCAGTTGTCATTATAAACACTTTATCCAATAGTCTAGCATTACAGTTCATAGCTGCGCCTAATACTTTTGCTATTAATGTTTTTCCATCAATAACTAAAAATCGCATTCTTTCAATTATAGTTTTAAACGAATCGCTAAGCACTACAATTGCACGATTAACGCACATTGTATTCGGTACAGAATTAATGCCAGAACAGCTTCTTTGAAGATCAAGAAGAGCCGCTTTTATCTTCAATCCTCTCTGCAATAAAATTTAAACAATTTAAAATAATTTTTCAATTTTTCTCCAATAATCCAATAAAAATTTAGTTTTTTTTTCAATATTTGATATTGTAGATTATAATCGTTTGAAATAGTTTTACTATACCTCGTATTCATTTTGCATTTTTTTTCGAAGCTCGTCTCCCATTTTTATAAAATCATAAACACACTTGTAAAGCTCAGAATTAATAGACGGAATTTTCGCCTTCCATTCTGCTTGCCTACGAGTAATGCATTCTTTTCCTTTGATAGTTCTTGCTGTTTCACTTAAAACCTATTAAAATAGAAAGATGTTAAATCAAATTAAAAAGAATTAATTTTTTCCATGAAAAAAATAAATTAAAAATTTTAATGTCTCATTTAAACTTTTCCAGTTTTTAAAATAGAAATTATGAAATTCTTACATTACTTAAATAAAGCGTAGAATTCCATGGGCCAGAAAATATGATATCTGAAGAAAAGTCTCGTAAATCATAAATAGCACTTATTATCGAATTCGAAAATTCGTCGTGATTTTCTAATATCCTTGGCACCTCTTTATTCACGATTGACAATAAATCATCAAGTGGATCAGCTTTAGCCTATTTTCAAAAAAAATTCATTATAAAAAGAACATTTTTTTTTATACAATTTTCAAAGAATTTTCAAGTTCGAATTTTTCATAGATAAAATAAGATTTATTTTTAAATCTTTGATATTTTAAAATTTGTATAGTTTGGAAATTAAAAATCTAGTTTAAAAAATAGAATAAAATAAAAAATCTAGTAAATGAATTTAATTAATTACATTACTATAAAAAATTAGAATTTGTTTTTTAAATAAATATTTTAACTTAAAATTATTTCGTAAAAAGAATTTGGATTTTTTATTTCCTCTTAATTTTGTGTGTTGAATATATGGAAATTTTAAAAACTTACATGAAAGACGCAAGTTAGCGAAAGAATAATTAAAAATCTCAACATTTTTTCAATGATCATTTACTTAACGAGTTATTTCTATTAAAGTGACTCTGTACGCAAAACACATTCGCTTTTATGCACTCCGGATGAACATTGTTTTTTTTCTTTTTTAAAGCCTATTTCAAAATTTTTCTTATCATGTGTATATTTTTACAGACCTTATAGAATTTTTTTTTTTTTTTTTTGACAAACGTTCTTGCAAAGGCTATAATTTTAAAAAAAAGTTTGTTTTACTATAATTTCAACTTGAAGTTAAAAAGTTCAAGTTCAACTTAAAGTTTTACCAAAATCTTCATTTTTGTAATTTTTCTTTAAAAATTTTTTATATTATCATTATAATGAAAAAGTATTTTTTTTTGCAAAATTACCAAAAAAAAAAATATTACTTACAAATTTAAAAAATGGAATTTTACTTTTGTTGACCAACAAAGTCAAGTAAGTAATTTACGTCAATTAGTTTACTATTTCTTTGCATTTCGAATTTTTTTTCTCGTTGATAATAAAGAAATTTAAAACTTTTATTATTTGATTTTAGATTATAATTTCTCGTTACAAATTCTTATCAGATAAAGGAACGAATTTTTTGTTAATAAATTCGGCAATATTTGTCGTAAAGTCCTCGTATGAACATCTTTCCTAAAATCCATAAATAACTCACTTTTTTTTAATAAACATTTGCTTAATTCCAATGAATCTGTAATTTTTCTAAACGTACAAATTTATTTTTTAATTAACTTTGAGGGAAAAGTCAGGGATTTTTATTAAAAGTACTGAAAAAAATTAAATTTTTCGAATTCGTAAGAAAATTTCAATTTTTTTCTATTTCCGACAATAATTTCTTCTTAAATAACTTAATTCTTGAAAAACTATCATAAAATTATATTACTTAGAAATTATTTAATGAATAATTTTAACTTTAAAAGTTTCAAAATTAATTAAATTTTCAACGAGTTAAGTTTACAATTTTTATAAATAAACGCATTTCAAAAGATTTTAATTTTAATTTTATAAAATTTCATTTTTGAATGAATTTAATTACAAATTTTAAAGAACTTAGATTTTTGAAAAATTTTAATAATTTAAATTCTTTTGAAAATAGTTAATTAGGGAAAAGTCAGGAAAGAACGAAATTCAATTTTTGTGGCAAACCTGATAAAGTAATAATTATTTACAATTATATTTAAAACAATTATAATTTATTTAAATCCTTAAAATTTATATATTTTACAGAATTCTTAATCGCTAAGTATTGCGTTAATTTTAAAATTATTAAAATCGAGATTTGTTATAATTTTTATAATTGGAAAAATTCTAATACTGTACGTAGGAAGTAATCATAAAGTTTCAAAAATATATACGGAATATATAAAATAAATAAAGTAAGTACAAGGTTATATTCTTTAAAATATATTAATAAATTAATGTGACGCGCTTTCAAGAGGAAGCAAAAATAATACGTTTCTAATAATATATTAGAATATTTTTGAATATTCGAATATTACATTTTAAAGGAGAACCCAGTGGGCAAAATAAGTTTCTAAAAATTCTCATGTCTGTTAAATTAACATTTTAGAAACGTTTAATGTTCAAGAAACATTTTTAGAACATTAAACGTTTTTAAAATGTTAATTTGCCAAACAAAGAGACGAACGTGAATGTTTTCTTCACCCACAGTGAAGAAAGCACATGTTTTTAAACCGGTGCAATGTGATTGAGAAGAACACTAATGATTCTCAATTTACCATTAAAACAAGCTCGTTGCAAAGCAGTTTTTTTATTCGAATCTATCAATTCACTATCAGCGCCATGCTTCAGGAGAAATTCGACAGTTTTCGTCCGCTCCTCGCCCAGGATAATTTTCTCATTCAACGAGAATGACTTTTTCTTCAGTAAATAATCGTTCTCCATATTACCATTAATTTCACCGCAAGCAAAATGAAGAGGCGTTCCATAATAAGACATAACATTCACATTGGCGCCCTTCTTCAGCAGCAACTCCAACATCTTCACATTCCCAGCGAGAGCAGCGCAATGAATTGGCGTGTAACCTTCGCTATTGCTTAAATTATTGTTCTCCTCGAAACTCTCCTCGTGCAGCGAGACAGTGCGAGTGTTAATATTTGCACCGCGATCGAGAAGTGCTTGCATCATTTCACAAGTGCCATTCATCGCGACGATATGCATCAAAGTCGTTCCTTTCGAATTGAAGGAATTTACATCCAAGTTCTCCTTCAGTAGCGACACGAAACTTTCGTTGTCGCCGTGCTTCACGACAAAATGAAGAAGAGTCGAGTATTCTGGACTGAGAATGTCGAAATCCTTTTTCACGCTTAAGAAAAAATTTATTAGGTCCTTGAATTTTGTGCTGTTCATGAAATCTTCTTTTTCGTCTTCTTCGTCGTCTTTTGGAATTCTTTCCTCTTCTTCCATGAATATTTCCACTGCGTTCAATAATCCAGAGAGCAAGGAATCCTCCAGCTCCTTCTGGTATTTCTGCACTGGACTTCCTAACAGTTCCGAATTCTGGAAATAATTCAAAAAAATTAATTAGAACTCACCATATTAAAGCATTAGTGTTTTCAGGGTTCATACAGAAATCCGAACCTAAAATTCCATACCTTTTTCATGATTATATTCAAGAGAAAAAATGGAAAACAGAAAAAATTTAGAAACTTTTAAAAATTCCAAGCCTATTCCATGATTTCCCTGATTTCCAGAAGCCTTTTAAAAATCCCATACCATTTCCATAATTTTCACGATTTCCAGATTCTGTAGGAACCCTGAACATTTATTCTTATCTTTTACAGCATTTAGCTTCATTATTTTTGGGCTCTTCAAAACACTTTACTTATTTAATAGTCTCCACCCTTTGGTAAAAAATTTTAAATTATCAAAAATTATAAAAAATTCAAAAACCCGATTTTTTTTAAATTCAACATTTTTCCTTCTCTTTTATGGCATTTAGCTCCACTATTTTTGTGCTCTTGAAAAACACTTTACTTATTTAATGGTCTCCACCCTTTGGTAAAAAATCAAAATATAAAAAAAATTATCAAAAATTCAAAAAACCGAATTTCTTAAAATTCAACATTTTTTCTCTTTTTTTATGGCATTTAGCTTCATTATTTTTGTGCTCTTCAAAAACACTTTACTTATTTAATAGTCTCCACCCTTTGGTAAAAAATCAAAAATTATTAAAAATTATCAAAAATTCAAAAAACTGAATTTCTTAAAATTCAAAATTTTTTCTCCTTTTTTATGGCATTTAGCTTCATTATTTTTGTGCTCTTCAAAAACACTTTACTTATTTAATAGTCTCCACCCTTTGGTAAAAAATCTAAAATTATGGAAAATTATCAAAAATTCAAAAACCCGAATTTCTTAAAATTCAAAATTTTTTCTTCTCTTTTATGGGATTCAGCTTCATTATTTTTGTGCTTTTGGAAAATACTTTACTTATTTAATAGTCTCCACCCTTTGGTAAAAAATCTAAAATTATGGAAAATTATCAAAAATTCAAAAACCCGAATTTCTTAAAATTCAACATTTTTTTTTCTCTTTTATGGGATTCAGCTTCATTATTTTTGTGCTTTTGGAAAATACTTTACTTATTTCATAGTCTCGACTCTTTGGTAAAAAATCTAAAATTATAGAAAATTATCAAAAATTCAAAAAACCGAATTTCTTAAAATTCAACATTTTCTCTTCTTATTTACTGCATTTTGCTTCATTATTTTTGGGCTCTTGAAAAATACTTTACTTATTTAATAGTCTCCACTCTTTCGTAAAAAATCAAAATTTATTAAAAATTATCAAAATATCGAAAAACCGAATTTCTTAAAATACATCATCAGGGTTCCTGCAGAAATCCGAACTTAAAATTCTATACCTTTTCCATAATTTGCAGGTCAAATTTTTAGGAAATTCCAGCGGAATTTTACGTCGTATAATATATATTATATCTTAAAATTTTTAATTGAATTTCTATTCAAGAAAAAAAATGAAAAACATGAAAAATTTAGAAACTTTTAAAAATTCCAGGCCTTTTCCCTGATTTCCAGAAGCCTTTTAAAAATCCCATACCATTTCCATGATTTCCAGATTCTGTAGGAACCCTGTGTTTTATTGTTGGAAGGAATTTTGAAAATTTTACTACAATTGATGAATTTATAATGGAACATTTCCTAAAAGTTTTGAATAACTTTGAATAAATTTCACCGAAATAGTGGAATTTTTATTAAAGTTTTAATTATTTTAATTATTTTGATGTTTAATTTTTAACATTTACAAAAAGTTCTAAAATTTTTACCACAATTAATAAATTTGTACAGGAACATTTCCTGGAAATTTTAAATAAATTTGCTTCTTCTAAAATAGTAAAATTGTTATTAAAAATGTATAAAATTTATTCAACTTATAATCGAATACAAGTGGAACTTTTGAATATAAAATTTTTATATATTTCGATGTTGTTTCCAATTTTATGAATTGAAAATAGAAAGCAATTTCCAAAATAAAAAGAATTTATGAATTCAAAATTTTAAAGTATATGAGAAACTTATAATTACTATATTAAATTAAATTCTTATAAATGTGACTTAATTATTCATAAAGTCAATTAAGATTTAGAATTTTCAAGTGAAAAGTTACAATGAACATGAATATTAAAAGTTTCTAGAAATTTTCTTCTAGAATTGACTTTTTTCAGAGAGTTCAATAAAAGCATCTTAAGGGCGTTGTCAAGCAGCTAATCATAAAAAACTTCAAGTTTCTTCAAATCATCAGAAAGCATTTCTTTATAAATCTTTTAATTATTGTCAAAGTTACAAAACTTTTTGCATTGTTAAAACTCTTGAAATTTTAGTCATTCGTGATCAAACCTTAATTTTTATTTGTAACTTTTAATTTTGAAACGTTTAAAAGTTAAAAAGTTTCATAACCTAAATTGCGTTTTTAACTTCGCAAGGCTTTCTGCAACCTCTGAAACTTTTATAAAATTTTCAGCATACGAAAAGAAACGTTTTCTCAAAGTTATCAAACTCGTTTCTGATTTTTAATAATTTTAATCAATGATCAACTCATAACCTCTAAAAGTTTTTAATGGATGTTATTATTTTCTAAAATTTAGCAATTACTGTTTGTACTTACACGAGAAGTGTTGGCAGACATTTTGGAAAAATATTACTTTTTCTTGGACACAAATACTCGTAGAATGTAAATAATAAAAATGTAATTCAACTTTTAAAAAAGAAGGTTAAATCAGTTAAAGTATAAACACCGTTCACAGAGTCCCGTGGCAAATTGTGAGCAAAATTTTCATGTAAATTAACAGCGGGCATCTGGGCCCAAAAATAATGCGCGCGCAATTATTTTCATTTCCTGAAAATTTTATGATTTTACTGTCACTAATCGATTAACAGGAAGTTATTGTGGAAGTAGCTTAATTTCTCCTTGCACGCCCCTTAAATTTTAAATGCATTTAATTTAAAAATTTAAATTATACATAAAAAGAAAAACTCAAATAAGATTTTACCAAAGTTCAATTTTATTTTGAAATTTCCATCAACAAACAGATTTTTACGTTAAAATTTTTCTTTCGCTTTTTCAACATTTCAGTTCAATACAAAGCTTAATTTTTCATTTTATGTTTATAGTGTAGACATGATATAGAGATATGGAATGTTAAAAATACTTTCTTTTCTTTTTCCACCTGACAAAAATGAAAACACAATATTTTTAATCGACTAGCTCCTAAATTATATTATAAATAATCCTTGACAATATAAAAATTAAGTTTCTTCTAAAATTAACCAGAAAACTTCTTCACTGGAATGAATATAAATTTCTTTTTCGATAATACTGCATTTTTATTCTTTGTGTAAAAAACGATTATATCAAATTTTAAAAATAATTTTTTCTAGAAACTTTTTCTTCATCTAACGAGAAAACTTATGACATTTTTGTGCTTCTTTTAAAAAAATTAATTATCGCACGTTACTTTTTTAAATTGTGCGATTTTCAGAAATTAAGGAACAGATTTCAATTTAAGACGCTACAACTATTTCCTGAAAATAGTTTTTTTTAATTTTTGACATTGCGAAATTAATTTACTATTGATAAATAATATATCACTAGAATTCGGTAGTAATGGGATATTAAGTAATAATAATTGTAAAGTACTTTAATTTTCTAATTTAGTATCAGAATGTCGCAAAAGTATTTTAATAAGAAAGTGACAAGAAGCAAAATTGCGTGAGATAGAAAAGGATAGAGGTATGTGTCTGTCCTTTTCTGCCTCATACAACTCGTTCGGGGCTTAAAAGCATTCAATCTAGTTTTTTTTTACTTCTCGATTTATTTTACAAATTGTCGTAAAAAATTATATATCCCATTACTATTACAAGTGTTTTATCCCGATCTTCATTATATCGATTTTAAGTTTTGTAAGTGTGCGAATTTTTTTATTTCATCAAAAAATTTTTAGCATAAAAAACAATTTTTTCTTGCATTCAGAAAAAAAATTGACAAAATATTTTCGTAATGGAAGTTTTATTACATTCGAAAACATTATTTTCTTTGTGAAAGTAGCATTCAGTTTTGTGGCGGCGTTTCGCGTTAGATTTTAGAACTAGACCATGAGTGCGAAAAGGAAAAACGTGTCTATCTTCTTCGCACTCATGGTCTGATAACTAAAGCTACGTTCACACTACGTCACATAAAGGCCAACGGACAATTGCTTCGCGAACGACATTCGCGAAGTAGTTGTGCTTAGGCCTTAAGGGGTTAAAATCACACGGATGGAGAATATTAGGCTGAGTCTACAATAGGCTCTTTTTACGTCCTTATGTTGAACATAGCTTAAGGGGTTAGGCCACTGTGCGCGTATAAAATAAAAAGATCAAATTTGGGAATTTTTTCAAATCTTTCTTTTTTATACGCGCATGGTGGCCTAACCCCTTAAGAATACAAAGGAATTATTAATTAATATTAATTAATTATTCCACAATATAGGCTCTTTTTATGTCCTTGTAAATTTTTCCCCAAAGGAATCCGTATGGCTTTAACAATTCACTTGAAATCCCTAAAAATTTGCACACTTTTCAAATGCTTCTTCACGCCATTCACTCAAAAGTGCAACATTCACTCTTTAATTAAGTACATAAAACACTTTCCACTTTTGAAAAACCATAATAGTTTTGCATACTTTCAAAATTACTATCACTTGTGGAAATCGCCGTGATCTCCACTTTCTTACATGCTAATTAATTAATTATTATTAGGAATGTACTGTGAAAAGTTGCTTATAGAAAAAAAGGAATGATTCTCATCGTAACCAATTGCACGAATGTTAATATTAATATAAATGGGAATGGTTTGGATATTTGTGTTTCTCGTTAAAGGTAACTCATGTCGAGGGCCTTATAAAGCATATGTAGATCCTTGTGACTCTGTATCCTCCAGAAGGGAAAATTGTAGGCTCGCGCAGCAGTCTCGTCATCCGGACTGTCGCCAATCACCACGTAAGTGCACCTTCGACCGAATCTCGCTATTACTCTTCCGAAACATGTTTCCTTTCCTGAAAAGAAAAAAGAATTCTAGACTACTGTTTAATAGCCGAATCATCTAAAGTCATTTGATGGCCTTATATCCTACCTGTTTTGCTAGCACAGTAGATGTTCTCAATCGGAAAAATCCCGCCAATGCCAAAGAGTAGGACTTTCGCGAGTGCTGGTATCAATTGCGTGGAGGTGACAAGAATATTGACATGCTGATGTCTTTTGTTGATGAGAGTGAGACACTTGATGGCCATTGTTAGCCAATTGTCGGTGAGAGCCTCGATGTCGGAACGCACTTGCAACCATTGCTCGCGTTTCTGCGATCCTAGGAGACCCCCAACATTGTTTCTATAATTACAATAAATTTCTTTGATTTTCCTATAACGAAACGCTAGTTTTCTCATCCAGTCGACTCCACCTCGCACTGTCGATCCAACGCAAAGACCATTGTTGCCTGGGGAACATTGGAAGCCGTCGTTCGCAAAATTATAGGACGCGAGGTCCTGTCCATTATCGTCAGCCGATACGTCGTCAATGTGGGCTTGATCACAGTCCTTTGAAATTGGGATTAAAGATTATTTTCTACCCATTCTGGTACAGAAGCATTTCAACATTCATCGAAACAGTTGACTTTCGTTGGCCAGCGATGGTCAACGAAAGTCATTTGGGGCTGGATTTAATTTGCCAACTAACCTCAAGATCGTTGAAGAACAAGTGACTGTCCGCGAGATTGAAGATGAGTTCCTCCATGCTGTAGGCCACATGTTTGACAAGACTAGGGTCCTTGCCATGATTGGTGGCGTATATGCCCGTAAGAAGGGTGTGGAAAACAACTATGGTTTCGTCGAGGTCCCAAATGAATATCCGACTTGGTCCGGCTTCCGTGGTCTCTGCCGAACCAATACTATTTCCGCTCCCACTTTGCCGCCTTCCTCGCCTTATGGGCTTCGCAGACACTGCAAATTGGTATAATTATCATCGATTTTCAGTTTCCTTTTCATTATAGAAATTTAATATATATTTCGTTTCCCCCCATTGAATATATAGAACATTAGAAGCTAATCCAAAGTCTCTGATTAAAATTACATCTGCATCTAGCGATAAACTATTAATACGTTAAATTTCTTAATTAAATAAAATTAAAGTTTAAAGTTAAACTAAAAATAATAGCATTTTTTGCAAATGTGGATAAACTGAAAATTCGGATTTGAGGGAATATTGATTTAACTTTAAAAGAATGCAATTTTTCCGAATGTCGCGTGAATTATTATCGGGCAATGATGCTTGTGATAAAATTATCGACCACGCGACTCATGTTACCTTCAACGGTAGTGGTTTCCCGTGCGGTCAAGTCGCTGGCATCGTGAGCGGTCGCATCGAACGTGAGTGCCGATTTAGTTGAATCTTTTAACAAATAAAGGTAATTTTTTATTTAATTTCGTCAAATAACGTCGCACTAAAAAAAGTCTTCTTTCAAACCTTATTTTGACTAAGTATGTGCTTACAAAATATTGGCTTGATTTCTAATTAGCAAAGTAATTTTAAGATTAGCAAATGCAGACCCAAATTTGTCTTATTTTAAATCTTTGCACTTAAAATAAGACAAATTTAGGTTGAAAAATACATTTCTGATGTAATATTATTTTAATAGTTTTTACCTGCAAAATTGAGGTTGCCAATGTTGAAGGAGGTGGGCGAGGGATGATATCCAGCCATTGGATAATATCCGGAATATTGCAACGATACCCTGTCATTTCCATAAATTGGACTACTGTAGGCTGTGTAATCGAGCTTCTAAATTAAGAAAATATTTACCAGTTTTGTAGCAATAATAATTCATTAACAAACTAAATAAGAGTCAAACTAAATAAGGATCCTCACATAGTTTGATTCTTATTTAGATTAGGATCAAACTAAGGATCAAATTAAATAAAAAATACATTTAGAATATGTATTACCTGTGAAGCAGATGATATATTTTGACTCATTGGAGGAAACGTGGTCGTCCCACTATTGTAGCCATAGGCTGAATATTGAGCTATCGAGCTTGGATTCGTATAGGAATTCAGATATGGACTTGGCAAAGCCGGCGAATTCTTTGAAACTGTCGTCGTTCCGTACGATGGCGAATTGTATATGCTGACAGAAAGCAATATTTTTAATGCAATAATATCGCCATAAAGTATGCTTTAGAATTTTTATTGTAATTCTAAAAATTTGAAATTTTTGCAGTATTTTTAATAATATTTTGAAACAATGACAAAGATGACAATTTAATCCCTCAAAAATAGTTTTGAGGGATTTTTAGCCATTTTTAGCGTCGCTAAACGTTGACGCTTACCTTAGTGACAAAGAAATTTCGATTTTTGCTTTGACAAAATTTGTATTTTCTATTTTTACCTATTGTAGTATTGATTGGCATTATACAGCGAGTCATAATCGGCCTTTTCCATAGAATCAGGAAATTCTTGATCCTTTTCCTCGGCATTTTCGTCGATATAGAGTTCACCACTGGGGACATTCTCGCTCTCTGGACACTCTTGAACCTCATTTTTAACTTCTGTTTCTTTAAAAAAATTTCATTTTTATATTTATTACTCTTCAATAGATTCAATATTCTAAATAATTCTCTAAATGCAAATAATATTTAAAATCTAATAGAAAATGAAAATAGTCGTAAAATTGTAAATTAAAAAATTAATGATAAAAAGTAAGAACTGTGTTTCTTTTTGTATGAAAGGCTGTCGGAGCTAGGTTTTTGATTGACAAGAAATGATGCAGTAGTGTTTGGAATTTTATCTACCATTGTTTGAAGAACGAGGGTTCTGTATTGAGGCCTCTGTCGACGAAGACACGTTGCCAGCATTGTCTAAAATCCCTGCCGGTTTGGTGGGGTCATTGTCTTCGGTTAACATATCACTCACTCAGTCTGAAAACAAAGTTTTTTGCTTTAACTAAATCAAAACTAGAACGTTTCGTTTGTTTAAACAAATAATTTTTTTTGCTATTCAAAAATAAAGCGTACACAGCAATTATGCAAGTAACAAACAAAACAATATTTCTAACTTTATCACAGTTTCTCTAATGATATCAAATTGGGACAAAAAACTAATTAAACTTTGCTTCGCAATACTTTTGATTCGTTTTTTGTCCCAATTTGATATCTGCAGAAAAACTGCTGATTAAATGTTATAAGACTTTTTATATCGTAATAGTATTATAGTCAGATCTCTGCCCTTCTTAAAGCTTTACGTAATTTATGGACGATCCCTTGCGAAATTTCTAATAAATAACGTTAATTTTACTCAAAGCAGTAACAAATTGACGAAACAATAAAAATTAATTTACTTGTAATGAATTAATGATCCATAAGATCTATTACAAATAGATCATTAGAAATTCATTAAAAATTCTTTTCAAATTAAAAGTTTGCGACACTTTTTGTGCTCTGCTTTACCGACAGAACATAGATTGGAAACTCATGAAAATTTTTCAACGCAATTGGTGTCTTAAGGGGCCTTTAAGAAGAAGAAGATAAAATTTATTTAAACTCCCTTATTTTATGAAGAGGCTAATAAAAATTGTATTAATCGGATGAATATATAAATTTAAATAGTAATAATAATAAAGTTGTCAATTTATAATGGGCAGTATACACGATATTAAGATCTTTGAATCATTAATTCAAATGAATTAGCATCTTCTTGACAGTTCTTGGTGTTTTTTTAAGTATCTAGCCGGAAGGATAATAAATTATTAGCTGCCAATTGAACGTCGAAGAGGTGGAGTGTTAAAATGGAGATGGGTAGGCGTCCACTACAATTCTGAGCAAACGGCCAATAGAATTCCTTTCACAAGTTGAACATTATGTTTTCTTTATGTTGCCAAGTCACTATCTATTCGTGCTCCGCCCTTATGCCTTCCCTTTACTCCAGTTATTGCACTTTTTGTCCTCAGGATCGTATAAAAAAGGAATTATAAAATTTTAAAATCATTTCTGAGGGGCGCGAAGCTGTAGAAGAAGTTACTTGATAGGCTTAGAAATTTAAATTTTATTTTTGAAAGATTATTTCTTTATTCCCTAAGCATACTGGGTTATTTAGCACAACTTAGGTAACACTGTTTTTTAAAATTATTTTAACAAATAATCTTCACTGTAAAAAGAAAGGTACTAATTTAGTACTAATATTGGTACTAAATCATAATTTGGTTCTATTTTAATACCGAAATCAACTCTAATTCACGAACCTTTTTTTACAGTGTTATTTTAACTAGAACGGTTTAGATTAGAAATATTTTTGATTGAATCTTAGCTTTGAGGGGATATTATTTTAAGTCCTAAAATTGACTTAATTCAGTTTTCAGCTTAAAAATAGGCTACTTTTCAATCATTTTGGTTTTAAGATGGAAACGGTTTCAGACTTTTTTTCGTTAATGAGAATTTTAAGTATAAAGTATCCTGAATTATTTTGAAGTATCAAATACATAAAATCATCTAACATAATTTATAGAAATGTCCTGAACTGTTTGGAGTATCTTGAAGTGTATTAGAAAATATTGAGTCATTTTAAAATACTTGGAAATATCGTCAAGTACTCTAAGCTTTTATCTTTTAAAATAAATAAAAACGTCGGCAGAGAATAAATATACAAAGCTTGAAAAGTTAATTAAAAGAAGAATAAATATTTTCTTTTACGTTCTAAGAAAAAGTTTATTACTCGTAACCAAAATGGTAATAAATTGACCTTTTTAATTCTTTACGATAAAACAGTTTTGTTGATTCAAATAAAAATTTGGTTCATTTTATAATATAAACACAGAATGTGCGCGCACATAATGTATGCGGGGCATTATTTGAACACCTAAATAGATTAAAATAATCTGCAAGGCTTTAAGGATTAAAATAATCCATCGAAGGATTAATTTTTCGAAATCGTAATGAAAATCAATCCATAAAAGGATTATATTTTAATTCTTTTGTGTAAATTTTACAAGTAACGCTTTTTAATACCTCAAAGTTTACTGTATTTGCGCATATAATTCATAAAATTCACTTAGTTGCCCGAAGGAACATTTTTAATTAAAAGAGTTTGTTGTGTTTAACAAAATTAGTATTTCGAATTGAGAAACTTAAATATAATTTGGTCCACAATTGCTTTGCAGCAATATTGCTGCAAAACAATTGTGGAGTAAATTATATTTAAGTTTCTCTAAATGATGTTGAACAAAATGTATTCTGTACGCTTATATAAATTAATAAACCTAAATTAATTTGTAACATGCATAATAAAGCATAAATTGTAACCGTAGAGAAAAATATTTGTTTGGGATAACAAAAGAAATTTAGTTAAATGCAAAAACGAACTCAAATTATATTTGGCTTAAATAAAAATTTTTTTTCGGGTTTATACGCATATCTTTTTAAAAATAATAAGGATTTTATATTTAACGTTAAACTTTGCCTCGATTTTTGTCTGGTCTTGATCCATTTATAGGTTTACATATCTTGAATCTTGATATTAATATAGAAAGTGTTTATGATAATTAAAGACATTATTTCTTCGAGTACCATATTCATGATAAGAAAAGGCTGATCTTCTAAACTCTAAATAAAACGCGTAGACTCTTATTTATCAAAGACAAACTGCTTAACTTGCATTTTATATATAGTGGAAATTATTATCAAACGTTCTTAAAAAAAATTCTTTCTAAAGTTAAAAGAAGTAATTATTATTACTCTCTAAATTAGAATTAGTAAAAATGTTTAGTGATTTGAATTAATAACTGATTTTTTGCTTTTGAATTAGTAAACTTTACTAATAAATAGTAATTTCTACAAATTTTTTTTATCAAAAATTACTAATTCAGAAACAAAAAGTCAGTCATGTCGGTTTGACTATAATAAAATGTAATTTCTACTAATTTATTAGCAAAATTTACTCATTCAAAAGCAAAGAGTCAGTCACGTTGATTTAACTAATAATTATAGTAATTTCTACATATTTATTAGTAAAATTTATTTCAAAATTTAAAATTTAATTCACTTCGATTTAACTAATAAATAGTAATTTCTACTAATTTATTAGTAAAATTTCCTAATTCAAAAGCAAAAAGTCAGTCATTAATTCAAATTATTAAACATTTTTATTTTTACTAATTAAAATTTAGAAAATTTGAGTAGAGAATTTTTATAGAAAATTTATTTACGAATATAAAATTAATAAAAATATCTAATGTATTATATTATATTCAATTTTGATAATTATGTATAAAGATTTGATATTACTGCGCGAAGTAAAATCAAGGCAATATTGATCATCCCAGTTTCATATTTTATTACATGTGCATACTTAATTAAATTATTATTTCTACACGCGTAATTCAATAAATTAAATACATAGCGAAGAAATAGTTAATTATGTAATTTTACATTATTATTATTATTATCATTATTATTATTTATATTCTATTTAGAATATATAATAAGAATTTTAATGCTTCCCGGTGCAAAAAACCAATTATGAGGTGAATTGAACGTAATATAAATAGTTCATGACCAATTAAAATTCATTATACCCTTAACGAGTCAAATTAGATGCATAAGCACATGCTTGTTACTGTATGTACTTTTAATACAATATATTTCGCACGTATTGCACAGATGAGCCGAACATTGAAAATAAATTGCGTATTCCTGCAATTTTTGATCGATTTAATTACTTTTAATTACTGAAGTTACATATGCAGATGTTAAAATTTATATTAATCAGAATAAACTAACTTATTATCACAAATAACACTATGGTAAAAAATTAATCTTGTTTTAAAATTTTGACTAAAACAACTTATATTTAGTCAAAATATTGACTAAATTTGTTTCTGATTAGAAAACTGATTTTAAGAACTCAAATATTTTAATTTTTATTTTAAGCCCAAAATTGTTGACTTAAACTATTTATTTAACTATTTATTCAATTAAATATTAGCATAATTTTTAATTAAATTCAAGCCTCGAGAGCATGATTCTAAGTCCTAATAAAAGTAACTTAATCTACAGTCCACTTTTGACTAAAAACATTTATATTATTAGCAACATTTTTGACTGAAGAGCCTTGAGAGTCTGATTTTAAGTCCTAAAATTGACTTAATTTAGTTTTAAGTTTAAAAATAGTTTTACTCTTCAATTTATTTCTGTTTTAAGATGTAAACGAAGCAGACCGTTTTTCTGTATTTTATACAAAATTAAAAGTAATTAGTCATTACAATAAAAATTTTTTAAAATTTAAAGAAATTAAAAATTCACAAGTAATGTCAGAGAAAAAATAAAGTCAGAAACCGTTTACATCTTAAAACTAAAATGATTGAAAAGTATTTTTAAATTTAAAACTGTGGGTCAAGTCATAACTTTAGGACTTAAAATCAGACTCTCAAGGCTACGATTCATAAATTTTTTTAATTTAAACGATTTAACGGCAAAGTGGACCGAAAGTTAAGATTTATTTTCTACAGTCTATTTACATTTAGTAAATTTATTTCTAAAAATACGTTTAATTTTGGAAAAGTGAAAGAAAAAAAATAAAATAACTAATAAATTTTAAAAAAGTAAGAATTTTTTGAATTATTTTTAATATTTTTAATATATAAATAAAGCTATGAAATGATATGCGTAAATTTTAAAACAGCAAGAAAGAGTAAAATTTCTAAAATATTCTCTAGTTTCACTTTTTGAATATGAAATAGAGGAAACTTTCTCTTCAGGAAACGGTTTACGCATATGGACCAAATATGACTTTTCTGTGTGTTTTGGGCCCAAAATACCCTTCTCTCATATCTCCCCAAGGCCAGAGGCGAGGGTTCAGAAAAACAAAAAGCATTCCAGACAATAGCCACATTTTTTTTACTTTCCTCTGTCTTTTTCCAGCTCATTTAATTCATAACAGTAAAATGCAGTAACGTTCTAATTTTTTATTTTCTAGTAACTTTATCTTTTATTAAATCGACAAATTCTGCACGATTGTTGTATTTAAGCAAAAATATTATTCCTATTATTGTAATTAATAAATAATAATTTATTATTAATTATTATAAATTATAATTTATTAATATATAATGTGTTTCTTTTTTTTTAAAAGTTAAAATTTTAATATCAAAATATTATAAAATATTATAAACTATTTAATATCAAAATTTAAATAATTTCAATACTAGACCGCAGGCCACAATCAAAATACTGTTAATTCATTAATATAATTTTTGTAATGTATATAATTATTATAATATAATTATAACGACAAAAATAATTAATAAATAATAATTATCAAATAAATTAATATCAATAGTAATTATCGATAATTGGTAAGTTTTGGAGTAAACTTTTAGAGTAACTTAGAAGAAGCGAAGAAGGTTATAAATTTTACTCTAATTTCTTAAATTATTGTAGGGTTCTATTTTTTTGTACTTAAATTTTTCTTTTCTATTGTTATTAATATTAATGGATTTAAATATTTAATTAAAGGGTAGAAACGACAAATTTTATTGAATTCACTATTGTATTCAAAAAGAAAAATGTCAAAAAGGTGAAAAGAAATAATTGCTGTGCGCAGTATTTAAAAGTAACAAAAAAATGTTTTCAATTTTTTCTATATAAAAAATTTAGGAACAAACCTTTATTCAGCGATCGTTTCCGACGGAGAAATATCGGATCCAGTGGCGTAGTTTCAACAAAAACTCCTCAACCCCACCTCCAGACGACACCTGTACATCATCCCTTAAGAGGCTCGTCTTATGTCTTATCACAAAAACTTATTCCATTACCGCCCACGTTCGACACAATTAAAATCACTTGCCACTGGACAAGTCACTTCTTGCCACTTCACTCAAGCCCCTCGAATTGAAAAAAATCGAAAATATTAATTTCCCAATATTTTAGACATAAATTAAAACGCGAGGTGGGAGAATTATTTCCGCCTTTTGTCCTCAAGATTACGCATATAAATGCAAAAAACTGTTGCTTTCTAAGAAAAACTATTTTGCCTATCAATGAGAGTGTCAGAAAAATGACGATGAGGGTCGCGACCCTTCCCGGTGTCTTTCACCAAAATACTCTTGTAATTTCACTTTTCACGACGGATTAAAAAAAGAAAAAAATCTCGAGCTATTAGTTTTCTTCCGTCATTTTTAATTTTTCGTTTGTCTATCGTTTTTTATTATCACACGGTTTATAACGAAACGTGTGTTTCGCTGACTCGGATCGCCAGGCTACGTGATGCTGCAGCCTGTTTGGAGTTCTGAGCATGCGAAATGTCGCCGCCACCCCCGCCCTGAGATCACGTGGTTGGCATGGCTCTCCCACTCACTTTGGCATCGAGCTTAATTCAAAGAGAGAGAGAGAGAGAGGAGGAGAGAGAATACTCTCGTTTCGTTTATGTGCGAGCGCAACAGGGATGGCTAACTTCTGGGTTCAGTGCCCCCCTCTCAACCCCCCCCCCACTCGAACTGAAAATAATAAACTACGGATAAAAGCAATTAGGATAAATTATTATTTTTCATTCATAAAATTGGAAACAATTACATTTTTACTGTGAAATGGGTGGTTCGTTATTTGTTAAATAATATTCACTTTAATATAAACTTGATGTAGGTAATAAAAATTTAGGCTAAAGTATAAATATCGAACACCCCTTAAATATTTCTTGAAATATATATATTTTGGGGCAAATATATTAATTTTAATTATTACCAACTTTTGTTTTCAACATTTTATAAAATATATATTTTAAAAAATATTTAAGAGGATGGATCTAAAAGAATTGCAATACCCCATTTTACGACTGCTAAACCCAATAAGCAAAATCTATATTTCAGAGGTTCAAAGTAGGGCTTAAATTTCGACTCGGATTTATATGCTAAAAAATCGTCTGATGTGTCAATGGTTGGGGTATTAATTTTCTAGAGTTTCACACTAATTTGGATTATATATCATATCGTAATAGAGAGATCTGGTTTTCCATATTTCATCATGATCGTTGCATTCTGATAATGTTGTAATTGTAACACACATTTCGCGAAAAATTTATAAATGTTAGCAGAATTAGCCTAAACGGTATATTTTGAAAAAAACAAAAATCCCTTTTTCTACTTTTACTTATAACTATCAACAATCAAATGTTGAAATAAACGTCTTGCGAAGAGCATTGTTATCTCTAGAATATAGCTATTTTATACCTGTCGCATATGCAGCACGCGAAACATTTATTTGCTTTCATAAATTTTTTATTTTTTTGTACCTATAATTCTTGCAAATTGTTGAAACAATAATGGATATGGTTCAACTATTCAGAAAATCGATAGATTATAAACTGTGAATGATATTAATACTAATGATTCTGGAATTTTACTATCTGCAGTTGTAATGAAAACTATATAGTGCAAATATATTAATCCTTTATAAATTTGCAAAGCCAATCTACTACTTCAAGTTTCAATGAAAATAATACAATTGCATTGCAGTCTCAGTATCGTTTTTCAATTTCTTTCTATGCATCATTCTTCATCAACAATTTCTCTGCTGGAATTAGGTATTTTATTATTTAATTGAGACGAAAAACGAAAGTGCGTCCAGTTATCAAAATTTGAATATGAGGGAAAAACAATTAAAGATTCTACTAAAACTGTAAAGTATAATAATATAATTTGAAATAGTTTATAATAATATAAGTTTCCCAACTGTAGAATCCTATACCTATAGTAGATGGTAGAAGTGAGAGACTGATGGATGTGAGTGAGGTGAAGGATTGCAGGGACTGGGTGTTTTTCACGGCGACGTATAGCGATAAGTGACATTGAACGGAGAGAAAGAGAGAGACAAGAGGGATTTTAGATGAATGATGGGGACACAATACAAAAGGGATGCAAGAGCACTAGCAAAGATGATGTAAAAACTCTTAAGAATCGAGTTACATTTTCGAGCTTTTAGTGTGTACAAGATTTCACATTTTTTTTTATCGAACCTTATATGTATTGTATACCTCAAATGTCTAACTTTACGAAAACACTTTCATATCCAATATAGAAAATACCAATATTTTTTTCTTGTTTTTTTAACAGCACATTATGTCGTTTATCTGTTTTTGACCCCTAAGAATTTTAATTAGAATTAAGCATAGGAAACATTCTATTTTACGCCCAAAAAGGGAATTAACCCAAAAGCATCGAAAATTTCCTGAAAGTTCAAATTAACTTGACTGTCACCTTCGTAATCTTTAGTCCCAAAGCTTATGAAACTTGAAATAAATTTTTAAATATCCGCTTCTTTTCAATGTTGGGCACAAAAGTAGACTAAATAATAAATTTTTTAAAAACAGAGGAAGTTTAAAAAAAACCTAGAAATATTTTTTCATTACATCAACAATAATTATCTAATGATAAAAATTAGCCAGGTGTTAAAAAAGTGTAATTTGAGTATATATTTATTTTTTCAGTGTAGAAACAAAAAAATATTCAGATGCAAGGGATTAAATATTAAGAAGCGGTATCCTTTTTTCACAGGCTGTGCGGAAAAAAAAAGTTTTAGGATGCATTTTCTCAGTTGGACAAGCACAGGACCCAATAAGGAATTAGTGAGGTACAAAGCACAATCTAGATCGAGGGCTCTTCACGGACCAACACAATAGAGATTAGTTCTTTTACATAATAACTCAAGGGTCGCTTAAGCGAACTTAATATATCGGGGTCGCTGCCATTTTACGATAGAATGAACATCATCTTTTTCGAGAATGTAAAAAATCAGACGTATCAATATACGTTATAACAAAAATATCAAAAATATTAAATTGGAAAAATTATTCTTATTACCATTATATTTGTCATTATATTATATTATATTTAGACAATGTTGATTTTTAAATATTAGTGATTTATTAAATTAGAAAAATTAGCGAAATCCGTCAGGTATTTTTAAGTTAAAATAATATTTATCGGGACCTGATACCAAAATTTGTTCCTTATTCAAAGTTTATTAGAAATATATTAAAAAATATTAAATTTAAGATTTTGTTATAGATGTTTATAACATTATGTTTGCACACCACGTAAATACCACGAGAAACTTGATAAGATTTAGGTTTAGCGGGACTTAAAATATTAGCCATATTGAATTTAAAAATCTTAATATATGTGCAAGAGAACAAATTTTTAAATTTATTTTTCTAATATGCGACTTTCTGCTAAAATTTAAAGAGTAAATAATAAATTTTGGTTTTATAACTCAATAAATCACATTTTAAGCAAAAACTTCAAAAGTAACTGACAGAGCTTAAATTATGAACAAGAAGCCAAAAACTAAATATAACAATTCTCTAAATTATAATTAGTAGACAATGCAAACAGTGCCACTGGCTTGGTTGCTCCTTCATTACGCTTAATAACTAAATTGTAACAAAAACGCAACCAAGTCAGAGATAATACAAACATTGCCACTGGCTTGGTTGCTCCTTCATTACTCTTAAGAACTAACGTGTAACAAAAACGCACCCAAGTCAATGATAATACAAACATTGCCACTGGCTTGGTTGCTCCTTTATTACGCTTAATAACTAAATTGTAACAAAAACGCACCCAAGTCAATGATAATACAAACATTGCCACTGGCTTGGTTGCTCCTTCATTACGCTTAATAACTAAATTGTAACAAAAACGCAACCAAGTCAGAGATAATACAAACATTGCCACTGGCTTGGTTGCTCCTTTATTACGCTTAATAACTAAATTGTAACAAAAACGCAACCAAGTCAGAGATAATACAAACATTGCCACTGGCTTGGTTGCTCCTTCATTACGCTTAATAACTAAATTGTAACAAAAACGCACCCAAGTCAATGATAATACAAACATTGCCACTGGCTTGGTTGCTCCTTCATTACTCTTAAGAACTAACGTGTAACAAAAACGCACCCAAGTCAATGATAATACAAACATTGCCACTGGCTTGGTTGCTCCTTCATTACGCTTAATAACTAAATTGTAACAAAAACGCACCCAAGTCAATGATAATACAAACATTGCCACTGGCTTGGTTGCTCCTTCATTACTCTTAAGAACTAACGTGTAACAAAAACGCACCCAAGTCAATGATAATACAAACATTGCCACTGGCTTGGTTGCTCCTTCATTACGCTTAATAACTAAATTGTAACAAAAACGCACCCAAGTCAATGATAATACAAACATTGCCACTGGCTTGGTTGCTCCTTCATTACGCTTAATAACTAAATTGTAACAAAAACGCACCCAAGTCAATGATAATACAAACATTGCCACTGGCTTGGTTGCTCCTTTATTACGCTTAATAACTAAATTGTAACAAAAACGCAACCAAGTCAATGATAATACAAACATTGCCACTGGCTTGGTTGCTCCTTCATTACGCTTAATAACTAAATTGTAACAAAAACGCAACCAAGTCAATGATAATACAAACATTGCCACTGGCTTGGTTGCTCCTTCATTACGCTTAATAAGTAAATTGTAACAAAAACGCAACCAAGTCAATGATAATACAAACATTGCCACTGGCATGGTTGCTCCTTCATTACTCTTAAGAACTAACGTGTAACAAAAACGCAACCAAGTCAATGATAATACAAACATTGCCACTGGCTTGGTTGCTCCTTCATTACGCTTAATAACTAAATTGTAACAAAAACGCACCCAAGTCAATGATAATACAAACATTGCCACTGGCTTGGTTGCTCCTTCATTACGCTTAATAACTAAATTGTAACAAAAACGCACCCAAGTCAATGATAATACAAACATTGCCACTGGCTTGGTTGCTCCTTCATTACGCTTAATAAGTAAATTGTAACAAAAACGCAACCAAGTCAATGATAATACAAACATTGCCACTGGCTTGGTTGCTCCTTCATTACTCTTAAGAACTAACGTGTAACAAAAACGCACCCAAGTCAATGATAATACAAACATTGCCACTGGCTTGGTTGCTCCTTCATTACGCTTAATAACTAAATTGTAACAAAAACGCACCCAAGTCAATGATAATACAAACATTGCCACTGGCTTGGTTGCTCCTTCATTACGCTTAATAACTAAATTGTAACAAAAACGCACCCAAGTCAATGATAATACAAACATTGCCACTGGCTTGGTTGCTCCTTTATTACGCTTAATAACTAAATTGTAACAAAAACGCACCCAAGTCAATGATAATACAAACATTGCCACTGGCTTGGTTGCTCCTTCATTACTCTTAAGAACTAACGTGTAACAAAAACGCACCCAAGTCAATGATAATACAAACATTGCCACTGGCTTGGTTGCTCCTTTATTACGCTTAATAACTAAATTGTTACAAAAACGCAACCAAGTCAATGATAATACAAACATTGCCACTGGCTTGGTTGCTCCTTCATTACTCTTAAGAACTAACGTGTAACAAAAACGCACCCAAGTCAATGATAATACAAACATTGCCACTGGCTTGGTTGCTCCTTCATTACGCTTAATAACTAAATTGTAACAAAAACGCAACCAAGTCAGAGATAATACAAACATTGCCACTGGCATGGTTGCTCCTTCATTACTCTTAAGAACTAACGTGTAACAAAAACGCAACCAAGTCAATGATAATACAAACATTGCCACTGGCTTGGTTGCTCCTTCATTACTCTTAAGAACTAACGTGTAACAAAAAAGCACCCAAGTCAATGATAATACAAACATTGCCACTGGCTTGGTTGCTCCTTCATTACGCTTAATAACTAAATTGTAACAAAAACGCAACCAAGTCAGAGATAATACAAACATTGCCACTGGCTTGGTTGCTCCTTCATTACGCTTAATAACTAAATTGTAACAAAAACGCACCCAAGTCAATGATAATACACACATTGCCACTGGCTTGGTTGCTCCTTCATTACGCTTAATAACTAAATTTAACAAAAACGCAACCAAGTCAGAGATAATACAAACATTGCCACTGGCATGGTTGCTCCTTCATTACTCTTAAGAACTAACGTGTAACAAAAACGCAACCAAGTCAATGATAATACAAACATTGCCACTGGCTTGGTTGCTCCTTCATTACTATTAAGAACTAACGTGTAAAAAAAAAGCACCCAAGTCAATGATAATACAAACATTGCCACTGGCTTGGTTGCTCCTTCATTACGCTTAATAACTAAATTGTAACAAAAACGCACCCAAGTCAATGATAATACAAACATTGCCACTGGCTTGGTTGCTCCTTCATTACGCTTAATAACTAAATTGTAACAAAAACGCAACCAAGTCAGAGATAATACAAACATTGCCACTGGCTTGGTTGCTCCTTCATTACGCTTAATAACTAAATTGTTACAAAAACGCAACCAAGTCAATGATAATACAAACATTGCCACTGGCTTGGTTGCTCCTTCATTACTCTTAAGAACTAACGTGTAACAAAAACGCAACCAAGTCAATGAAAATACAAACATTGCCACTGGCTTGGTTGCTCCTTCATTACGCTTAATAACTAAATTGTAACAAAAACGCAACCAAGTCAATGATAATACAAACATTGCCACTGGCTTGGTTGCTCCTTTATTACGCTTAATAACTAAATTGTAACAAAAACGCACCCAAGTCAATGATAATACAAACATTGCCACTGGCTTGGTTGCTCCTTCATTACGCTTAATAACTAAATTGTAACAAAAACGCAACCAAGTCAGAGATAATACAAACATTGCCACTGGCTTGGTTGCTCCTTCATTACGCTTAATAACTAAATTGTAACAAAAACGCACCCAAGTCAATGATAATACAAACATTGCCACTGGCATGGTTGCTCCTTCATTACTCTTAAGAACTAACGTGTAACAAAAACGCAACCAAGTCAATGATAATACAAACATTGCCACTGGCTTGGTTGCTCCTTCATTACTCTTAAGAACTAACGTGTAACAAAAACGCACCCAAGTCAATGATAATACAAACATTGCCACTGGCTTGGTTGCTCCTTTATTACGCTTAATAACTAAATTGTTACAAAAACGCAACCAAGTCAATGATAATACAAACATTGCCACTGGCTTGGTTGCTCCTTCATTACGCTTAATAACTAAATTGTAACAAAAACGCAACCAAGTCAATGATAATACAAACATTGCCACTGGCTTGGTTGCTCCTTCATTACTCTTAAGAACTAACGTGTAACAAAAACGCACCCAAGTCAATGATAATACAAACATTGCCACTGGCTTGGTTGCTCCTTTATTACGCTTAATAACTAAATTGTTACAAAAACGCAACCAAGTCAATGATAATACAAACATTGCCACTGGCTTGGTTGCTCTTTCATTACTCTTAAGAACTAACGTGTAACAAAAACGCACCCAAGTCAATGATAATACAAACATTGCCACTGGCTTGGTTGCTCCTTTATTACGCTTAATAACTAAATTGTTACAAAAACGCAACCAAGTCAATGATAATACAAACATTGCCACTGGCTTGGTTGCTCCTTCATTACTCTTAAGAACTAACGTGTAACAAAAACGCACCCAAGTCAATGATAATACAAACATTGCCACTGGCTTGGTTGCTCCTTCATTACTCTTAAGAACTAACGTGTAACAAAAACGCAACCAAGTCAATGATAATACAAACATTGCCACTGGCTTGGTTGCTCCTTCATTACGCTTAATAACTAAATTGTAACAAAAACGCACCCAAGTCAATGATAATACAAACATTGCCACTGGCTTGGTTGCTCCTTCATTACTCTTAAGAACTAACGTGTAACAAAAACGCACCCAAGTCAATGATAATACAAACATTGCCACTGGCTTGGTTGCTCCTTTATTACGCTTAATAACTAAATTGTTACAAAAACGCAACCAAGTCAATGATAATACAAACATTGCCACTGGCTTGGTTGCTCCTTCATTACTCTTAAGAACTAACGTGTAACAAAAACGCACCCAAGTCAATGATAATACAAACATTGCCACTGGCTTGGTTGCTCCTTTATTACGCTTAATAACTAAATTGTTACAAAAACGCAACCAAGTCAATGATAATACAAACATTGCCACTGGCTTGGTTGCTCCTTCATTACTCTTAAGAACTAACGTGTAACAAAAACGCACCCAAGTCAATGATAATACAAACATTGCCACTGGCTTGGTTGCTCCTTCATTACGCTTAATAACTAAATTGTAACAAAAACGCAACCAAGTCAATGATAATACAAACATTGCCACTGGCTTGGTTGCTCCTTCATTACGCTTAATAACTAAATTGTAACAAAAACGCAACCAAGTCAATGATAATACAAACATTGCCACTGGCTTGGTTGCTCCTTCATTACGCTTAATAAGTAAATTGTAACAAAAACGCAACCAAGTCAATGATAATACAAACATTGCCACTGGCTTGGTTGCTCCTTCATTACTCTTAAGAACTAACGTGTAACAAAAACGCACCCAAGTCAATGATAATACAAACATTGCCACTGGCATGGTTGCTCCTTCATTACTCTTAAGAACTAACGTGTAACAAAAACGCAACCAAGTCAATGATAATACAAACATTGCCACTGGCTTGGTTGCTCCTTCATTACTCTTAAGAACTAAATTTTAACAAAAACGCAACCGTATTTTCCGTAAGGTCTCGATTTGTTTATAACTTGCTCTTTTTCATATGGGCAACTCCACGTGAGATTTCAGTCGATCTCTTAAAATCGTCCAAAAATATTTTTGTTTTTTTTCCGTATTGAAAAAAAACAGATACGTATTTTTTTATTTTTTTTTTGGAGACCAAATTTTTGAGTTTTGAATTTTCAAAATATTTGTTTTTTAAATGAAAATATATTTTAGTGTCAGATATCTCAAAAAATATTGCTTCTTTTCATTTTTTTACAAGAAATAAAAAGTTTTGTTTTTCTCTCTACTTTTGAATAATCCTTAAAAAAATTTTTTGTTTCATTTTTCATTGAAAATATATAAATCTTTATTAAACAAATTAATTTTTTTTTTAACTTTGTGTATGATAAATTTTTAATTATCTTTTTTCAAAACATACCTGGAAATGATAAGAAGGTTTTGCAAAAAGTTTCAGAGTGGGCCTGACAAGTTTGATGGGTTTAAGAAAATAATTAAACTGCCCGTTCAAGTCGCTCGCATGCGGCATAATGGGTTTTCTTTTACAATTTACCATTAAAAATATTGTCTAGAGCCTACAAATTTTATCGGATTTTGATTATTATTGATTTTGTAGGCTCTAGACAATTTTCTATAGTAAATTGAAAAAAATCCCATTGTGCCGCGAGCGTCCAACCTGCATGGATAGCTTAATTATTTTCTTAAACTCATCAAACTTGTCAGGTCCATTCTGAAACTTTTTGCAAAACCTTCTTATCATTTCCAGGTATGTTTTGAAAAAAGAAAATTAAAAATTTATCATACCCAAAGTTAAAAAAAATTAATTTGTTTATAAAAAATTTACATTTTTTTAATAAAAAATGAAACAAAAAATTTTTTGTTATGAATATTCAAACGTAGAGAGAAAAACAAAACTTTTTTTCTCTTGTCATAAAATGAAAAGAAGCAATATTGTTTGAGTTATCTGACATTAAAAATATATCTTCATTTAAAAAACTGAAATTTGAAAAGTTCATAACTCAAAAATTTGGCCTCCAAAAAAATAAAAAATACGTATCTGTTTTTTTTCAATATAGAATAGAAAAAAAATATTTTTGGCCGATTTTAAGAGGTCGACTGAAATCTCACGTGGAATTGCCCATATACAAAAGTCAAAAATACTTTTTAGTTATAAGATTTTTTTGTTATTAATGTTTAAACATAAGTAGGTGGAAAACAAATTTATCAGTTTTTGAAAACTCGGAACTGATTTTCTTCATTATATTTTTGTTTGGTTGCTAAGTTGCTGTTTGGCGACAAAAACACACGATAATGATACGTACCTTCGCACGAAGAACGAAGAAGGAAATTCAGGAGATGTTCTCGCGCATTCGCAGTAGAGAAATAAACGTGCGCAACGCAGAACGTTTCAAATTAGAATGAGGATCAGCTGAGCAATGTTTATAACGTAATCGTCCATGGAAAATATTTACAAGTATGTGTAAAATTACTTTATAATTTTTAAATATTATTTTCTAATTAGAAGTGAAGTAGTGTTTTTTTTATTGTGTCAAAGAAATTTAGTATACAATTTGTCTTTCTTATACACAAAATACAATAATGACGAGTTAACCTCTCTTTTTAAATGTATTGTTTAGAAAATAAATGTTTTTCTTGTCCTCAAATATAAATTCTGGTATGTACTTGTAAATCCATTATAATTAATTTAAAAAACAGTAATTATTATTAGATTTTTAGTATTTAAGTAGAAACTGAAACTTTAAAATTGCACGGTAAGAATAATTATGTGTTATTTTGACAGTTATGCATAAATTCGATAAGGGTACAAAAGTAATTTGGTTATTTTTTTAAATTTCTTTATAAAGTTTATAAAAGCACAAATGACAAAATACTCAAATTTGCTTATAGTATAAGTAATTCCTGAGAATATAGATCAAATTATTTTAAAACCTTCTGAAATCTGCGATAGTCTTTAACTCGCAAATTTTTTTCTAAGTTAATTAGAGTTATAATTAATTAAAATATAATATAGTAACGTCAGTTATTTATTTTTATTTACAAAGTTGTTATAACAAGTGACTGGGAGAAGTTCACCTAATCATAATCTTGACTGGGATAAATTTCATATACTTGAGACAAAGAAACTAACGAGAGCAAACGCCTAATACCTGAAATGATTTATATTAATTTGCAAAAGACTAAAAAATAAGAATTTATTTTTTAATGATAAATAAATAAAATTAATTAATTAATATAGATTAATTAATATAATTCATTTAATAAAGTTTAAAAAAAATTAAATAATTTAAAATTACAATTACAAATTTTTTTCAAATTAATATTATCAGTTTATCATATCGGACACGAGGAAATCTATCTCGAAATAAAATAATGACCAATATTACAATAACCCTCCTTATTGTTCTTAATCTATTAATATTTATTATAAAATATAATGTCAGTAAATATCTTATTAATATATAATTATCCCATATTCAGATAAAAAAATTAAAACAAACCCTCCCGCTATATATTCTGTATTAAACAATTTATTTGTTGTTTTTATTTGCTCTACTATTTATTTCTATTCATTTTTTATTAATTTTACTAACTTTTAATTGATTTTTGTTTTTTATATTTTTAACTTATTTCAAATTTTGACTACAGATTCTGTATGGCTTCAATGTATGGGTGTAATATTTTTATTTTCTGTATAGTCATACAGTCTTGTGCAGCGATGCCTTCCCTAAAAAAAAGACAATAATTTGCCCACTTTTCATGCTGTTTTCATGAAAAAACGAAATAATAATAGACTTTTTAAAACTTTAATTTCATTTCCAAAGTACGTTTAAATTAACCTATTCCCTCTACTCGAATAATAGACAAAAATCCATTTTTAATTTTGAAAATTTCCCATATACATAATTGAAAGATATAAAAAAAGTCGAATCCGCGAAAGAAACAAAACTAATACCTACTCATGTGATGAGAATGAAAAAAAAGTTTTTAATCGTAGGTAATTCCCATACTTTACATAGTTTATGTGTTAAGTTTGCGAATATGTGCGAGAGCTTTATATTGTTGTGGGAGAAAAAAAAGAAACTGTGAGTGAGAGACGAGATATACACACGGAGAGTGTGTTAAATGCGAAGATGCATCTCGCAGGTAAATTGTCAAATGCAAAGAGAGTCGCGACTACGCCACTGTGGGGATACTCGAATTTCACGACATGTTTACAAAGATCCTAGAGATAAGTTGAGAATGGTCGCCCTTCTTTTCCTTCCCCTCTCAACCCCTGCCCCCATGTCTCCTCCATGGGTGTAAGGTGACAGCTGCCTGCGCCTGCGTTGCGTTCCGAGCCTGTGTGGCACAAAACTACGTGTGCAACCGACCACCATCGACTATTCTGATGAAACAACAAGTCTTGCAGGGCCGGTTTTTCACGAGATTCACTCAAAATTGAGTTTGAATTTTTTTTCAAATATAATCAAAATCGCAATTGGAAAGACGGCCCTGCATTCGGGTCCTTTTTTAATTTTTGACCTAATAAGTCGTGGTACAGTCGCTACTCTACATTATCGACACTTTTTATGTCCTTAGCCTTACGTTGAACAGAACATAAAACTACAGTAGATTTTTATAGATTTCTTTGTATTTTTATGTTATGTTCTACGTAAGGACCTAAAAATAATATAGTAATATAGTAATTCCATATTTAATAATTATTTACTGTGGAAATCTATTGTCTTTCGTGTCCGAATTACGAGAATCGGTCAAAATTGATGGAAGTGACCGAAGACTACTGTTGATAAAGTAGATTTCAAAGCATTAAAATATTTTATTTTTATAATATCAGGAATGAATCAAAGAGTATATTATAATCCGTTATAACCTAAAAGCCGCTGACTGGAGACACTTAAAGTTCGCGTGATCAATTTTTTTTTTATTCGGATCTCTCTGTAATTTTTAAAAAGGTTGATAAGCCATTTTTCAGGAAGAGTCTCTGATATATTTAGAAAGGATTTCCAACTCTTGGAACACGCATTGCTGTTTAGAATGTCTCGAGACGAGAACCGCAAAGATGTGAAACATAATCCAAGTTGCACCAGCCAGGTTCGAGCTCAGCCAAGCGAGGCAGCCAGCTTCTAAAGAACGCGACGTTATACGAATCAGATTACATCTCGCGTTTGGTCGCTTATCTTTTCTTCTTCATTCTTCGTTTCCCTCGCATCGATTCCCTTCAACGGTCCATCGCTCAAAATTCCCTTTCAATTGACTGCAATTCAGTATATAATCTCGACCACAACCCGCCTTCGATTTTTATTTTTTCCTTTAAATATTTTCAAGGTTTAGAAATATTTTTCGTTTTAGCGAAAAACTGGTTTCTTACTTGCTGAAAATCTTATTGGTTTTCATAAGCTTAAGTGTTACTTACGATATTTTGTATTCCAAAGGCACAAAAGTGACGATTTGACTATTGATGGCACGGACCGTGAGAAAGACCCAGTCAGTGATTGGATGGTCACAAATATGCTTTAGTTGCAAACATTTATACTCTAATTTACGATTTTCGTAAAAATTTTTTTCTGTCAATCCAGCGATAACTATTTGAATTGTGATAAAAATTCGTTTCAAGTAAAAATTATTCGGACAATAGTTCATAATTCCTAACAATCATTTTTGAAGGTCTTTCTTGCTCCAACACTGTTAACAAGAGAAATCTTAAAAAATTCGGTAGAATTTGATATAGATTTCTATACTATTCATTCCGTTTTCTGAATCTGCAAATTTTAGTTTATTGTCTGATCAACTTAGGGTGCAGTTTTAGAAACCGGTTATGACACAGTACACTGACACTACGGACTATAACCAGATCTTTAATCTACAATTATTTTGAATAGAAAATATAAAAGTAAATTCGTTTGTATTTGATTAAATTTGATAGAAAAGTATTTCTGTACGGTTTCAACTTTTAAAATAGCGGAGAGCAGACTGATCGAGAAAAACAACTATTAAAAAAAGATAAAAGAAGTTTACTAATAATTGTACCGTTAGCACCAAAAAATAAGATTTTGCTTCTTAAGAAAATGTGTTTATTTAGAATACATCTTAATATGCGAAAGAGAAAAATTTTCGTTTCATAGAAACATCAAAAGATTAATTAATACCTTACAACTAAATAAACATACATTATCTTCTATTTCACTCTCAAATTGTCAAACACTACAATTTTTGAATTGCCCTAATTTTTTTTTCTTGTTTTCTTAATTTGGAAGGGAATAGAAGAATTTTCGAAATCGAACGTAGGTTTTTTTTTTAATTCTCGAATAAAAAATAAAATAGTGGGTTTTTCATTGAAAAAAATTACTCGTTGTCGGCGTTGCTCGCTTGAAGGAAAACAGGTGCCTGTCCACCTTGCGCGACTTGAATTAATTGCGGCTGTGCTTGAATTGGAGCCGCTTGAATAATTATTGGTTGATTACTGCCACCCTGGACTTGCATTCGTATCATTTGCAATTGTTGCGGCGTCAGTTGAATCTAAAATTTTGAAAACCACATTTTTTAGTTTTTTTATGACGAATTCTTAATTTATAAAAATTCTTTTATAAAATTCTTTTGGGGAAGAATCTTTCAAAAGGCAGAAAAGTTTACCGGAATTTGTTGAATTTCTCCATTTGGTGTGACAATTTGTTGTACGATTTGTATGCCACCGGCTTGAGTGGAAGGATTCTGTTGGGGTTGCTGCAGTTGAATTACCGTCTGATTTGACGTTTGCTGCGGACTTTGTACATTTACCGACTGCGTATTCGTGTCCTGGAAATTTTTTTACTTTTTTAATGAAAAATATAAATATCAGGAAGTCTATCAAAATAATACAGAAAACAATGAGTGTACATGAAGACATTAGATAAAAATAAAAAATACAATCGGGTGCAATGCAAAAATAAAATAAATCCATGATCCAGGAAAAGTACTTTACCTCCGAGCTCCCAATGTTAATAGTCTGAATGTGTCCCGAGGAAGGTTGAACAATTTGAATAGGTTGATTAGTTCCGTTATTTTGTACATTCTGATTGGCCGAGGCTTGCTGCTGGGCAAGTTGAAAGTAATAATGAACCTGATCGGAATTCATAGAAGTACGAACTGTATTGTCGTTTTGCGCCTTGCTCTGCTTGAGTTCATCGCGGGGCACGATGTCAATGAGAAAATCGAATTGATCGTATTTTGTGATGGCCATCGCGATATCGTTTCTCTGCAGAGTTCGCCTCTTGTTGTCCTCTGTGTGGACCCAAGCGCGTAATGTCAACTCGTGAATGAAAATTTCCGCCGCTTTCGAAAATAACATTGGCGCCTCGGCACTTATCATTTTCACATCGCCGTCCAGCTTCATTATCTTTTTTATCCTCGCCAGTGGCAGCGATTGTGTCTTAAGGTCCATCTGTAAACAGTAAACGAATATTAATATTGTCCTAAAATTCTCTTTAAAAAATAAAGCTATTGCTTACATTTCTATGTTTTGTTTATTAATAATTTTATTTTTCGGTATTTTGCAAGGACCTTAAAATTTGTTAAATACCGTTTGTTAATTGTGGCCTTAGGTCCTTCCTTCAAAGAGGAAGGATTGTATATATATTAATTAATATTAATATTAATAAATATTTATTTTTTCAATACAAATTTTGAAAAGTTTTTAAATATTTCAGCGGTGAACGTCTTGCGGGAAATATGCCAGAGCCAGTGCATCATCAGGTGAATGCAGCTCGGAAAACATTCCAAACCTTGCATCAAATTGCAAAATTGCTGAATACGAATTTGGATCCAGCAACGTTGAGTATTTGCGTGAGGCTGTGCGAAAATGGAGTGAATCCTCAGGCCCTGGCAACTATCGTCAAGGAATTGCAAAAGGAAGTCAAGAACTTGGACGCAACTCCCGATGATTTTGGTCTTAATAAATCTCCTTCATTTAAATGAGTATTAATGTAATTTTAATCCACTTGAAAAAGAAATCCAGTTTATAAATATGATTTGATAATAATGTCTTTAATTTTTGTATCCAAAATCTTTTCTTTCATTTTATAATTTTAGTATCTAAAAACAAAAGGTTGGAAAATTTCTGAACTGTAACTCAAATGGATTTAAATTGTTCAATAATTTAAAATGTTTCATCCTTTGAAAGCTTACTGTGGTAATTTTTTTAATTTCCTCCGTAACTTTTGGCCAGAATTGTGTCAAATTTTGCTGGGCTTCCGAACTCCCAGGCGAAGCGATTTGTAAATCACCATTTGAATCTCCTTCCACTTCGCTGTCCTGGTTCCTGTAAATTTCGATGTTAGAATTAGAATCAATTTTTTTAAATTTAGCATAAAAAACTTTTTAGTTATTTTCAAAAAACAAACTTGAAAAATAAATTTCGACTATTTTTGAGAATTTTGAATTTCCTCTATTAAATATTGCAGTATTTAAAAAATAAAAACAAATTTATCTTTCGAAAATAAAAATTGTTTGTTTTGATCAAGAAATAAAAATGAGAGACCCTGACTTCATCATCATTGTTTACTCAATTGTTCGTCATTCATTTACCCCCAAACATACAATTTGTGTGAATTTTACAATTATCACTAGAATACCGTCAACAATTGTGTGAAATAATGTAAAAAAATAATAAAATAGAAAACAATTTCGTCTTGTAAAAATTTATCAAAAATTGTTATCGGAAAAAAGTTGAACATGTAATAAAAAAAGACCGGTCATTTTATGACACAATAAAAATTTTAAAAAATAAAATTTATATTTAGAATGAAAAAAAAAGAGTGGAAATAAAATATTTTTATGGAAAAAAATAAGTGACACAACATAACCTAAAAAAAGAATCAATATTTACTTACGCATTTACAAAGAAAACCGACATTTTTCAAATTAGATTTCTACGTATAAATATAATGCTTAATGAATATTTGATAATTAGTCCATCATTTTGATCTTCCTTGCACGGGAAATACAAATTTCGTTCGAAAAATTGCAATTCGTTGAGACGATCGTCGTTAGTTTCACCACCAATCACACAACTTTGTCAAGTGACCAATTAGTTTGAGAGCGCCTTCTCAGACGGCGCCTCGCATCGTGGGTGGGGGTAAATGGCGCCAAATTCAAAACTACACTTCTGTTTTAAATTTTTATTTTTTTAAAAATACATTTCTACTATCTTCTTTATTTTCTTGAAAATTGCAAAATTCCTTATGGAAGAATTTTTTATTATTCATTTTAGTTTATATAAAAAATTAAAACTATTGTCAGGGTGTCTAGCGAACCGGGAATCCGGGAAAAACCGGGAAAACCCCGGGAATTTTTTTTTCCCGGGAAAAACCGGGAAACCCCCGGGAATTTTCTTTAAAATCCGGGAATTTTTTTATGAAGTACTTTATTATGTTGTTGGAAAAAATACTTACATTTTTTCAACGCTTAACTTAATTTTTTTTCAATTTCGAATTGTATATTGATTCTCTTCGTATATTAGACAATGTTTTATTATTGTCCAATTAAGACCTAACTTATATGGGAAATGATTTTCGATGTGACAATCCAGTGGGCAAAAAACCATCATTGTTTTAAAAACGTTCCAAAAATGTTTTTAGAACGTTTCATGTCTGCCAAATAATGTTCCAAAAACGTTCCATTGCTTTTAAAACGTTTTAGGAACATATAACGTTATTGGGACGTTATTTGGCAGACATGAAACGTTCTAAAAACATTTTTGGAACGTTTTTAAAACAATGATGGTTTTTTGCCCACTGGGAAGCTTGTGCCAAATTTTTACAGTGATGCGACACCTGTTTTTGATTTTAAACATGAAATTACCGTCAAGTAAATCACAATACAATTCTTATTATAAGTTTTACAAATATTACGATTAAATTTACTGTAAAATTTTAGTTTTCAATTATCCGGGAAAATTATTTACATACCGGGAAAAAACCGGGAAAACCCCGGGAATTTTATATTTCTAAATTACTAGACACCCTGATTGTTAAAAATATAAATTTATATTTTTAACAATAGTTTTAATTATTTTCAAAAATTTATGTTTTATTGAATAATATAAAATTAACATAATTTAATGTAAAAGTTAATCGTGAATTGTTTTGTAACTGCTGATTTTTAAGAAAACGTGATTTAAAATTTCCTTGGATGTCATTTTTTCGGAATTGCTAATTCTGACGATTCCTCCGAATTCTCGAATGTAATAGTCCAATTCCCTTTCGTCAGAAGTGTTCTTCGTCCCCATATACTTGTTTGTGAGCTGAGAAAGTTTCAATAAATCGGAACTAAAAGCTTCGTCCAAATCGAAAAGCTCCAAAGCCGGAGGTGGAAGCTCTTGGAAACTCGGGGGAAATACCTTCGGAGAAGAAGATTTTTAATTCATTTTAATTGCGTTTAAAATTAAAAATTTTTAAATAAAAAATTTTGCTCCATTTGAAAGACTTACCGAGGCTTGAGTGGGCGGCAAGGGCGTTTCAAAATTTGGAGCAATTAAACTCAAGGGCTCGTGTTTGACATTCAAAACTTTGTAAGCTTTTATGCACGCCGGAACCATATCTAAGTTGACGGAGTAGAAATTTCTTTTAAACAATTTTGTATATTCTCGAGGCATATCCATATTGTCCATATCTTGGGTGCACACTTTTGGATCGTCCGCCCTTTGAGTAATGTCTGGTACAAAATTGTACTCCCAAAACTGAAAGTTTTAATTACATTGTCTCATTTATTATTTTTAGGAACAGAATATAAAATTTAAGTCCAAAGGACCCTACAGAAAAGACATTAATTTTGGGCCCCAATCGATTTTTAATATAAATTTTGAATTTTAATTTTGCTGAAGAAAACTATATATTAATAAATTCAGAAACTTGTATAGAAAAATCAACTGGGGCCCAAATGCGGGGATCTTGTGGGGTCCTTTTTAAAAAATTATTAAAAGAAGAAGAAATAAAGTAAGAATTGTGATATACTGTATATTAAAAATGGGTATATAATGTTTTACATCAACATCCTCGTGGTGAATCTCTTTCGTTGAAACACCCTCCGAGTCGAAAAAATCGAAAATCATTTCCCGGAGGGAATCATTTTTTTCTTTCTCCAAATAAGCGTCGGTGAACATTCTCGATGAACCCAGAACAACCAATTTTCCGGAATTGGTGTTTGAAGAATAATAAGCGCAAACTGGTCTGTTTGTCGGAATTGCAATCGATCCACTCGAAAGTGCAATTCCGGATGGAGAAGCAATATTCAATGTTGCCCCATACGGATAAAGGAATTTTAGTCCTCTGCAAAAAATTATCTGATTCAAATAAACAATTATTTATATTTAAAAAAAATAAAATGAAAAATAATTCCCACGTTTGTTCGTCTCTGTTCTTTAAAAAAAGTGATTTGTTAGAAAATCCCTGAGAAATGACGCATTCTTTTGGATGCAGCGATTGACTGTAATTCATCCGGACAACTGTGTCTGAAAAAATCATTACAGTTTAAAACAATTATAGAAACAAATTTTCGGAAAAATCAATTTAAAAATGAAATAAGTTTTTAAAAATTAATTTTACCATTGTTAACCATTATTCCGAATTCTTCGAGTAGAAAATTGATATTTGTGTTGAATTTATTCTCTCCACCTTCTCCCAACATTACAAGAACATTTCCACCGGAATTAATATAATTCCTAATTGAATTCAGTTCCAATTCCGTGAATTTGCTTTTTGGCCCTGGCAGAACTAGGACTTTACAATTTATCAAAGATTCCTGCGTAAGAACTTCGCTGTTTCTGAATGATAAAATTTATTTTAAAAATGTAATGTTTAAATTTCTAATTATAAAATTTTAAAAATTATTTTAATTTAATTATGTAATTTATAAAAATTCATAATTTGATTAAAACTATGAAAACAAAACTATAAAATAAATAAAAAAAATTGTTGCTAGTCCACTTATTTTTTATTGTTTATTATTATTAACAATATAATATGAACGCACTCTATAAATTTCCATTTTGATTTAAGTTTCCTTTGAAGCACCTTGAACTCCTCATTGAGTTTCCTTTCGTTTTTTGAACTATCAAAAATAATTATATTTGAATTACTATCACCACCACCAATCACGGAAGTCATGTTTGAAACTTGAAAGACATTCGACAAATTCTTTGTTTTTTTTAACAATGCCACTGCATTTGTTTATGTTTTTTTAATTATTTATGAATATGTCATTATTTCTTGCTACGGCGTGAGTGAAAAACGTGAAACTGACAAACGTTGCCATGACGACAAAATCAAATCAAATCCTATTGTTCCTATTGGCTGCATTTTAAATCGTCCACCAATTACTCTTCACGTTCGCTAAGGAGAAAAACTCTATTATTTCCACTTAGTCTAAAATTTAATTAATTTAAAAATAAGTGACGTAACTATTTACAAAACACTTAACCTATAGGCTTCTTTATCAATCTTACGAAAATAATTTAACCTATCAAAAACTGCCAGTGCCAGGACTTCCGTTTCCTGTTTTAATTGACCATTCTGTCTTTACCCATTCTTACCACTCTTCCATTCCTTCTTTCGTTCCACGCTTTCTCTCTCAAAAGCTATAAATATTCTTCTTTTCTCTCCAAGTTCTATCCTCATCTATTCTTATCACACTTCCTTTCAGTCTCCCTTTTAACCTCATAATATTTAATTTCTCTTCCTCACTATCCAATTCCACCAACCATGATTTTGATGATATAAATCTTATTTTTGGGGGTATAAGTCATTTTTGCAACGTTATATTTAGGGGGGGGGGCGGTGTTGGTAATTTCTAATTTGCAACTAAATGCAACGAAGGGGGAGGGTCAAAAAACCCGAAAATCAGTGTAACGTTATTTATGGATGATCCCAAAATTAATAGACTCGAGAGTCGAGACGTCAAGATTTTTACCATTGTTTGACGTCATGGAAACAAGGATGGATCACACAAACACGTTTCTTTCATGAACAACTTTCCCAGCCTTGTTCAATACTGTCTGCGCAAACATGATGCGCACTGTTCACCTTATTGTTTACTACAGCTGTCAGCAGGCCTTGCTCTTTGCCCTTCTATGTCTACATGGTGCATGGTGTGTGATCTTATGGTATAGTTATCTGGTAGTTATCACGATGCATCACGATGGACATCTCAATGTGCATTTATTCTGAAATCTAATTTTTTAATTTGGTGTGTTAATTAATAAAAAGACAATGTCATCACAAAGTGATAACGAGTTAAAAAGACTTTTGAATAATCCGGCGAAAAATGCGGGCGACCAAGGTTCTATGGCTCCTCCAGCTTTTGTAAGTTTTTAACGCACATATGGTATTTTAAGGTTATGATAATGTTTAATCCGCACACGCATTTTACACATTTTTTCTTCTAAAATAATCGAAATAAATAATAGTTTATTTTCTTATTGAAAATATGTATTTTTATTATTATTATTCAAAATTGTACACCGAAACATACACTATTACAATGTACTATTTCACTCAATAAAATTCAGATGTTTTAAACCAAATTCCAAAAGTCCTCAATTTTTCCCAACAGTCATTTAATAAATTATTTCATCATTATATTTTTACATTCTCATCATATTAGAAGGTATTTTTTATTAAAATTGTGTAAAAATAGGAACAGGATATTCTATACAAATGTAGTAAATTTCAATAAAATAACTGAAAAATGTTTGTGATAATCATTCAATTTTTCCTGTCAAACAAATTCAAAGAAGCTCGGAATTTTTATGTTTAATTTTCATGATCGGACGAATAAAATTAGACAAAAATATACATCTTGGACTAAATTTAAAGAAGTTTTGCCAATTGTTTTTATTCATTTTTATTAGACAATATGCTTTGCTCTTTAGACTTGAAAACGCATCTAAGATATTTTAGAATATTTTCTAGAATAAAATGTTTCATGTTTAAAGATTCAAAAAGTATTGTGGGAAAAAACAATTGAATACATTCTTTATCCAGTCATCTGTCATATTAGCAAACTTGCATCATCTTAAAACTACACATAAAATTTTCACAACGATATCTACGGTTTTTTTTTATATTTCGAAGGTCGAAAGTGGTAGTTTTTCCATATTATGGAGCAAAAGACAACCTTGAGAGACTTAATCAATGTAATTGTGTTTATAATTATTTGAGTGTAATTGTGTCAAAGCATATGGAGGACGACGTTAAAGATTATTAATATTAAAAATATTCATTTGGAAGTTGCAAAAATGACGCTCTACCACATTTTACAAAATGGGATGAATTTGAAATTTTACATGTTGAACCCAATCTTAGTAAACTATTATTCGCAGAAATTCTTTTTTTATAAAGAAAGAAGGAATATTTTTTTAAATTTTTACATAAAGTTTTATTAATATAAATATTAATTTTTTTAATTAAATTTTTAAATTTATATCTATTTTTTTATATAAAAATATATAAATGTATAAAGTTCTAATAGTTTGAAAAATTGATATAAATATTACCCTTAATCTAAAGTTTTATTTATGAAAAATTTAGGCAATTGTTCCACGGCCGAGCACTTCGCAAAATCCACAATCAGCGATGAACCCCATGACACCGGCTCACAGCACAAAAGAAGTCTTCGAACCTTGTCTACAGTAAGTTTATTATATATTTTCTAAAAGTTAATAAAATTTTTAAACAAATTATTCCGAAATAGATAAAATATTAATTTTTCTACTATATGCATCTGCTAATAATTGTTCTTTTTTCAGAAACGTCGTTTCCACCGTAAATTTAGGAACAGAATTGAAACTCACTTATATTAACACTCGCACAAGAAATTCGGAATACAATCCATCCCGTTTCACAGGATTGATTATGCGAATTCGCGATCCGAAAGCGACTGCCTTAATCTTCCGCTCTGGAAAATTGGTTTGCACTGGTGCGAGATGCGAGGAGGATTCTTTTCTCGCTGCGAGAAAATTCGCCAGAATTATTCAGAAGCTTGGATTTCCGGTTTGTTATACTATTTTTTGCTTTTTTTTTTACTGCGACACTGATAATTTTATTCAATAATTCCTTTTGTTTGTAAATTATTATTTCTGTTATCTTTAGTTGAATGACTAAATTTTCAAACATTTTTTATTTCAGGCTAAATTTCTAAACTTCAAAATACAAAATATTGTTGCCACGGCAGATTTGAAGTTCCCGATCAAATTAGATAATCTTAATCATATGCATGGACAATTTTCAAGTTATGAACCAGAACTTTATCCTGGTTTAATTTACCGAATGGTTGCACCCAGAGTTGTGCTTTTAATCTTCGTCAATGGGAAGATTGTTTTTACTGGTGAGTTTCTACATTTCTTTCATTATTTTCACAAAAAAAATACTAATTAACTATATCAAGAAATTCGATAAAATTATTTTTATAGTAATTATCAATGGGATAATAAAAAAATCGATCAATAAATATTTTGACCTTTTTTGAATTTTTATTTTGCTTAAAAATTAATAGATTTTAAAATCCACTCGTAATTTTATGGAAGATTTAAATCATTTTCTTGATATAGTTAAAAATGTGGACGTTTTAGTGAATAAAAATATAAAAAAACTTATTTAAGAATATTCTTTTATTTTATTTCAGGTGCGAAGAACCGAAGTGATCTTCAAGACGCTTTAACGAATATTTACCCGATTTTGAAGAGTTTCAGAAAACTCTGAACCTTTAGAAAATTCGCAATCACAGTGTATATAAAAAATCACGTGAAATCAGTGCTTCTTTCAAAAAGACTCAACTTTAAACGAATTATTATTATTATTTAATTATTTTTTAGTTTATAAAAAGTTAAATGTTGTCTCGAAATTAGATTTTTTTGAAAGAAGCATATAAAAATCTCTATTAATTATTTTTCAATTATTTGAAATACTCTTAATTAAGCATTAATTTATTTAAAAGAACTATATTACCGAAATTTTCTATCTATACAGTTCTTTAAATATGTATTACTTTTTATTCTACTTTGTTATATAAATCAAACTGTTTTCCGTTTGATTTTTTTTGTTGAAAGGCGTGGGTATAGAGAGTGAAAAATCGTTTTATTTAAAATATTCTCATGTATTTTTCAACCGTTTCACAAATTTTTGTACCTGTCGTAAAAATAAATTTCAATAGACAAACATAATATTTTCTTTAATTAATAAATTTGTTGATAGATTTTTATTCTTATATATTTGTTATTATAATTAATATTAATAGTATTCAAATAAAATTAACGATTGGTTAACATTTTTTTTCTTGTCAAAATTAATATCTTTCAAAATTTTGATCGTCTTTGATAATAATTAAAACATTTTATTTGTTAAAAGATAGAAAATACTTGAAAGATATTTTTTTTCTTCATAAATATTTAGGAACCTTTTAGTTTTTTTTCTAAAATTAGGTAGATATTTAAGAAATGTTTTTAAGTATTCTGCATTTTCTGGAAAAGTAAAGAATTTGAAAAAAGCAAAGAATGTCAATTTAGAAATTGATATTTAGTATTTTTAAATAACTAAAAATGTCAAACAAACAATTGTTTATTAAAATATTTTCAAAATTAGATTCTATGAGAGTAAATTTTCTTTTAAAGATCTTACATTTTTAAAAATCAGAACTATTTGAAAACATTTCAAAAGAATATTAATTGTAATATTCAAGTTTTCTTTTGTCATTCTCATTTTTCCCGAACTAAAAAATTCATGAGGACATTGTTCCACTACATAATAACGAAATAGACAATATAAACAATATAAACAATATATAAAAATTCTTACAAAAATTTAATCCAAGTGGATAAAATTTTAAGAAATAAATTTTTAAATTGATATAAAAAACGATATAAACACAAATTTAATTTCACTTATGTTAACTGAAGGCATGATTAAATAAAAATAATTAATATTCGCTGTTTTATACGAAATCTTAGTTTTTAAATTTTTGGAATACTGTCAAGTATTCAAAACAGAATTAAATACGAATTCTCTATTAAAAATTTGGATATTTTCTCTTTTTAGTTTCATTTCTTTTTCATGTCCAATATTCCGAATTTTCGTGCGATTTTGATACTTCAGTAAATTACATTAATTCCTTTTTTAGCGGCAATTGGCAATTTTTCTCCTTGAAAGAACGGATTTTCCTCCTAAAAAAGTAGATTTTTATTGAAAAACAAAAATTTTTTTGTATATATATATTCAAAATTAAAGAAATGAATATTTATCTACCTTTAAAATATTTTTTTTTGTACCTGGAATCTTTCGACGATTTGGTCAAGATCGTTACTGGAAATCTTTAAGTTTGCTTGTTCCTCTTCGCCGTCCATTTCATTTGCGCAATCAATCATGTGCTCCTTGTCACACATGCAATCTTGAGCACTTTGAAAATCCCGACTGAATGCCGCTGTGTTTTCAAAATCGGTAATGCAATGGTTTTCCGCTAAAAAATATTAATATTAATATTAATATAAAATAATAAAAATAAATATTTTCCGCTAAATATATTAAAATTTCATTTAAAAATAGTTACTTGAAGTTGATAGAGTTTCTAATAGCAAATATTTTTAATTTATAAGTAAAGAATATATTTATATAAAATAATAAAATTTATATAATATTTAATAAGATGGTCAAAAATGAACTCACTTGTGTATCCTACTGGACATGGATTAGGAGGAGTGCAATAAGCGGGCAAAGCACTTTCAGATTTCTCATCCTTGGCGCCTTTGAGTCCACTAGCTTGAATTCTGTGCCTATCGCTTCCATTTTCATTGGACTTTTGATGACTCCACAGAGTACTGTGCTGCAAATACTCCTGATCCCGAATACTGGGGTTAGGATTCAGAGTCTCGATGCCGTCGTAGTCAATTGGCAATTCAACTGGAATTTCCTTCATTGCTTGGAAATCGTTACCAATTCTCGATCCATCCTGATATTCTAGGTATGAATCCGCAGCGTCCACCAGATCGTTTCCCATTTGATCGATCAAGTCTCGAAGTACGAGATCCGCATAGTAATGTTCCTGAAAAAATTAAGAGATAAAATCTTTCGTGCAAGATTAAAATTACTTACTCGTTACTTTAAAATCAATGCATATATTATAAAGAGTTCTTGGTCTTATTTTAAAGCTGAGAGTTCTACTTAAAATAAGAAATTTATTTTTTTACTTAAAATATGTATTGTCTGACTAAAATTGATTTTTCTACTTAAAATTAGAAACTTATTTTTTACATAAAATGTGTAATGTCTGATTAATGTTGATTTTTCTACTTAAAATTAGAAATTAAATTTTTTTTATTTAAAATGTGTAATGTCTGACTAAAGTGGATTTTGCTACTTAAAATTAGAAATTTTAATTTCTCTGCTTAAAATATTTATTATCTGACTAAAGTGAATTTTTCTACTTAAAATTAGAAATTTAACTCTTTATTTAAAATGTGTAAAGTCTGACTAAAATTGATTTTTCTACTTACAATTTGATATTTAATTTTTTTTACTTAAAATGTGTAATGTCTGACTAATGTTGATTTTTCTACTTAAAATTAGAAATTTTAATTTCTCTGCTTAAAATATTTATTATCTGACTAAAGTGAATTTTTCTACTTAAAATTAGAAATTTAACTCTTTATTTAAAATGTGTAAAGTCTGACTAAAATTGATTTTTCTACTTACAATTTGATATTTAATTTTTTTTACTTAAATTGTGTAATGTCTGACTAATGTTGATTTTTCTACTTAAAATTAGAAATTTAAATTTCTTTGCTTAAAATGTTTATTGTCTGACTAAAATTGATTTTTCTACTTAAAATTTGATATTTAATTTCTCTACTTAAAATGTGTAATGTCTGACTAAAGTTGAGTTTTCTACTTAAAATGAGAAATTTAAATTTCTTTGCTTAAAATGTGCAATGTCTGACAAATATTGATTTTTCTACTTAAAATTATAAATTTGAAGTTCTTTACTCCTAATCATTATTAGGTATAAATTTTTTTTTTCTTAATTCGTATTTTACATAACATCCATTTCTTCTAAGATTGTAAAATGCAAATTGTAAACTTTACATAGATAGAAAAGGACAAAAAAAAGATATACCTATCCTTTTCCCTCTCATGTAAATATAACGATTTACGTCCTACGATGTTCATTGTGCTTGCCTCAATTGACATTAGAATTTCTTTAGAAACTTAAAGCGAATAAAATTTTTGAAATTATAATTATTATTACCTTTAGCGGTGGTAGGTACATTGTTGCATGTGCAGCTGCGAAAATTGTGAATATCACGAGAGAATAATACATTTTGAGGTTATGTCCTGCAAAAATAAGCATATTAAAGAATTTGTGGAAAAATTTTCGAAAAATTGCTATTAGACATCCAAATTATCAGATTTGAATATCAGAATCTTAGAAATAATGAAGAATTTGAAAATGAAAATTTTTTGTAACATTTCATAAATTTGTAATTTTAGTCACTAAATAAGAATCTTTTTAGAAATCCAATTTTTGATAAAATTTATGAACATCCTTTTTTATTTTAAAAATAATATAGAATTAGTGTAAAACATTTTCAATTAAAATTCTCCGAGAAATTATTTTTGTAAAAAAGTAACGAATCATACTTTAAACTTTAAAAAATAAAACAAAAGAAATAATTAAATCATCAAATCAATTAAGTAAATTCTCTAATTCAAAGAACGGAAACAAAAACGCGAATTAGTCCGAAATGTAGAATAAGTTATAGATTTTATCGCTTCAGAGAGTGTGAGAATGGAAAAAAATAAAAAACAGAACCCAAAAAGGATTAAAAATGAATTGATAATATTAGAAATAAATTTTTAACAAACTGTAAAATCAATGACAAGTGGATAAATTGACTTACAATTATTTTTGAAATGGTGAAATGGGAAAACAGCTGTGAAAGGTCTTTGACAGACGGGAACTATTGGTTTTGGTTCTCGATGGAGTTTCCTATATCGGATGAAAGCGCCGCTGATGGAAAAATTTGTCACTAAAGTATTGATCATATTTCGGTCACAAACACGTGCAATATAATGATACGAGAGCCACCCTCGATTTTACATTTTTATTCCTTTCCACCCCATTCGCATCTCGTTGATGTTCCCTTTAACATTCACATTAGTGTACACGAAAAGCGCGCTTAAATGGTCGCCGTTTCGTGGTTGCTTTTATGACAACTTTCGGTCACGCGATTCACATCATCGCTCATGGGATTACCCGACTATTGAAATCACGTCTTGCAGACTTTTAGATTGTTTTTTCTTTGCCGAAAGTTTGACCTTGAATAGGATTTTTTTTAATTACTAGCTTTTTCATTCATTGGTCTACTGGGTCTAAGAACATTGAAAATCGTAAATTTTACAATGTACGTTGACCTAATAATTCTCAAATCTGATTGATTATTTTTGGGAGCTAAATTTCAAGAAATTTTTTTTTACTCAAGAAAATCAGAAAAATTTATCAAAACCCATAGAAATAAAATATCGAGATTATTGAGTTTGATACGGGGCTCATATATAGAGAAATCAATCTTCTGTCTATTAATCAAACAGTATGCTACTATTATTTCAGATCAAACATCAAAGAACAATATGTAACGCAGAGAATTCTATAAAATCAAGCCATGGTGATTAGGGAGTGATCCAGAAACTGACTAATAATCCGAAGTCTAAAGTGGTAAGTATAACGAAGCCAATCGTAAGTCTCTTGAATATTCTCATGAGACGTGTGCAAATAGTATTAGGCTATATCTATATGACAGATTAAAAGAATCATTTGATAGTGAAAACTGTCAACCAAAATATTATTTAGCATAGGAAAAAATAATATACTTCACAAAAAAAAGCTTTGCCTGGAACAGCAATAAGTTTCTCTAAAATAGCGAAAGTCTAAACAGAAACTAAAAATTTCGCCATTTTAGTGCTAATTTTAAGTAAAAAGATGAAATTTTAGTCAGACATTACACATTTTAAGTAGAATAATTTCAATTTCTAATTTTAAGTAGAAAAAACACTTTAGTCAGACATCACACATTTCAATTGCCTAGAAAAGGTTAAATTTTTAATTTTAAGTAGAAAAAGCAATTTTAGTCAGGCATTATACATTTTAAGTAAAAAAAGTTAAATTTCTAATTTTAAGTAGAAAAATCCATTTTAGTCAGACATTACACATTTTAAGGGAAAAATATAATTTCTAATTTTAAGTAGAACAATCCACTTTAGTCAGACATTACACATTTTATGTGAAAAATTAAATTTCTAATTTTAAGTAGAAAAATGAATTTTAGTCAGACATTACACATTTTAATCAGAGAAATTGATATTTCTAATTTTAAGTAGAAAAATCAACTTTAATCAGACATATCACATTCTAAGCAGAAAAATTTTAAGTAAATGTTCCTGGCAATACTTTTTTTAGGGTTTTTTTTAGAATAACATTAATTTAGGCATCGAATCTTAAAATCAATGTAAATTAACAATCAAGCAAGTTCATTATATTATTATTAACTAACGACCATAGTAAGATTATGAGAATGTCAATATTAATAAAACTACTTATTATTTACAATATTATAGTCGATGTTAGTTGTCCAATTAATTTATAATAGAATCCCACAAAGAAATTATAATAATAACAAATAATATTTAGCAACAAATCGTAATTTTTAAATAACAAATAATATTTTATCAAATTATAAAGATGACAAAAAATCATAACAAGTGTTTTGGAAAATAGAACAGGATCCCTAGACAATCTAATGAATTTAGAAAGATGACTCAAACAGGTGGCACAACAATAATGGTTGTGAAGAAAGATCAGCTGATCAGTGCTAACATTCAATTAGTGAAAAAGTCAGTCTTCATCCTTGAAGCTAAAGGCCCAAAGTGTCAACAGGATGAGGCTCAAAGTCCCCATCGGCAAACAAAAAGACAAGAATTTTTCAAATCCTCTACGGTAGTTTAAAGTCAATTTATCTTGTTAATAGTTGAAATCTCTAAAATGCTATTGATCTGCCGATTCCCCCAGGGGGTGAATGTAAAACCTGTTGATTTTTAACAAATCGTTGTAATTCATAAAATCCCTTTAATCTCAGACAATTCTACATTACACAATAAAAATCCCAAGCGTTTTGTTTTATTTTTTCTAGAGACCCAAAGAACTTGTTTTATTATTTATAAAATAAAATTTATGTTCAGGGAAGTAAATTTTATTCCAATTTAACAAATAGATTATTAACCCTCAGAGAATACTTGGGGTCTTTTGGATAGTAAGTTTATTTTACAAAAATCTATCTATTTTAATATTTAAGGATTTCAAAGTATATATAGAGACTTATTTTAGAGTTTAAACTATAAAAAAATAAGTTACTTTAGGATGTTTGTATTAGTTCTAAGTGGAAGAAGACTATTTTCTGTTAAATCGTTCCCCTGGGGCCCTGGGGCGTCTATTTTAAAAATTTTCCTCTTCCTAGCATTTTGGTGTTGTGTATTAAAATGTTTCTCTGAATGAAAAAGCCTCGGGAAATCGATATAAGAAAAGTTTTCGCCCAAGTAGAGCACAAACCTCATAAATACATTGGAGGCGGCCTGAAGCAGAAGCACAGTTTAGGAAAACAGTTTAAAGCTGAAGTTGTGGCTTTAGTTGAATGAGAGTCTCATTTTCACGAGGGGAGTGAACCGAGGTCGTAAAACGTAATGTGCTTTGAGTCAGGGTTGCGATGATCAAAGAGACCAGTCCCCTCCCACCTCAAATGTATATTATCTTGATAGGCAGGACGTTTCAGAGACGATACCCAAATATCACCCACACACACTGATAATTATCTTCCTTTTGGGCAAAAATATTGTTTGCCCCTGTTAATAATTACAAAAATATATATTTTGTCGTTGATCAGCTTTTAATTGATCAACGATATTGAAGAAAAGGGGAAAAAAGTTTATCTAGAAAAATTTTTAACTATGTAATGAATATAAGTTTGTTGATAGAAGTCTATTATCTCCTATATTGATCATTTTTATAAAAAAGATTGTGATTGATTTTTGAAAATTGCCTTTTGAAGATGATTGAATAAAACACTTTTAACTGCATTATTTTTAATCAAGTTACACTTAAGGTAATAGGGACAAAACTAATTTGTCCATTGCGTTATATTAGGAGAAGGTTATCATGGAAAATGAGAAAATTGGTTTGACATTCCGTGCCGGGTTGCATGAATAAACTTTTAATATTTTTCAATCAGTATTTCGTAAAATAAAATTATCATTAATTCAGGCTCCGCGCACTCATCTACCAAAACCTACCATTTTACTACTTTTTTACATTATATATGCTACTATTAAGGTACTTTTTTAGATTTCAGCCACTAAAAGCTACTATTTCCGTTTTTTTTTTGAGAATTTCCACTACTTTAAATTCAATTATTTTCAAAAAATATTCGATATTCAATTATTTTCAATATTTAGTATTTTCATAAAATTTTGCAAAAGAATTCCATTATTTAAAAAAAAAATTTAATAAAATACAACACAATTATTGTCAAAAATTTTAAAATAATTCTTTGTGAAATCTAATTATTTTTTAATTAATGTAATGTAATGTAAGTAATGTCTGACTAAAGTTTATTATTCTACTTAAAATTAGAAATTTAAGTTTTTCTGATTAAAATGAGTAAATGTTTGACTAAAGTGGATTTTTCTACTGAAAATTAGAAATTTAACTTTTTTACATAAAGTGTATAATGTCTGACTTAACTTGATTTTTCTACTTAAAATTAGAAATATCAATTTCTCTAATTAAAATATGTAATGTCTGACTAAATTGGATTTTTCTACTTAAAATTAGAAATTTAAATATCTCTGCTTAAAATGTGCAATGTCTGACTAAATTGGATTTTTCTACTTAAAACTAAAAATTTTAATTTCTACGCTTAAAATGTGGAATGTTTGACTAAAGTAAATTTTGCTACTTAAAATTAGAAATTTAATTTTTCACTTAAAATGTCTAATGGCAGACTAAGTAGGATTTTTCTACTCAAAGTTAGAAATTTAACTCTTTTTATTGAAAATGTGTAATGTTTGACTAAAGTGAATTTTTCTACTTAAAATTAGAAATTTAACTCTTTATTTAAAATGTGTAAAGTCTGACTAAAGTCATTAATTTTTCTACTGAAAATTAGAAATTTAACTTTTTTTACTTAAAATGTTTAATTGTCTGACTAAAATTGATTTTTCTACTTAAAATTAGAAATTTAACTTTTTCTAGTAAATTAAAATGAGTAAATGTCTGACTAAAGTGAATTTTTCTACTGAAAATTAGAAATTTAACTTTTTTACTAAAAATGTGTAATGTCTGACTACTGTGGATTGTTCTACTTAAAATTTGAAATTTTTCTGCTTAAAATGTGTAATGTCTGACTAAAATTGATTTTTTTACTTAAAATTAGAATTTAAAATTTTTTTAATTCAAAATGTGTAATGTCTGACTAATATGGATTTCTCTACTTAAAATTATAAATTTAACTTTTTTACTTAAAATGTGTAATGTCTGACTAGTGTGGATTTTTCTACTTAAAAATTTGAAATTTTTCTGCTTAAAATGTGTAATGTCCGACTAAAATTGATTTTTTTACTTAAAATTAGGAATTTTAATTTCTCTGCTTAAAATGTGTAATGTCTGACTAAAGTGGATTTTTCTACTTAAAATTAGAAAAACTTTTTTGACTTAAAATATGTTATGTCTGACTAAAAATTCTTTTTAAAAACTTTTCGTAATTCAATGATTTTTAATATCTGATATTATTATAAAATTTTTAAACAGAATTCAATTATTAAAAAAATTGTTAAGAGTTCAATTTTTTTTATGAATAATAAAAATTTCTCAGGAATTCAATTATTTAAATTAGAATTTGGATAATATTATTCGAAAGAAATCAGTTATGTATTTTAAAAATTGTAATAAATTCGTTCGCCAGAATTAAATTATT